GCAATGAGACGGTACTAGGGTTAACCTGTGATGTTGTATTCGTCTTGATTCTCTATCTAAGGAGGCAGAGGCCAGCGTGGAGAAAGGGGGCACGCTGCCCTCAGCCGCACACGTGACCGTACGGGTCACGTGCCAACCATGGTTGGTCACACCACTAGATAGATACATTCCTACAGTGGGCTTTATTTAACCCTTTAGGCAAGCGTTCGGTAACCGACTAGCGAGCATAAACATTAAAACGCTTAATATTCTAGAATGCCTAAGATGCTGGTACTAATGCGCTCTAATAATTCCTACCCGAGGCAAGAAAATTATTCCGTTGAAATAGATCCCGTCTAATTATGGCTTTAGGCGTCTATATATTAATGCGGCAGTTCTACCTCGGGGACGTTCTTATCGTCCGAGCTAGTATGATAGCGGCACTCGAGAGGGACCTAAAGAAGCCATCGGCATATTGCGCTAAGACGAAGCGATACTCTTTGCTAACAACTTTAGTATCTTTACTTCCTAGGCGTCTTTATCTTAAAGAGTCCGCCGAATAGCTAAGCATCTCCTTGTCTCCTATAATCCGCATAGACATTGTGATGCGTCCGCCTCTTATCGACTGTGCTAGGAGCTTTCCTACTATGGCTACTTCCTGGCGTGCATATGTAGCTCCCGATCGCTTCTAGAAGGCAACGCTCTTAAAAGTCGAAGCATTTAGGCGCTGCTTTAAGGATAAACGATTGTGCGGTTTCTAGAATCCTGCCTCTAAGTGTAACTCTATTAATAGCCGCGAGCTTCTCCGAATTTATCGTTATAGTGTTTTCGTCGGAAACTCTAAAGAGTGCCGCAAATAACTCCTTGTTCCTAAGTAGCCGGTTATAGAATTCTTCGATAAGCTTATTGCTAAGAATGAACTCTTAAGGCATAGGAAGTCGACGTCGGATCCGACAAGATTCTAGAAAGCGGGTCCGATACGTTGTCCCTCAGCCTCTGCCGGCACGAATCGAGATAGGCCAGCTTAGCGTCGAGGTCGTCCCTGTTAAAGGAAACAACATGTCGAACGAAGGGGCGGTCAAATCCTATTCTGTGCCGCCAGAGATAGTTGACCAAGATGGATGTAATGACGCAGGGGGCCAGAACGACGTAACTCTTCAAAGAAGGCCGCCCAAGATGCCTATCATGCAGTCGCCAAGGCACAAGGCCACGCACTGATTATACGATCGGGGAGAGATAACCACGCCTACATGGCTTGCTCGCGGGCTGGCGGGCATCGCGATTCTACTGCTGACGACTCTGATGACGAGCTTGCTGGCGAGACGATGGGCACGATCCACTAATTTCGGGCCACGCAGCCGGCTACACAGTGGACTTCACGGCGGATCACGATGCCCTCAAATCGTCGACAAGAGGAGGATATAGATGATGAGGACGACCCTTTGGCCGGTTTCGATAAGATGGAACGGCGGGTGGATGAAGAAGCTCATGCGCGGCGAGTTTTGGCTACAGATGACCTGCTATATATATAGCTCTTGCCTTTGCGATTGTGTTTAAATTAACGATAGTGCGCTTCGTACGATTCTGAAATCGACTCCCTTCCGTAAGTAGAAGGGTATCACGGCCGGCTTCAATTGCGGCTTCAATTGCGGCATGGACGTTGCTTGCGCGCCTGTAGTACAGTATGTAGTGGGGACCACATTTTGTTATTCGATAAGCAAAACGTATTATACGGATATTAATTAATAACTACCCTCTAAAAGTAATGACGAGCAGATAGAGGAAGTTAAAAACCGCTTCGAAGCTATAATGAATTATAGAACATGTGGCCGATCATGACGTTCTCATCGCGGCAGAACTGCTATAGCCTGTTCACCTTCGGTGCGTCATCTCGTTCCGACCCTGCGGCGTCGAAGCTTGCCCGCCCCCCGTTCAAGAATGAGTTACGCAATTGCGATTCTAACGGATTGCAACGCAGGTTAGACCAGGATTTCATCTTCTTCCGCGGCAACTATCATAAATCGACCGGGCAATTACTTAAGGGCGTCGTCGTCCTATGTCTGTTCTCGTCGCTTAGCATCGAGAACGTACGACTGCGATTGACAGGCACGTTACGATTATCGTACGTATTTTGCCCTCCTCTCAAAGACCCCTCGGTTCGGCCTGGAACACTGCCCAATGTGCACCACATCTAATGCTGAAGTTCCACAGCTAGACTGACCATAGATCAAGTACACGTGGTGTGTCAAGCCAGAAGGTTGCAGCCGCCAGCGCTTCTACGAAACTCATAAAGCGTCTATTCGCGTTGGGAATAGCCCTTCTCTTTCGTCTTCTCTTAAGCCTATCTACTTCCTCCTCCAGCCTAGCAATTTAACCACTATGCTCTATTAGATCTATTCTTAAGTTTCCCAGCCTTCATCTTTCTTAGCATTTCGTCTTCGAGTCGCATGTGTCTTATTCTTGCCAAGATCACGGATATAGCGGCCAGTTTTCGGCGTGTCGTCAGAGCCCAAATATAGCCTATGCTTAGGTGAGGCCGTAACTCTGTCTTCTTGAATTTCAGGATGCCGCAATGCCTTAGCCCGCAAGATTAGCCAGTTGGCAGTAGTCTTCCATCCGGACAAGACTTCTTTGCAGTTATTCCCGCTCCACGTGCTCTAGCGTACGCACATGTAGAATTGACCTTGTCAACAAGCGCAGAATCCGTTAAAGAAGCGAGTGTAAAAGGCTGCACTCACAGGAGCTATAAAGGTTGTGAGGGCCAATGCTATTTATTGCTAAACTAAAGAGCAGAGAAAGGAACGATCACTTTTAAGAGAGATGCTGCCTCTTAAAAGGACCACGTTATATAGGGCGCCTTAGTAACGAGTCGGGCCGTTCCGACCGTTACTCCTAAAGGCCTTCGACCTATCACAGCGAGTTTGTCAAGTTCCTTCCGATAGGCTGCCTTTACGACATTAAAGACACCGTTATCTAGTGGCTGGAGGTCTGTCTCCTCTCTCGTCCCCACAGCTTCAGCTAGCTGTCAGGCTTCAAGCTCAAGTCGTTGACTCTTCTCGACAAGCCCCGTTTATTAACGCACTTAATTAGGAGGCCGAATCGATGGAATTGAATTAATGGCCACCTCGACCAAAGCCTCTCTAGCTCGCCCCTTTTGCACCCGAATAAGTTCCGGGTCAGCTCAAAGTCCTCGTCTCTAAGTATTGAGTTCCTGCTGAGATACTTAGACACTGACTGACCGGTTCGTGGGTTATAAAGTGGGAAATTAGACTTAACATTGTCGAATTATCTATATCCTAGTGTGATGCCAGCGCCTCATATTTCTTTGGGCCAGCTCATCAAATGATACATAGGTAGAATGTCTTCTGCCTTATAACTGGCATCGACGATAGTTCGGTCCCCGCCGCCTGGATGCTCAGCAATAATGCCGTACAGCCAGTCTCTTACTCTACGGAATGCAACATTTTTCATCAGTGAAATTGTTGACAGACTCACCGAATCGCGGGCCTCGTGCTCACCTAGACTTATAAACAGCGTTGCCCAGAATCTCCCGCGGGGCTTTCACAATGATCAAGAGGGACTTAAATCATACCCAGCTCTTACCTCGGTGTGGAGCCCAACTGCTTCGAGATCCTCCAAGCGGATGACAAAGGTGGGAACTGCTGTGTCGTAGTCTAAGTTACTTCAGTTAGCTAGGCTTCTAAGTGGCTTCGGAGATGCATAGCGGTAGCTTACCGATAGCTGAGATTTCTAAACGGGAGGCAAATGCTCCTGGGGCAGGGATCACTAGGGAACTAAATAGCGCTAGGAATTTATGGAACGTAGTGATCATCATGAGGATGCAGAGCTAGTCCTATGCGGGCGGGCGGCAAGGACATAGTCCGCGCGCGAGGCTGACTAATAGAGGCCTAGGGCGGCTCTCAGGCATAATTATGTCATCAACCGAACTTGTTGACGCGGGCTTTATAGCCGACGAGACTAGATAGCCAGCGACTATAAGAACGAGCATAAGAGGGTACAAAAGTGGGGCTATCGTAGTGTGGGGAAGGGTCAGCTGAGCTACCTACTACGTACTCCCATAGCACCCACCCCTTCGGTCAGCCGAGGTGACGTATCTCTAGATTATTCAGCCGAAGGCTGACTCTACATCAATCCATAAGTTTCCCGAATAATGAGGGTTTGGTGCAGACAGGGGTCAATAAGTTTCCCGAGTTCTGATTGGCCCGAATTTTGTATGGACGGCCGCAAAACGTGCAACAATTGGATAACGGCTGCAAAAATGTGGGACTAGGTGTCTGTGGCCCGTAGCAACCCTGGTTTGTTTACTTGCGCGTCGCCTTGACGTGGAAACTTCGTTGAAGCAACGCGTCTTGATGCGTGGTTCGCGAAGTACTGAGTCCTAAGTCTACTCCCTCAAGGGCTTCAAGATGGACTTGATTTCCATCGTCTGTGCCCGCTGTGGCGAGGAGAAACCGGCGGGTGACTTCGTCAGCAAACGGAAGTCTGTTTGGAAGACCAAGAACTGCCTCGCCTGTCGTAGTCAGTGCAATTCTCATGTCAGCTCCGTCTTCCTCACTCCGTAAGGCCATTCAACGCTAACTAAATGAAGAACTCCAGATCCAGAGGCGCGACCCTGACGTTGAGGAATCTCGCCGCCCGTCCTTCCTTAGCCGAGAGACCTGCTCCGAAGAGAACTGAAGGGAATGCTGGTCTATCGCCTTGCAACGAGAGATCCGGAACCCGGCCCACATCGCCAGAGAAGCTACGGCAACTTCATACAACTAGGAGGTTATTCGGAGAGCCAAAGAGCCAGCCCCAGGTAGTGCTTGGGACGCCAATTCCACCAACCCAACAGAGCTCGCGGCTCTTCCGGACTCTTGCTCCCTCCCCCACCGTACAGCCAACGACCCATCCGATCGCCTCAGATTCTAGTCCGTTTACTGTACGAAGCATCAGCATAGCCGACAAAGATTACTCTTACCTAGCGTCTAGGTTCCACAAAGGTGGGAAGCACTCACAAGATGATGCCTCCAAGACTGGGGCGAGGGCCAAGCAGGCCGCTATCCAGCGCGGCCACCGTTCACGGCGTCGTGCAGGAGATTGTGTCACCGACTCCCACAATATCCCAACTCGGCGTCTTTAAAGGTTCGGAGGTTCCTGGAGAAGATATCCTTGCGCTGTGCTCGCAGTGGTTTGTTTGCGCTAACCACGGAACGTAGGTGCGAGTCAAGATCGACCGCAGCTGATTGGGCTTCCAGATGGGGATGAGGTAAGGAGGGAAGGACATGACAGCGGCCAGTTCTCTGAGTCCGATATTGACGCTGAGGACTACTTCAACTTGCTGCTTTCACCCGCTCGACCTCGCCGGTACCTCAAACAATTAGGGGTGGAGCCCGATTCCGATCTAGGGGACGAAGACGAGGACAGCGATGATGATTACGTGGATGGAAGCCCTCTTCGCCATCGCATGCGGCAGCCTTCGGCACAGCCAAGGCGTGGCGGCCGTGGTCCTGCCCCAGGTACAGGAGGGCGGCCGAGACAATCTCGAAGGCAAACTCGACCGTTGAGGCCGCCACGACGTGTTCGGAGCCCGGTAATGATTCCACCTGAACAGTCGGCGGTATTTCACGCACAAGATCCGGCGTGGAATGGCGACCTCGACGCTTGCGCCTTGACTGACCGTGACAAGACCACCCTCCGCGAGTTCTGGACAAAGCTGGACAATGACCAAATGCAGTTTTGCAGTCGATGCCAAGAGAGTTGGTTTCAGATGAATATCGATACCGACGGCATTTGTGCGCGTTGCTATCGAAAGGATGCGAAACGCGGCCCCCGCGAGCCGTATTTCTTCTCTGCGGATAATCAGCTCGACTTTGGCCCTGTGTCGGCCCGGTTGCCCGAGCTTACGCCTACCGAAGAGTCGTTGATTGCTCGCGTTCACGCCCACGTCAACATTATGCTTGTGCGAGGGCAGCAGTACAAATATCGGGGCACGTCGTTCACTTCCTCCGCGAGGTTGGCTTAGTGTACAACCAGCTCCGCTGTTGCCGCAGGAGTTGAACACTGTATTATTACGGCCTGCCAATACGTCGTCCCACGCCAATCTTAGCCGGCAATTCACCCGCCAGTTCCGTGTGCGCCGCCAGGCGGTTGTGATATGGCTCAACTACCTGCGGCGCCATCATCCTGGCTATCGATGCATCGTTATCGACGAAGAGCGGCTGAGCCAACTGCCTGAGAATGGCAATATCCTGGATGCAATACCCCAAAGTCAGGTGGAGGCTGCCGATGTTGGACCCGAGGAAGATCACGAGGCAGAGCCTGACCTAGAGGACGAAGCTGCGGTGCCGGACCTTTTGGCCAAGGACACGGAGCTCGATGCTCTGCGGGCTATTCTCACTAGAGAATCAGAAGCTGATGCAGAGCTTCCCACGAACGTCCAGGCTCGGCCGCAACACGAGTTGCAGCTCCCGAATATACGGCACACGCCAATAAACGAGTTCAATCGCTCTCATGCCCTTCTCTCCTTGGCCTTTCCTGCCTCTTTCCTGACGGTAGAGCTGACTTTGTTGAGCCTCGATTACGCTCCATTGATTACAAGGATTACATTGAGCACGCGATGCGTTGGCATGACGGGCGTTTTGCCCGCCACCCGACCTTCCGCTTCGTCGCATTCAACACTCTAATGCGGTCACAGGCACGTACACGGTCCAAGTTCTTTGTGAAGCAGCACGATGGCACTCATGAAGCGCTCACAAGAGAGCGGCTTGTTCAGGCGCTCCAGCACAGCGAGGACCCGAGGCGCAGGCGCTGATCAACTCGATCACAAGACACGCAGTGTCTATTCGCGGTACACGCCCCTTCTGGAACAAAAAGAGGCAGGACCTGGAGGCTTATGCCTATAACCTTGGCTGTCCTGCTGCATTCATCACATTTAGCCCGGCAGATCTGCACTGGCGGAGTCTCTACCAACACATGCCCCGATATGAAGAATGGCTGGCCGCATCCGAGTCGGAGAGGATGGCTCTATCCCGCCAGTTATTGCGGCAGAACCCTCACATTGCAGCTTTCCACTTCTACCGCCGATACTGCTTCTTTCGGGATATCGTGTTAAGGAAGAAGTTCAACGTCACGGATTACTGGGATCGGTATGAATGGCAGGGCCGTGGTAGCCCGCACAACCATGGCCTGTACTGGATGGAGGATTGCCCCGGGACCGACATGGAGGACGAAGCCGCTCGTGAGGTATTCGCACGCACGTGGGGATTTCACATCACCGCTATCAACCCCGAGCCGAGTAGGACTGTGCCTCAAGGTGAGGGTAATCCCCTGAGCGCGGATCCGCTGGGCACGGAGATGACGTTCTTGCGGCTCTCGCAAATTGTCAACCGCTGCCAGCGTCACAAATGCAATACCACGTACTGCTTGCGCGTCAGAAAGCGAACGGGCGATCTAGCGAGGACATGGAGGCGGCTGCTGCAGATATCGAGGCTGCAAATGCGGCCAATCCAGAGAGGGAGTGCCGCTTTGACTTCCCTCGCGCCTTGCGGGAGCTGGCCGCAGTTATGAGGAAGGAAGGAAGGTCGTACTTCGTCTTCGAGGCGGCCCGGAACGACAGCCTCATGAACCATTTCAATCCTGCTATTGTCCTAGGCTGGCTGGCCAATATCGACATATCTCCTTGCACCAGCTTACAGGCGGTTATTACGTACGCTGCGAAGTACTGCAGCAAATCTGAGAAGAAGACCGAGCCATACTGCAAGCTGGCCGACCAGGTGTTGCCACACACAGCGCACCTTCAGCCCCTGCTCTCCTTCTCCTCTCGCCTTATGAATAAGCTGATTGCCGAGAGGGATTACTCGGCGCAAGAGATTTCCCACCTGCTGCTCAACATCCCTCTGCAGGAAGGTACGCGGATGGTGGTGTACGTCGACTGCCGCCCGTTGGAGCATCATGCGCGGTCGTACCGCGTCGACGATGATGTCAATGAGACTGTCGGCAGCTACCAGAAATATCTGGAGAGAAATGGTCAGCATGAACGAGTAACCTACCTTGAGTACCTTCAGTCGTACAATCTCAAGACGTGGAGGATACTCTGTGCGAACGCGAAGAAGAGGGTCCTGTCTTACTTCCCTCGGTACCGGCCGGAGGCTTCTCCCCAGTTTAATGACTTCTGCCGTGTCAAGTTGATGATGGTCCATCCGCATCGCTACCCAGAGGAGTTGCTCACTGTGGGCGGGCAGCGGTTCGAATCTTTCGCGGCCGCGTACCAATACTGCCGACAGCAGCACCATTCCCATGAGGACGACCATTACGGAGAGCCAGGAGCAAAGGAACTGAGGGCAGAGGACGATCAGTTTGAGCTGGAGGAGCATGTGGATCCCGTTGTGGAAGAAGATTGGCATGAACTCGCCCGCATGCTGCCGGATCATCCGCTGGGGGAAGAGGACATCGACATACTCGGCCGCCGAGACCTCGATGTGAATTATGATTGGACTCCCCACGTTGGACGGTATACCGACAGTGGCATTCTGACCGGCGACTACTGGAAGCAGCGCAAAGCGGAGAACCCCATGTCCCTTGAGGTGGATGATCAACCCTTGGATGCTCGCGATTCCCTAAATCCGGAGCAGCGTCTAGTGTACGACACGGTCATGGACCACTTTCTGACCCAGCACGCTTCCCAGCTGCTGCTCCACGCAGATGGCGGAGGCGGCACCGGCAAGTCATACCTCATTAACATACTCTCCGCCCACCTCGAAGCCGCCGCAGGCGGGAGGGGAACGCCTGTTTGGCGTGCCGCTCCCACAGGCGTTGCGGGAAATCAGATTTCGGGCACTACCTTGCACTCCCTGTTGCATCTCCCAATCAACAAAGACTTCAAGCCCCTGTTAGCGATTGACAAGGCTCAGCTCCAGAAGAAGCTTAAGGATGTCAAGTACCTGATCATTGATGAGAAGAGCATGCTAGGACTGCGTCAACTATCATGGATCGATGACCGTCTCCGCGAGGCGTTCCCGAATCGGAATGAGGAATTCTTTGGCGGCCTGAATATCCTGTTGGTTGGCGACTTCTTTCAACTTCCCCAGTGCTGCAGAAGCCGCTTTATTACGACAAGGAAGTGCAGGAGTAGAGATCAAGGGCCGGAACGCATATCGGCGCTTCGACAAGACGGTCTTCTTAAATGTTGTCCAGCGTCAGCGTGGTGACGACCAGGAGGCATTTCGCACGGCCCTCGGGGCGACTGCACCAACTATCCAGGAGTCCTGGAAGCTCCTCTCCAGTCGTGTACAGGCGAAGCTAGACGATCGGGAGGTTGCCAAGTTCGACAACGCCTTACGGGTGTACGCCACGAAGACAGGGTCAACGAGTTCAACCACTACCACCTCGACCGCCTCGGCCGGCCTGTCATCCAGGTAATGGCCAAAAACGTAGGCCCTGGCGCCGCGGCAGCGCCTGATGACAAGGCGGGCAACCTTGCGAAGCAGATCCCCATATGCATTGGCTCCCGTCTGATGCTGACGTCCAACCTTTGGCAGCCAGTTGGCCTCTGCAACGGCGCTCGTGGCACAGTTCACGATATCGGCTGGGCACCTGGGGCCGACCCCATCCAAGTCCCTCCTGCGTTATCATGATGGAGTTTGACAAATACAGCGGACCGGTATTCCTGACCACCCTGATGGCAGGAAGATTGTGCCGATTCTCCCAGTGGAGAGGACTTCCTCATCGGAGCCACTCTCTGCACTCGCACCCAGTTTCCTCTGATCGTATGCTATGCAATTACCGTGCACAAGTCACAAAGCATCACCGAGGACATGGTCGTTACAGATCTGTCCTGCCGAGACTTCCAGACTGGTTTAAGCTACGTGGCCGTCTCACGCGTGAAGACGCTGCAGGGTCTGATGCTGGATGCGCCGTTTGACCGCAATCACCTGACTTACGCGTCTCCACCCGAGGGCATCAAAATGAAGATGAGGGATCAGGAGATCCGCAGACGACAGGTTCTTACTCGGAACCCCTACGAGACATACCACGGGCCAGCGTAACTCCAGGTGACGCAACTCGCATTAGAAATACTGCCGAAAATATCCGTGGGCGTAGATAAGGTAACAATTACATGCTTGTAGATGATTTGACTGCTCGGTGATTGACCGCTTGGCCCGTTGGCCCGCGGACTCGCAGCCTTCGGCTGATTGTACGCCTTGCACAACCGCTCTAAACTGCAAGGCGTGACGTAGTATTTTAAAAAGATAAAAAGAGTAGGCAACCGAAACAGAGAGCGCATGCTCGCCATAATAAGCGACCTCCCTTGGTTGGGACTCGTACGCATATAAGAGTGGGATCTGCTCTAGACCTCTCGAGGCAGGGAGTCTCGGAGTTATGGTTAACCGTAAAGGCCCCCTTTGTACAGCATAAACAAGACCAGAAACACAATTTAGGGGACATACTCCGCTGCCGTGGCCCCGACTGGAAGGAGGGTTTTCTGAGTGGAACAAGGACGTGACTGAAAGTTACTCTTCTGCGACAAGGGGAGCAAGGAATCCTGCCCTGGGCATCAACTCTTGGTGCGGCCGCAGTCAGCTGACGGGCAGGCGAGCGACTGGTTTTAATACCCACTCGGAGGGAGCGACAAAGGCAGACGATACATTCATAGGACAACGTGGGGTTTTACCAGCACATTGTAGTCGGAGACGTGTCACTGGAGTTTTAAAAGGGTTGAAGCACCCGTCATTCCGTTTACTCTTTGTCTTTCGCTGCACTGCGTGCAATTTTTTTTTGTGTTCTCGTGTCTACGGCCCTCGTTTGGAGCAATACGGCGTCTTTTCTTTCGATACTTCACTTTAATCTTTTCGGAGAGAAGTGTTCCTCGTTCTACAGTATATACTTTTCCATCCTGCCTAAATATTCGTGAGAATCCGACACTTCCCCGCTGGCATTAACTCTAACACGGCGTGTTGTGCAGAGTTGTGCATGACCAGTTAAACTGACAGTCGTCATAGAGTAGACTAACAGTGTATTTTCTGTCTGCTTCTACTATAGGTATCATAGTGACGGCGGGAAGCCTCACGGTCTATGCTCTAGACTCTCGGGAGGATTCGGCTTATGAGTCCTGTGGTGCTCTCTTAGACCGCGGCAGCCTTTTTGCTCTTTTCGCTCTTTTCGCGCATGCATCAGGGGTCAAGGACTACCTAGCCTCTGTGGCTATGGCCGATCTCGTTTCTGCGGATGCTTTTACTCGCTGTCCCATCTGGTTGATGGAGGCTTGTATTTCACGGTTGGTGCGCCAAGTGGGTGAGCTATTGGGTGACATGCCTTCTCATTTCATTTGGGTTGATTTACGGCCGGGCTCAGTGGAGCAGCGGGCAAACATGGCGGCGTTACAGATTCCTAAGGCCATTGTCCTCGAGAGGGCCATCCTTGACCGATTCTATGTGGCCCTTGCGATGTGCACGGCTGATGGTTGTCCCGAAGGGCATCAGCTTCTGTCTTGGCAGCTGGCAGAGCAGTTTTATACTTATTCTGCGAGCTAGAACTTTCCGGGTCCGACTGGTCGTTCTTTAACGCGGCTAGCTTTAGTCAAGGCCAGCGCGAGTCTTTAGCCTTATAGTTTAGCTTGCATACGTTGACTATAGTGGCGCCGCGCGCGTATTGTCGGTAGCACCGATTGTGAAAAGTAGATATAAGACGTGTTACATAAGGTAGATGGCAGAGTCAAGGAAGGGGTTCTTAGTAGGACAGTATTGGTAGAATCTCTCCTAAGCCAGTTGTCGCGATAGCCTCGCGCTCTTTCAAATCTATAACGGAGACTGCATGCACCCCTTGTCCTGCACTTATACTCTATATAGTCGTATGCATTAATTACAAGGGCTGTTGTGCTCACAACGTCCTCGCCGGCCGAGGGCACCCAGAGGAGACTCCCTCCGACCCAGGAGGACCGGTAAATCCAGCCGTATTGCAGGATGGTGAGGTATACCGTTGAGGACGCGGGCAGGGCTATTCACTTGGACCCCCGGGAGACCCACAGTTAGTACCGTCTCCGCCGTCGGCGGCGAAGCCATCCACCTATAGCCGGCGGCGGGGGCGGCGGAGAACGACCCTGACGCCAGCCAGACAGAAGCACAGCAGGCAAAGCTGGCCGTCTTCCACGCATTCTGCACTGCATTCGACCAGGCGGCCGCCCAGTTCACCTCGGGCCACGCGCTTCACTTCGCCGAGGACTTTTCGCGCGGCTTCAGCTAATGAATGGGACGACGCGCTCAACGGCCCGACCTTTGGAGGTGGCTCGCCCGAGGCGCCTATGCATGGCTCCCGCAGCGCGGACCACCTCGCCGGAGCAAGACCCGCAGTTTCCTTGGAGTCTAGAGGGACCGAGGCATGCCGTGACCATGATTAAACCATGATTCAACGCCCTTTGCCCATTGCGCGAAGCCAGAGACGCAAATAGCTTTGAAACACGTACGTGTACCAAGTACGTGCGCTGACTCGCGCCTCCTTCGTCTCCCATCTTGTCCATCCCCATCCGATCCCCCCGCCTTCTCCCCATTCCCTCTCCATCTTCCCCGTTCAACCTCCAACCTCTCGTCCCGCGTCCCGACGCGTCCAACAACTCACCACCGTCAAAGGAAGCCACACGGGTCTGCAGCCATGCCCAGCCGCTACTCGCACCTCGACTCCGACGACGAGCGCCTGCCCGACGGCATGACGCGCGTCGCCTACGACGCCGACACCCAGGTCTACACCTTTCGCGATGCCGCCGACGGCAGCTACTGGGAGGGCGCCCCCGGCTGCCAGTACGGCCAGCTGACCCGCGTCTCCGGCCCCTCGCCGCCGCCGCGTCGCTCCGGCTACAACGATGACGACGACGACGACGACGACGACCTCGAAGACATCCGAGACCCTTTCCTCCCAGGCTCCTCCGCCTCCGCCAAGGATCCCCCGCACATCTCGTGGCGCCACGACCTCATGCCGCTGCTCAACTTTGGCCTCCTTGTCGGCGTCTCCCTCCTCCTGCTCTTCTGGTACCTGCACCGCGCCGCCGCCTCGGCCGAGCAGCAGCAGGACACGCCCCTGGTCCCCGTCTGCGCCGCCGGCGACGCCCCCGTCCCCATCCACAAGGGTGACACTTGCTGGGACATGGCCGAGGCAAGGGGCATTGCCCTTGAAGTCCTCCTGGCGCACAATGGGCCAATCGACTGCGACCGCCTCGTCATCGGCTCCCAGCTCTGCCTGCCCGAATGAAGTCGACGTTCCTTGGGAACCGCTCCCCTCGCATCTTGCTTACAGAAGGTTTATGCACGCCTCCCCTAGGCCATCTCAGTTCGGCCGGTGACCACGACGACACTCTGCCCCCCCCGAACCCTTGTGCGGGCCACACACCACTCAAAGTCGAGCCAGGCTGCGTGCTCCACCACACAAACAGCTTCCCGTCCCTCGACAAAGGCGGGCATACACATTGGCCAAGTACGGTTCGAGTGAATAAGGAAGCAGTTGGAGTGCAAAAAGACGTCGGACAATGACGGCCATTCTATGTAACCTATCTTTTCCTCTCCCTCGTGTCGTCCGCATGGACGCAGCCTGGGAAAACAGGACACCAAGCGAGAATGCCTCGCCTTATTTCTTCTCTCTTCTCGCCCTTTATTGCCTCGTGAAAACGCAACCTTGCACCCCTTGACAAGACTCGAGAAATTTCCCTTCAACTACGTGGCTGCCAGCCAGCCGCAGGGACCAAGAAAATGCGCAACCTCCCTCCCCATCGCCTCAGCCCCTCACGGCTGCACCCAGAGCACCACCGGTAAACTGCGTGCCGCCCGCTTGTCTCTGCGGGTTTCCTCCCCCTCGTCCACCTCCGCGGCCCCCGCGGTGGCCCGACCTTGCTCCTCCGCGACCGCGTCCACCTTGGCGCTCAAAGGCATTCGCCGTGCCTTGCGTCCGCTGCTCCAGCGTGCGCTCGTTGGTCTCGATGAGAGCGCTGGCCTTGTCCGAAAGCGTGAGCGCCAGGGACTGCAGGCGGCTGAGCTCGACGCCCTTGCGGAAGATGACGGTCGACGTCACCTGGTCCAGCGACGCCGCCAGCTCCTCGTGACTGATCATCTTGCTGACCACGGCCGCCACCTTGGCGGGCTCCAGCTCAAACATCTGCCCGAGCGTGCTGAGGGCCAGTGTGTCGTAAAAGGGCGCGTAGGTGAAGAGATAGGTCCGGAGGCCCTCCTCCTGGATCTGCTTCGAGAGCATCGTCTTGATCTCCTCGGCGTTGGGCATCAACTCCCAGATCTTGATGCTGTGGATAAAGTTGATCGACTTCCTCCACTCGCCCGCAGCCAGCGCTTTGGACGCCTGCATCACGTGGTCGCGCGTGTTCTCCGGAGGGCCCGTGAAGATTTGCCTCTCGTGGTACTCGAGCATGCGGCGATACGTCTTGCTGATGATGCGCTTCCTGACGTCGGGAGACGACCCTGTCTGGGCCAGCAGAGGAATCTCCAAGAGCATGCTGCACGTCAGGTACACGCACTCCAGCAGCTCCAGGTTGATGTGCATGTGGAAGGGCAGCTGTCGCTGCTTCTCCAGCCGCTCCTGTTCGGGAGACACCTGGTTGTATCGCTGCATCATGACGCCCTGGGCGAGCAGCTCCTTTTGCCGACCACTGCCGCAAATCTCCTGCAGGGTATTTTGCGCATCGTACACCAGGCCCTTGCGGAAGGCGCAGAGCCCAACTTGTACCAGCGTCCGGTTGTACAGGATCTGGCTGAGGACGTCAAAGTTGGGGATGTTTTCCTGCAAGTGCGACATGAGCATCATGTCGCGGGCCTTGTAGTACTCGCCGTGGAGCGCAAGGAAGTACACTTGGCACAGCATGGCTCGGGCGCGAATAATGCCTTCGCTGTTGCTGAAGAGGTAGTTGCAGAGAACGTCGACCAGGTCGCTGGCTTCCTGGACCTTGGCGCGGGGGGTGATGACGGACTCGACCTTGTCACCGGCCGCCTTCCACGAGTTCTCCTCGAACGTCTTGACGACCTGCGCCGGCTGTTGCAAAATGTCAGCAAGAGTCTCATTTTCGAAGGGCTGCCCTGGGGAATGCTTGCCTTGAAATAGACGTGCTCTAGACGCCGCATGACAATGCGGTTAACGCTGTCTTGGGGAATCTGCAGAGACTCGTCCGTACGTAGGTACTCGTAGTACAAGAGGCCACGGAAGATGATGTTGTACAGCGCACCCTCGTCCTGCAGGCGCTCGATGTACTCGGAGGTGTGAGGGTCGATGCTCTGCAGCGAGCGGGCGAGCTCGTCGTCCAGCCGCTCGACATAGGAGACGATGCTGCCGGAAACCTTGATATACTTTTCGCCAGGCTGCAGGGTCGGCGGCTTCTCGTCGTCGTCCCACTCCTCGGCGTTCTCGACGACCACGTAATCGTGGTTGGTGTCGAGAATCTTGAGGAGCATGTACAGCTCCTTCTCGGCAGATTTCCATTGCTCCAGCGGCATGGTGTTTGACGTGCCGGAACCGAGGTCGAAGCGGGCCGAGACGAGGGTGAGCAGGACGCGGATTTGCTGGTACGGGGTGTTGGCAATTTCGTTGAGCTTCTCCATGACCTTGATCTGTTCCAGGCGGTCTGTGTTCTTCTTGCCACGGGTCTCCATAATGGTCCGCAGGTGCTTGAAGATGCTCTCAGGGGTGTACTGCAGGGTCCGCCCACCTTTGCCGACCGTGGCAAAACCCTCGTCGTCGATTTCCTCCGGGGCGGCTTCGACCTCGAACTTGGGCATTTTCTTGGGCTTGGAGGCGGCCGCCTCCTCCTCTTCGTCGTCGGACTCCATGTAGTCATCTTTGTCCTCCCGGTACGCGTCGATATGGGTCTGATACTCCTTGTTGGTCTTCTTGATCTTCTGCTTGACGGCGTTAAGGGCTCTGGCTTGGGTGGCGTTCATCTTCTTGGGCGTGACTTTTTGCTTCGCCACGGCCTCGTTCATAAAGTCCTCGAGTTCGGCAATGATGCGGATGTAAGGCTTGGGGGTCTTGCCGGCGTCCTGTAGTTTGGCGACTTGCCGGTTGAGCTTGTCGAATTCTGTTTCCAACAGTTAGTCATTCTCACTTGCTCACTTCCTATTCACGCAGTATAGTTCGTTCCGCGGCATACCGGTAGAAATGAGGGTCCAGTCGCCGTTCTTCTGGCCATTCTCAATCTGTTTGATGGACGCTTCGAGCTCGTCCAAGCGCTTGTCCTTGGCGCTCTTGACTTTGTCTCGAACCTCCTCGTCACTGTCGTCGCTATCCGAGTCGGCATCTTTCAAGAACTTGCTCGCGCCCTTGATGCCACCGCCCTCGTCGTCGCTGGAGTCGTCGCTGTCGTCGGAGGCATCCTCGTCAGAGTCCTCATCCGAATCGGCCTGGTTGACGTCCTTGTCCTCCTCCTCCTCGCCGGAGTAGAGCTCCTCCTCGTCGCTGGAGGAGTCGGTAGAGCTGTCATCTCCGCCACGGAAGAATCGAGACATTTTGACAATGGTTTCCCTCGACACCGATTCCTGAGTTGGCTCGAAACGGGACTGTCGCGATGATGCGCGGGGTTGATTCGACGATGACAAGAGGTCAAAAATTTGATATTTTGGTGGGAGGTGGGGCGTGTGACTAGACTGGTGGCTAAGCGAAAGGTACCTCTGCATGTATAGCCACTGTGCTGGACACTTGTAGGTACGAGGACTCGCCGCTCGTTTGCCCCATGCTTGATGTCCCTGCAGCGTACCCTTACCTTACCTCATCCATACCTTGCTCTCCGGAGATACGGGGCATCCGAACGGACTCCAACTGCGTGTGCCAGAGGTGTTCCGGCTGCGCTGCTTACATCAGACTCCCTCAGCCAATGGAGGTCGCAGCGATTGCTAGTTGTCAGAACGGCTCGGATGGCGTGAGCAGTTCGCCGTGATCTTCGCCCCCGACCTCGTAGCAGAACCACAAACCACCCATGACACCGTCGTTATGACGATATTTCGCTGTCCGCGCGGCATGTCGGCCGCCCGGTCGTTTGTTCAAATCGCCAGTCGAGGCTATTCTGTCACCGCAGCTCCGTCGCCTGTCCCCCTCGACTTTTTGGTTCCACGGGGAGCCGGCTCGCCCTCGGCTGGACGGACAATGAGCGCATCGGCTCGACACTCGAGCCGTAAGAGCTTGGCGCATTCGAGGACTACGAGGAGCTTGCCGCAACGACCCCAGATGCGGAGCTTCGCAGCTTCGGCCCGCCACCACGCCACAAGATTCGCGTTGAACCCGAGGAAGGACGACGATGGCAACGACATGATGCTGGAGATTACTCCTCGAGCCGCCAAGGTAAAGTCCCCTAACTACCCTCTTACGAGAGCTGCGCTGATAGCGGGCATGGCCAGCGATTGTCCGAGATCATGGAAAAAGACGACAACCCCAATCTCGCCTTGCGCATCCAGGTCGAAAGCGGCGGCTGCCACGGCTTCCAATACCTCATGAACCTCGTCACAATACCGGGAAAGGATGCGCAGGAGTGGTCGTCTGTCGTGAGCGAGGACGACTCGATTTTCCAATACTACCCCGACGATGCCGACCCCAACTCAGGGTCGCGAGATGGCCCGAGGATAATACTTGACGAGCCTTCTCTGGAGCTTCTCAAGGGCAGCAAAGTCGACTTCACCATGGAGCTCATCGGCTCGCAATTCAAGATTGTCGACAATCCCTACGCGACGAGCAGTTGTGGCTGTGGTACTAGCTTCGACATAAAGATGTAGCAAAAACAATAGGCCGGGAAGAATTTGCCAGCGAGGCCCACTCCGTTTGTTCATGTGGTCCATAGTGTTTACGCACAGCCTAGCATTTGCTCCAAGGAAGTGTGACTACGCATACGCGGGCGTTGTAGATACAATATACAGCGGCACAAATCACGTCACAGGGCACTCACGCAATCATGGAAGCTCTGGTGTCATTCAAGGAATCAATTTCCACAAAACATTGCCGTGATACCAACGCCGAGCCACCATGCATTTTGTTCCAACCAGACCCAACAAGCCGATCCGTGAAATTTTTTAGTTCATCTGGCGGATGAGGCCGTTGATGGCCTCCTCGCGGTTGCCCAGGTCACCGCCCTCAATAAAGTGCTTGAACTTGCGGGGACGGAACCCGCCAGTGGGGTTGCTCAGCTTGAAGGGCCACAGGAAGTTGGACGCCTGCTTGAAGTTGGGGCCGACGGTGTAGATCTCGTGGATCAGGTCCTCCATGCAGACCATGCCATACTTGCCGAGGTTCTCCTCGATGATGGAGTTGTCGGTCAGGGCAACGCGCTGCTTGTCGATCTTGCCGTAGCCGCGCTTGTAGACGAGCTCTTTGATGGACTTGAGGTTAGGGTAGCCGTAGGCGATCCAAGGCTCGACAATCTTGAGCATCTCAGTGGTAGCTTTGGTGACACGGATGAAAACACCGTTGTTGATCTGCAGAAGACGCAGAAGCTGCAAGGTCTTGCGGGGCTTGGGAGGCATCTTGTTGATACTGCGCGAGTGTCAGTCTCGTGACGAAGCCGGAAGTCTTAACCACGACGACTTACCCCTTGATGCGGACGACAAAGATCAACTTGGACTCGGCGGGGATGTAGGCAGAGTCGTCCTTCTTGGCAACACGGGCCAGGCGGATCTTCTCACGCTCGGCATCGCGGTACTCCTTGACGTACTTCTCGGCACGCTGGAAGACAACCTTGCGTTTCTCCTTGTTGGCCTGTTGAAGGGTCAGCAATTGATCGCCGCCAATGTCGTCATTTCAAGAGCAAGAATCCATTGGACATATCAGACCCGAAAGAAGGTATAAGAATCAACAGCAGAGACACTAGGTCTAGTCGATGCGTAAAATTTACATCATTATGCCATGGGAAGGGAAGAGGGGAAAACACTCACAGCCTTCTTCTTCTCGGTGGCGGCGCTTCGCTCAGCGCGAGCCTTCTCTTGGCTCTTGCGCTTCTTGAGAAGGCTCTCAGGAACCAGGATCTGGTCGTTGGTGGGAACGGTGCTGCAGGCACATCTCGGATTAGTACGGGTCCGGCATACCATGGTATGCAACAGAGCGCCGGGGCGAGAAGTGTAGCTGAAGCGCGACATTCTCGCTTTGGCTGACTCGAGATGAATTTTACCGGTGAGACAGAGGGTCATGATGGTCAAGTTTCCTCGCCAGTCAATCACCCCTCGAGCACTCATCCGACAACGACCCCGAACAGATGTCCAGGATGAAAATAGTTGCGAGCGAGTGCGCATTGCGACCGCTGCGACAACAATGAATTTCAGGGCGACGGTCCAAGCCGTCATCCCCAAGGCCCCGAGCGCCGTCTCTCCATGGCCGAGCTGTGCAACGAGTCTCGACAGTGGAGGGAGGCGCTCAGGAGAGATCGAGCTGGCAGAACGACTGAAAGCCGTCTGCCCAGCCAGAGGACCACGAACAATCTGCCAGTGTCTCGAGACCGGGTTTCGCTGCCCACAGGCGCACGATCAAGGAGGGAGGACATACGTGGCACCCATTTTGGCGACGTCGACTGCGGCGGAGGGCGGTTAGTATTGACGACGGTCGGGGTGTTGAGTGGATGTGGTGAGCTTCAAGAAAGATCAAAAATCCCTCTTCAAGAAGAAAATTGGAAAAATTCGGGCTCCCTTGCCTGGGTGGGGCGGACCACTGGCCCGCTGGGTAGGGTAGGGCTTGGGGCTACAGCGCGCAGTTTTCTCACGCGGGGGTCTTTCTGCCGCCCTCCACCGCCCAAGCCCACTCACCTCATCCAGAACAACTCGCGATAATTCCCGCGAGGCGAGCCCGTGTCTTCACCAGTCTAGTGACGAGAAACCAGGCCGTCGCCACGATCCAAAAATGCCTCCCAAGAAGCCCGCCGCGCCCAAGGAGAACATCTCCCTTGGCCCGTCTGTTCGCGATGGTAAGTTTCCGAGCCATTGAAGTGGTTTCTACGCCTTTCTCGGCAGCTTTCACTGACCGCCTCATGTCTCACAGGCGAGCTCGTCTTTGGCGTTGCTCGTATCTTCGCCTCCTTCAACGACACCTTCGTCCACGTCACCGATCTCAGGTTCGTCTGTCCTCGATGCCGAGATCGAGTCAGCAATGTCCAGCTTGTGACTGCGCAGGCGCTAACGAGCCGTCCTTAGCGGTCGCGAAACCATCGTTCGTGTAACTGGCGGTATGAAGGTCAAGGCCGACCGTGACGAGTCCTCCCCCTACGCTGCCATGCTGGCTGCCCAGGACGTTGCCGCTCGGTGCAAGGACCTGGGCATCAACGCCCTGCACATCAAGATCCGTGCCACTGGTGGTATGTTTGATGCGCCCTGACACGACCCTCATCGGCGGTACTGACAGGAAGCCCTCAGGCAACGGCACCAAGACCCCCGGCCCCGGCGCCCAGTCCGCCCTTCGCGCTCTCGCCCGTGCCGGCATGAAGATTGGCCGCATCGAGGACGTCACCCCCACGCCGTCCGACTCTACCCGCAGAAAGGGCGGTCGCCGCGGTCGCCGTCTCTGATCGTTGGGCGATGGGTTACTTGGATTGGACAGGAGCTTGGCTCTCTGGTTTCTCTGCGACGCGAAAAACGAGGGGAACGGCTTTTGTGCCTGGTCCCCAGTCTACGATGCTCTGCCTGTCCGGATGACGATTTGGTGCCGCAGTAGCTAAGATGTAGATTCGCCCGAAGAAGGCTCATGAACAGCACTCCTTGTCACACATGCAAGCCGCCACGTGAATCGCCTACTCGTGCTTGGGACATGTTATTCTGCTTGAATGCAGAAGGTGGGAAATGTATGACTCCCACTTTCGCCGAATTGCCACGGAGCATATGTCCGTTCTCTGAACGCCTAATACCACCTACCCGTTCCTTTTGCGACGCTTCTCGCGTCTTCCGTATGCCTACATGCGCACGTGTCCTGCGCTTTCACAGCCGTGAATGGCCACGTCAGATGCTTTTGGTCCTTCTCCCTGTACGGATGCGTCGGGAGAGGAGACATTCACGAGGCACCCGGCTTCAGCGTCCACATTCCCCTCCCTGTACCGCCGACCTTGTCGAGGACAGCCACGCGGTCCAAGGCCGCCTTGAACTCGTCGCTCTGCTTCTTGCCGGGGCAGTAGGGGTTGAAGTGGTCCACCAGCATCTTGCTGGGCACGCGCCCGCCGTGGCGGTTGATGAAGGTCTTGATCAAGGCCACAAAGTCCTTGGACTTAAGGTTCTTGTCGGCCCCCGGCGTCGAGCGGGAACTACTGCCGCTGCCGAAGTCTAGGCCTTGGCGCTCAGCCAAGTTACTCATGATGCCGGCTGAGCTCGGCCCACCCCGGCGTCGATTTGCTCCGGGGCGACCCCCTGAGCCAACCTCACCAGTCCAGGTGACTGTCCCAATAGGTACGCGACGGGCCTCTTGGGCCGACAGGCGAAGATGAGCTGCCGCCTGGCGCGCCACTTCATTGGCCTCCTGCCGGAGGACGCCTACGTCCGCCTTGGCCTTCTGCGGGCCATTCACAATCTGCTCGTGGTCGTAGGCGCTGTTCACAGAGCGGGCAAAAATACCCTCCAGCATCCGTCTCTCATCGTGGACGGATTTGTCTTCCTTGAACTCTTCCATGGCAGCAACCAGGTGCATGTTTTGGAGCTCACGTTGCTCGGCATCGCCCTCTTTTCGCCCTATGCTGCCGATAGGCTCCAGCTTCTGCGCATCGGTTGTGGAACCAGCCAGGTCGACTTCGGCGCCTTTGAATACTTCACTTCGTTGAAGGGCGGCGTTGTCGCCGGCGTTGAAGCTGAATAAGTCGTACAAGTCCGTCAGATCATATGAGCTTCGTTGCTTGGGGTCTTTCAACACCTTGTTCGTCATGAACTGTTTGAAGATCTGCCGATGATAAATCTTCTCCTCAATCGTCCCTTCCGTCATGAGACGGTAGATCTTGACAGGCTTCTTCTGCCCCAGCCTCCAAGCGCGCTCTCGGGCCTGCAGGTCGGTGGAAGGGTTCCAGTCCGGGTCAAAAATGATGATGCGATCTGCTCCCGTGAGGTTGGTGCCCAGCCCACCTGTGCGCGTCGTCATGAGAAAGACGTGAATCTGCGGGTCGGTGTTGAATCTGTCAATCATTGGCTGTCTCTGGTCAACCGGCGTTTCTCCATCCATGCGCACGTACGCGATGCCACACTCTCCGATGCACTTCTCGATGATGTTGAGCATCAGCTTTCCCTGCGAAAAGAGCAGCGTCTTGTGGCCGTTGGGAACCATGACCTTTTGCAAAAAGTCCTTGGTGAGCTGGAGCTTGGCAGAGAGCCTCGGGCTTCCGAAGTCGTAGCCCGCTTTGCGCGCAAGGCTTTTATCCAACAGATCGGGGTGGTTGCAAATCTTGCGCAGTATGTCGATGCCATACAAAGACTGACGTCTTCGGTTCAAAATGGCCGAGACCTCGTCAGACTTGAGAAACGTCTCGTATGCTTGGCGTTGCCCGTCGGTTAGCTTGCAGAACAGCACTTGCTCCGTCTTTTCTGGCAAGTCTGCGGCCACATCTACCTTGAGGCGCTGCAACAAGTATTCACCGATCGTCTCCTTCAACGCCTCGGCGCACTTCTCGGCCGTCATGACCTGGAGGTTGGATGCGTTGGCGTAGCCGCCCTGCCGAATCGGAATCTCGAATTGGGTCCGGAAGTTGACGAGCGTTCCCAGGCGCATGGGATAGATGAAGTCAAAGAGGGACCACAGTTCCGTCAGGTTGTTCTGCACCGGCGTTCCGGACAGGATAATACGGTTTGGAGTGTTGAGTTCCTTGCAGCTGACAGTGATTTCCGCATTGGGGTTTCGAATCTTGTGGCCCTCGTCAAGCACTGCGTACTCCCATTCGACGGGGAGCAGCTCGTTCGCGTACGTTTGCAGGCCAGTGTACGTGGTCACGAGCACGTGGCCCTTGGCGACGACCCCCCTGACGATGCGCCTGGCAGCGCCCAGGGACTTGCTTGCAACGGGACGATTGCGCCCAATGTCATAATCGTCCTCCAGCCTGGGGTTCAGCATGCCGCTGCCCGACGAATGTAGGATCGCGACCCTCAAGGGGGGCCACCAACGATGAAACTCGCTCACCCATTGGCGAAGCAAAGTTGCTGGGGCGACGACAATCACTGGGCGCTTGAGCTTCTTGCTACAGTGGAGGGCGGCGATGAAAGCAATCAACTGCACGGTCTTTCCGAGTCCCATCTCGTCGCCGATGATGCCGCCGACACTTTGCTTGTAGAGTTCAGCCAGCCATTGAACTCCCGTCTTTTGATATCCGAAAAGAGAGGGGTGAATGTCGCCAGGGAGCTTGAGGTCGTCGTCGAAGTAGTGATCGGCGTAGTCTGGCGAGGGCTTGTGCCATTCCTCTTCCTCCCCGTCGCTCTCTGCGGCAGCATTGCTGGACCCATCGGCTTGTCGACGAGCTCGCCTGGCACGGCTCCTCCGAGAAATCCAATCTTTGAGCCTCTTCTGGTAGTGCGCTTCGTTTCCGTCGTCTATTTTACTGAGGTCGATCTCCTCCGACTCCGATTCCTTGGCTTTGGCCTTGGCCTTGTTCTTGCAACGCTGTTGTCGAACCAGGTCGTCTTCTGTGCCTTGTTGCCAGAGAGTGGTGTCGAGCAGCTCAGAGCCCGACGAAGCCTTGGGATCGAACTCAGCAGAAGGACTGCGCTCTTTCTGGACTCGCCGCTTTTTCCGGGGGCGCAAGGAAAACTCGGATTCAACCGCCGCCGCTGGGGCATCGCTGACTTTGGCCTCGGCTTCGTCGGCAAAGCCGGGACGCCGCAGCGCCTGGTGAGACGTCGGCCCTTGGGCATCATTATCCAACTGCTCGGCCAAGGAATCCTGCTCGGCATCCAGAATCGTGTCGGCCAGCTGCCCTTGTAGATCAAGGGACCTTGCACCGCCGATTTTGGCAAAAGGAGTGATCTTTCCAGTGCGGATGAGATAGTCGCGGTGACTCTCGCCAGGGAGTCTGCCTGCCTTGGCCATGTTGGTCTTTTCCAGGGGATCTTCCTGGTGTCGCTTATTGATGCGGGCTTGGAAGTCGGAGGCATCTTGGCTGGCTTGGCGAATGTCATCCTCGAGCTTGGCAATCTCCTTTTGGGCATTTCGAGACTGATACGGGTTTCCGGCAACTCGCTCGAGCCTCTTCTTTTCCTTGTCTAGCTGGAGCCGGAGACGCTGTTTTGTTGCATCTAGCTTGACAATTCGGTTCTTATCCTTGCTGTCCTCTGCTTCCATCAGCGCCGTGTTGGCTTGAATGGTGATATCTCGTTCCAAGTCGTCCTGGTCTCTGACAGCGCCTGTGAGATTCTTCAAGGCATCCTCTTCACTCATGCCAGCCGTCTGTGGCTTATCGGACGCATTTTCGGCCGCGGATGCTCCATGAGCTGCCGCCATGATTCTGTTGACCAGGGTGCCACGGCTCTCACCCTGGTCGCCCTCGCCCTGGTCCCAACGAGGGTCCATGACTGGTGAGCAGAAGACGCGAGAACAAAGGCGATAAACAGACGCGAAGAAGTATTCGATCAAGACAGACTACAGCCGACTTGAGAGCGGCTCAAATGGGATTTCGAGCATCGCTTTCCCCAGACGAGCGGAGTGGAACCTCTTCTGGAGCGTTCACGTTGCGTTCGCGTTGGCGGCAGCTCTGGTGAGAAGGCGTGGTGGTTCAGTTCGCAGGCGGTTTGAAGCCCCGAAGCTCGTCGACGCAAGAACTCGCGAATGCTCAAGGGGAGAAACAAGGGTTCTCAGAGCCAAGGCGGCTTAACCAGTAGCTGAACGCAGGCGAAGGACAAAGAGTCCCAGGTTGTTCGTGACGTGTGATGCGAGGTGCTGGTTACCTAAGCTTAAATATCCAAGTACCTATGTATCCAGCACGTCACCCAGCTAAGCGCGGTGCTCGCTTGACATGACGAAAACTCCCGCACGGTTAACGCTCCACATACCCTGGACTCAGACGCCTTGTCGGCATCACCCCTCGCCCAGCCTCCATGGCGTAGTGGTGACACGTCTGGAGCCTCTGCATCGCAGAGGGTCGGTTCGAAACCGGCTGGAGGCACCCCTGGTGAAACAGGGCACACCCGGGTTCCCGCTCGTCAACAGGGAACAGCGTCACGAGAGAACACCAGTTCACAACGTCAAGTTCAATGGGAGAGCCGAAAAACAAAAAAGTCAATTGGAACAGAAGAATTCGTCAAGTACAATCGGCGTACCAACCACCATCAATAACTAACACAACCAGCTTCAACTTCGACACATCGCGCTTCAGTTGCTGAGGATAGGATGCTGAACACTTGGAGAAATTGACCTTCAAGCAGGTCTGTCATGGAGCGAACAGTGGAACGGTTGGCGCAGCGTAAGAAGATCTGTGGGGCTTGGGGTGTCATGCATCAATGTATCGAATCGTCAACAGTTAAAGTGTCTAGGCCTTATAGGGACCTCCCTCCGGGCGAAATAAATACTACTACTACCCCTCGCCCCCAAAAGTCTCTATCCAGGCAAGAGAAGAAGGTCAAGGATGCTCGCTGAAAAGGCCTTCAGGGTTTTGACTCTGTCCCGATCGCCTTCTGTGGCCATCAGAAGCAACCGCAGTTTGGACAACATCAGCTGGCTGGCTCCTAAGACTTGACCTTTGGCAGAATGCCTCGCTTGTTCAGATCCTTCAGGTCAACTCTGTAGCGGTTAATGTGCTTCTTACAGAAATCAGCCCGCTCGTCCAGGCCCACCGCCTTCAGCCAGTGGATCCAGCCCAGCTCTATGTCGGCCGTGGCCATGTCATAGAACTCAAGCAGCTTCTTGCCGTACTCGTCGTCTGGGGCTGAAGCAAAGGCGAAGACCCGCCGGCTCAAGTCCACCCATAGCGAGAGGAATTCTACGTCAAAAGAAGCTTCTGGGTATCTCATTTCCACGGTGTCATACGTGGACACGGCAATCGCACCCCTGTTGCCGTCCAGCAATGACCCGCTGCCAATCCTTGGCAACCGCAGCCCCCTTCCGATGGACTTGATGTCTGCCGTGGAGAAGATGGCGCAGAGCATTCTGAAGATGCTCGGCTCGTCACTCGACCTACCCCTAGCTTTTGCCCGGAATGTGCCTAAAAGGTTGCCTTCCAGAGAGCTCGCAAGAGGTGCCTCGGGCGAGGCGGACGCGTTTACAGCAAAGACCGAGTCCGTGCTGATGGGCCGCGTGTGCGGTGAATTTTGGCGGCAGGGATGGCAGAGCTTCAGCAGAAAGCGCCTTTCCATCAAAAGCACCAAGGCTGCCATTCTCCTCGTCACGGCAATGTCCAGTTTCCCACGCAGCGGGCTGACATGGACGTGGAAGCCACATTCGTCGTTGAGCCAGACCTTGACATTGTTCTGGATGCTGGCGAGTGCCTTTTTGACTGTCGGGAGCCCCTCGTCGAGCTCTGCCTGGTCTGAGATGATTTGGCTGTTGATTTCAATCGTGTGCCAGTCGTGGAGTCCTGGAGTCTTTATGCGCCTCTTCACGATCGCGTCAGTCACAGAGCCGTCGTAGGTGACAAGCCAGTAGTTGAACCGAGCCTCTGTGCCGTCGGTGCCCCCTCGCTCCGGATTCCACACAAGTAGGCGACTCGAGGAGCTGAGGTCAATCTGTTTGTGATTCGAGCTCTCGCTGGCATCGGGATCGCTTGGCATAGGGTTGGGGCTTACCGCGCGGGCGACAGGAAGCCCACAATTGGCCATTACATGGCATACCGCTTTCCGGCACGCGTGGGTTGCGTATATCGAATCGTCTGTAATTTCCTCATTAGCAGCTGAGTCCGGCCAGCGACCGTCCACTGGGGACCCCGTCTTCCCCAGCCTCTCGAGTTCAGGACTCTGAGTGGCGACCATGAACTCCAGCTCCAGCCCCACGCGAACCGGCGTCATTGTCGAGGTAAATGCCGTCTGAGTAGTGACCGGAAAGGCGTTGGGATCTGACTTCCGAGTGAGAGTTCTGCAACAACGACCACGTCGACGGCGCCATCAGGGACAGATGAAGTAGCGACGGAGAAGCATCTTATAGGAAAACATGCCCTGCGATCTGTCAACGCCGGTCGGGACAGACACGGGACGACCGTCCCCCGATGTAGACATACTACTGGTGAAGCACGGAACGCAGTCCAGCACAGCAGCAGCAAGGTGTGAACGCCCGACTCGAACATCGTGACTGGTGCAACATCAAGGAATAGGAACGAGTCTGCGCGCAAATTCTGCACCGGGCCGACAGAGTCTTGTTTGTGCAAAGGGGCCAGGGTCGTACAGTCTCGACGTATGGTGTTACACACGGAGGATTGTCCCTTGAACATGCCGCAGAGCGGGAGCGAGTAACGGCGGGTGACGATCCGGGGCAGTTTGGGAAGTCGAAGGGCCGACTGGCTCGAGAGCTGTTCCTCCTTGGCCTTGGACGAAAAAAATGCCTTGGCCATTTGATTGGTGTTGTCTGAACACAAGGTCTTTACAGGACGACCATGCTTGCCGATGAGGTGCGGGTTCTCCGTGACGATACTCTCAAACCTGAGAGAGGCGACCCTTTCTCCAAAACTCGGGGTGTTGCTCTCCAAGGCGTTCTGCGAGTGGCCGGTGCTGGTGCTATCCTTGATCTATGCCACATAAATGCCTACTTCGTGAAAAATCGCGTAACTACCTCATCTGAGGCCTGCCAAGGCGCAATCCCAACCAACCGAGGCGGATAAACATTCTCAGCACTCGGCTGCCGTTTGTCACTCGAGAGACATCCGGGTACGCTCTGCTCGCACAAGACCAGAGCCCCAACGAATGAGCCGTCAGACCCGGACCAATAGGCAGTAACCTGCTCATCCCTAGACGCCGTTTGGATGCAGCTATCCGTCCCCAGCTGGAGAGCCGGGGGGCCCCTGGTGCCAGTGAATCGAGGACCGAGGTTTTCATGCTGGAAAACGCTGATCATTGCATATTCAATGGCGCCGCTATCCCACCTGTTGGCACGCCCAACTTACGTTTCCAAAATGTGCAGATTGTAAGTCGCATAAGAGGGCGATGGATTGATTGTCCCCCCCCCCCCCCCCCCATCCTGCCTGTCTCTCGCCACAGCATTCACTTATCCAGCCAGCCAGGTCCCCACGGCCGTCTCTCTCAGATGGGAGTCGGCGAACCGTCAGCATCGAGTGATGAAAACAGTGACAGCTTCACCAAGGTCCCCACTGAAGATCCCCACTGAAGAGGCAGGCGACCTTGATGAAGAGGACATCAGATATCGCCAGAGGCAAGCGTGCGGAGACCAGTAAGAAACGCGAGGATCGTGAAGCCACCTTTGCCGGCCCAGGAGCGCCGTAGAGAAGGTGGCTCGAGGAGGAATTCGACACGAAGGTGAGGCGGCGCTAGAGAGGCAACGGTCGGACGTTACGTTTGCTTTGTATGCGCCTTTTCACCCTATCCATCTGCTCAGGCCTGATGATATGACCGAGAAGCAGGAATAGCTCGGAGCGGAGAGACAGCATTTGATGTATGTCTGTCGCGAAAGATCCGCGCCGGTTCAGTTGTGTTGGAAAAAGCCGTGTCTTTCAACTTGGCCCTGCCCATTGTTTTCTGTTCGGCATGACTGGGCATCAGTTTGACCACTGAGCTCCGAAGATAGGCTGTCGTTGATCCCCTGTGACAAATCGAGCATATTGACCATTGATCACTCCATGGCTCCCAAAATCGTCGATAATGGCGTTTGTTCCATGAGTTCTCAATAAACAACCGCAGGTACCTGAAGCTCGCCCAAAGCGTTTGCAACTGCTACCCATGACGATTGGGGCCGGCTTCAGTCCGGAACCAGTCGTTGTGTGGCTTTGATGAAGGTTGTGTTTGAGCATTCAATACTCTCCCCACCCGAGCCCGATGAGTTAACAATGACTCGACTGACGCAAACGTCCCGGACACAGGACTTTACCCTCAATCATCGAACTGCCCCACGCAGTCTCCGTTATATTCCATTACCTGCTCCATTTTCAAGTCGACGAATGCATCTGGCTCCTCACGCGCCTGCTCGTCCAGTGACTATTTTCTCGCTGCAGTCCACTTTCAGGTACTCGGCACATATTGTTCAACATTTAAGGGTCTTTGCACCGCGTAGCTGACCTAGAACCGCTTCGTAGCCCACGCGTCACGCTTGAGGCCGGAGAGGGGCCTGCAGACGTGCTGCAGCCTCCTTGCCTCCTCAGCTCGCTCCATGGCCTAGAGGAAATGATGTAGACGGGGCTTGTAGGTTGCCACAATCTCCTCCGGCTTGTCGCCTGAACAAATGCACGGTTCAGGTTCAGCGATCAGCAGCCAGGGCGGATCTGTTAAGAACTGACCTGGCATGGCGCTTGTCTCCTCAAAATCTAGTGCAGCGACAATGCGAAGAGTCTTCGGGTCGACGAGGAAGTTGTGCGGTTGAAAGTCGTCACAATAACGCTTGAAAGAACCTTTGTCTTCGACACAGTACTGGTCCACCAGCCGTATAAAGTAATGGCGAGCGGCATATAGACACCGAGCTTTGATGCCGCTGACAGAAATTATGTGCTAGGTCTTGAGGCGTGATGTCGTTGTGCGCGAGTGTCCGGAAAAAGTCGAAAGCAGATTCAAGAAGAGTTGAGGGAAACCCGTCAATTGGAAAGCATGGGGTGGTTGCCAGCACATTCATTCTAAATGTAAAAGTCTCCCGCCAACAGACCACCCATAAGAATCAGAGTCTTTGGAGATGGCCCCACTGCAGTCAAAGTTCAATTGAAATAATTGAAGCAAATAGCCCCGATCTGCTGGTAGACAATGTCGAGCATCTGATTATCGATGTTTGGATCGAGGTGCTGCGTATCGGAATTTGCCTGATCCTGGAGGATATCACATAATTTCGTGCCATCGACGAACCTGGAGAGTATGTTGCGCTGAGCCGTCCTCGGCATAGCTCCAACTTCTCAGGCGTGGGACAGGAATCGTAGTGTTCTGGGTGGTGAAACCGATTACGTGGGCCTCGTTTGAGACCTTTTGGTCGAGGCAAACCATGCGCCCGGGCATGGGAAACCGAATGATGGCTTTTGGGCAACCATCCTTGAAGAATATCCGGAAGAAGTTTTATGCGCCGGCATATCACTCATCGATACTTGCTGGCGATGAAGTCTGCAATCTCTCGTACGTCAAAGGCACGGTGCATCCACTGATTTGCTTTCTTCTCGCGCTCTTGATCTGCAATCTCGTCGAAGACTCCAGGTTTGCAGCAGAGGTGAGTCGATTAGAGATATATGTGAAGCTCTTGAGAGGATCCATGGAGTGAGGAAGGTTCCAAGACAAGATTAGATCCCGAATTTCGGCTTGTGAAGGGCGGAAGGCAGCTCTGGTACGACTTTTCGTCCTTTAAAACTTGGGAATAAAAGCGTCTCGAACGTCCTTGCTTGGAGTTGCCCCGGATATGAAGGGGGAAGACGAAGACAAATTGCGAGGTGGCTGCCAAGGAGGCCAACAACGATTCCAATAACGTGAAAACCTTGTGATGTACCGCAAGCACTTCAAACAAGCCCGCGGCCCAGGACCATGAGGGACTGGATTGTCCCAGCGCTGACAGGTCGGGGTCAACCCCCCGAAAGGCAGCGAATTGATGCTTGGGGCAACGGGAGGGAGACGCACCAGAGACAAATGGATTGCCAACTCGACAGTTCAAATCAACAGGGGTCATATTCAGCCAACGGTTCGCCAGAGCCACGGTGTGCGTGCTTCATGATGCCTGGGAAATGTGGAATGTCGATGGCCGCGGCGGTGATGGCGGCGCAAGAGGCTTGCTGCTGTCGTACTCACGCTGACCACGAGGTCGGCGTTTCACAGAGCTGGCCTCGCGAGTGTTGCTCTCTTGATGCTGTATGTCCTGGAAGATGGCCAGGTGGCTTTGCCGTGAAACAAGAGTAGCACAACAGCCCTAGGCGCGCTGCATCGAGTGCTTCGTGTTGCTGCAGTTGGACGACCGGAATTGGGGGTGACATGCTGGCAGGGGAGGGATGTCATGCGGCAGCAAGCTCCGCTGTTGGTCAAGCGAGAGAGGAACAGGGCGAGAAACCGGTTCCCGAGGCGGGATGCAGGCGATATCGAGGATATGAGAGCCAGTCAACTCGTGAAAGAGGCTGGATCACGGCCTACGTTGAAGTACCTGGTAGATACTTGTGAGTTTCGTCACCACGGCGGAATTGTGCGTCCAAGCATGTACTGCTTCTGTACCCTGCGCAGTCAGGGGCAAGGAGGTCTCAGTGTCGAAAGCGCGCACCGACGTTGATCCGAAAAGCCAATCAGCTACTCGCACCTCCAGCAATGAGCTCTGCCTCTCCGTTTGCTGGTCGATCCAACCGAAGCCAAACGCAGACGACCATATCGAGTAAAAAAAATAGCGGTACGTGCGAGACGGACAGCGAAAGAGGCCGGAGGAAACAGGGAGGGAAATCTCAAGCGTCAAGCGACGAGGCTTCGTTGCCAGGCGACACAACTCGATCCTCCTCGCATCGCCCCAACGAAGCCCATGTGGCCGGCCGCCCTCGATCGAAATGCACATCATCAAGCCTGCGTGGCTGAGCCACAGCGGCGAGCAAAAGGACTTTGAAGTCTACAGCTGCCACGTCTCGTCGGACGGAAAGCGACTCGCGACGGCCGGCGGCGATGGCCATGTGCGCATCTGGTCGACCGAGGCCATCTACAGCGCAAACGACGGCAGCTATTCCAAGTCGCGACAGCTGTGCCACATGAGCCACCATCTTGGCACCATCCACTCCGTGCGCTTCTCTCCCAATGGGCGTTACCTGGCCAGCGGCGCCGATGACAAGCTCATCTGCGTCTACCACCTCGACAAGGGCCCGCCCGCCGCCACCTTTGGCACCAACGAGCCGCCTCCCGTCGAGAACTGGAAAACGTACAAGCGACTCATTGGCCATGAAAACGACGTCCAGGATCTCGCCTGGTCCGTCGACTCATCTCTCTTGGTCTCTGTTGGCCTCGACTCAAAGGTCGTGGTCTGGTCCGGACACACGTTTGAGAAGCTCAAGGCCATCCCTGCCCACCAGAGCCACGTCAAGGGCATTACCTTTGACCCGGCAAACAAGTTCTTTGCGACGGCCAGCGACGACCGAACCATCAAGATCTTCCGCTTCACCGCCCCCGCTCCCAATGCGACGCAGCATGACATGATCAACAACTTTGTCCTCGAGACCACCATAAGCTCGCCCTTTAAGAGTTCGCCCCTGACGACATATTTCCGACGATGTTCGTGGTCGCCGGACGGGAACCACATTGCTGCCGCCAACGCTGTGAACGGACCCGTTAGTTCTGTCGCCATCATTGAGCGTACGCGCTGGGAGAGCGAAATCAACCTGATCGGACACGAGGCTCCGACAGAGGTCTGCATGTTCTCGCCCAGACTGTTTCACACAGTCAAGCCCGACCAAAACGGGACTGCCAACGGGCATGGAGGCCAGCTAGTCACTGTCATTGCCTCTGCGGGCCAAGACAAGACGCTCAGCATCTGGAATACCAACACTTCGCGTCCAGTGGTAATCTTGCAAGACCTGACTGGCAAATCAATATCCGACTTGGCTTGGACTCCCGACGGCCAAACTCTTTTCGCGTCCAGTCTCGACGGCGGGATTGTCGCCGTCAAGTTCGATGAGGGGGAGCTGGGCTGGGTTGCCCAGCCCGAGGAGAACGTCAAGGCTCTTCAAAAGTACGGAGCCTCGAGAAAAGGGATGGGAATCGCCGAAGATGTGGACGGCCTGATGCTGGAGACTCACAGCAAAGCGGGAGAGTCTAGGGCAGCCGAGTCACGGATGGGCGCTCTCATGGGCGACTTTCAGTCAGACACAAAAGAGTCGACGCCGGCGACAAACGGGACCAAGTCTGGGGCGCCATCGACCAAGCCCGCCTCGACGGTCAACGACGAGGCGGAGCCTGAGAAGCCGCCTGAAGAGCGCTCGGACAAGGTCGCCGAGCGGGTCAAGGAACTCAAGTCTCGGGTTACGGTTGGGAAGGACGGCAAGAAGCGCGTTGCGCCGCTGCTCGTTTCGTCGTCGGGAACCGGGCAGTCGTCGTTGCCCCAGACGCAGCTGGTTGGCTCAACCGCCACCAAGACGGCGCAGAGTGATGCTCCGCAGACGACGCTGGACCTGACGAAGCCGTTTGAAGGGTTGCCCAAGGGGGGGATTGCTTCCATGCTGCTGGGAAATAAACGGAAAAGCGCCATGGCGGACGCCGAGGACGAGGAAGAGCCGAGTTCCAAGCGCGCAGTCTCTGGGCCAACGCCCGTCGTCGCCGACGGCCCCAACGGCGTCGAGTCGGTTGCGCTGACACCGGTGCAGAACGGCGTCGTTCCGACCCCCGAGTTCCTTCGCCCCGCCGTGCTCAACCCTGCCATATCATTTGCGCAAGTCAGGCTGGCTGTGCCCAAGATCAGGACCCATATCCTCAGGCCTCTCGAGCGAGGCGTTTTGCAAGCCAACGGCTCGCTCGACGATGCCTCCAAGGTCCCAGAGAACATCATCATGGAGGCGAGGAATGACGCGAACCCCCGCGACCCGTCACACGTCTTCGTCACCAAGCGGGGGGCTCTGGTTTGGCAGGAATTCTTGCCACGGGCCATTCTTCTTGTGACGGGCAACAAGTATTTCTGGGCTGTTGCGTGTGAGGATGGCTCTATGCACGTCTGGAGTCCCGCCGGGCGGCGGCTCCTCAACCCCATGATCCTAGAATCCCAGCCCGTCATCCTCGAGTGTCGCGACCGCTGGCTGCTATGTATCACAGCGGCCGGGCTGGCCCACGTCTGGGATCTCAGGAGACAATCGTCCCCCCACCCGCCCGTCTCGCTTGGCCCGATTCTGGACATTGCAACCACGTCGCTGAACCAGCACACGGCCACGTCGGGGCTTGGAGTGACGTCTGCGCACCTCAACTCGACGGGACACATTGTCGTGGCGCTCACAAACGGCGATGGATTCTTCTACGCCCGGGAAATGTACACTTGGCAACGGTTGAGCGAGGCATGGTGGGCCGTCGGCTCTCAGTATTGGAACTCGAACGACTCGTCCATTTCGGCGCTGCAGTCGACAGCAGTAGGGCCTGTGGATGGCAAGGAAAAGACTCTGTCTGGCGCCACGGTCTCGTCTGGCATCATACCCTTCCTGGAGCGACATACGACCAACGAGTTCCTGCTCAAGGGTCGTGCCTATGCGCTCCAGCGCATCATCAAGGCGGTCATTCAACGGAAAGAGGCCGAGGACCTGGAGAGCGCGGTGAGCATTGCGCACTTGGAGAACCGCATGGCGGGCGCAATGCAACTCGGGGCGAGGGAGGAGTTCCGGTTGTATTTGTTCATGTACGCGAAGCGACTCGGGGCCGAGGGGGCCAGGACCAAGGTCGAAGAACTGCTGAATAGCCTGATGGGGGGGATCCTGCGGGAAGCCGTGACGGGCGACGAGGACGACCGAGGTTGGTACAGCAAAGGAGACGAGATTTGCGGGTGGGATCGCAAGGAGCTGCTCAAGGGCGTGGTGCTGATTCTCGGTAAGTTGAAGGTCCTCGAGCAACGGTGCCCGTAGAATGAGGTGCTGACGAATACTTGCCAGGTAAATATCGTGAGCTTCAGCGGTTGACGTCGCAGTATGCCAGGGTGCTGGGCCTGAGCCTCGAAGATGGATCCGTCGACGTCGAGTCGATGGATGTGGAGACATGATCGATGGCTGTCGTGGGTGCTTGTGGCCTCGGACGGCTGCTCTGCATCCATGGCGAGCCTTTTTGCTCCTCGGGGCATTGTACACTGTAATTATTAGACGAGAGGCACGGCGGAACTGGAGACTTGTGCTTGTTTGCGGCGAGCGACCAAGGCGGCCTGGAGTTTAGGATCGACAGCAGGTGCTTTTTCGCTAGTTTTCTTGGACCTGGATGGAGGCTGGCTGGCTTCTGGAGGTGTAGGCACAATTGCTTGATACGAGGCCGGCGCTGGCTTGGTGGACTTGCTGTGTGGCCTTGGCGGCGGCTCGACTACGTTGATAGGGGGGGTGTGAAGATGAAGGCATAGCGAACTATGCGCCTTGGCTCATCGGCATTGCCTTTGTTGGCACCGTCGTATCTCATCTTCCCGCTGGGCAACGACAGCTTGGTTTTTCTACGCAACGGGATGCATCCCTCGAGGCAGCATGTCTGTGTCGGTTCTCCGCCGTGGCGAGAGAGCCTGGCAGGCGGCTGGGTAGGAGAGACAAGGAGTAATGGTCCTTCATGGCTACATGTCGTCGCCCGCTTGCAGCTGCCGGAGCACCTTTAGCAGCCAGAAAAGAATACACGGATGAAATTTCAAGGCGCTGCTGCTAGGGGGAAGAGGTTGCCATGGGACGGATGGCAGAGAAAGCAGAGGCGGAGGGTACATGCCTCGGGTCGTTGGGGCCTCGCAGTTGCCCGTTCACTGTTCTGGCTCCGCGGTCCCGGCTTGCTGCTCTGCCAGCTGCCAGCCAGCCAGCCCTCTCTTGTTTCTCGTCCCCCTCCTCTCTCCTCTCTCTCTCGCTCCCTCTCCCTCTCCCTCTCTCTCTCGCCACCCCGACCCTTGAAACATCAACACGATCCTTGACTGCAGCATCATCACAGCAGCCTGACGTTTCCTCGCCTTTCAGTCACTCCTTTTACTCCCGCAAACCTCCCTCTCCGCTTCCCCCTTTCCGGAATCTCCCTGTTGATTCTTGCGTCAAGCCTGTCGACGACGACGACGACGACGACGACGACGACGACGGCCAGCTGTTTTTGTTTCCCGTCGTCTGTCAAGTCTCGCATCTTCAGCCAAGCCTTCCCGCGTCGTTGGTCAAAGCCAGGCGTGCAACATCTCCCGCGCCGTCACTCTTCCCGCATCGTTTCAGGCCAAAGCACCATGAACCGCGCCCCAGGCCCAGTCCGTTGGTTCAGTCTGTGCCTGGCCCTTGGCGCCTGCCTCTGCGTTTGGTTCGGCCTGCTGCTGCCGTCCAACAAGCTGGCCGTCTCGATGGCTTCTGCTGACCGCCCGCCTCGCGCCGTCATCGTTTCTCTTGCTCACGAGCACGACCTGCGTCCAATTCTCTCGTCCATCTCCCAACTCGAGGAAACATTCAACAGCCGTCACCGCTACGACTGGGTCTTCTTCAGCACTCGTCCTCTGAGCGAGCAGTTTCGGCGTCTCACCTCGAATGCCACCAAGGCCGCCTGCCTGTACGACGTCATTGACAATGCGCACCCGAGCGTGCCAGGTGATGCTCACGACCCCCAGCTGGATGCCCAGTGTTCGGTGATGGAGAGAGACGACGACCCCTACGAGGCGACGCCCCTCGCTCGTCGAATCCGTCGTTGGAAATCCGGTGCCTTTGCCAAGGAGAACAGACTCAAGGGCTACGACTGGTTCTGGATTGTTGAGCCAGGTGTAAGCGTGGCCCTGCAGCCTGGTCTGCCTCATGCCGAACGAGGCTAACGTTGCATCATGACACAGGCCCAGTTCAACCACAACATTGACTTTGACGTGTTCCGCGTCATGCGCCACCACGGCATCGCCTATGGCTCCAACAAGGCCGGCGTGGACGGCGTCCACTTGCGCAAACTGTCGCGGCACGTCAGAAGGTTTGTTGACGAGAACCCAGGACTCGTGCACGCCGAAGCCGACATCTCGTGGCTGCTGGGCTCTGGGGATGGGGGCCAAGGCGCCGCTGATGACTTCGACCCCGAGGCAGGGGACGCCATCGTGGCGCAAGACTACGAGGCTCTCCAAGAAGGCCTCGCAGAGTCCTTTGCAACGGGCGGGTGGCAGGGTGAGGGCGGAGACGGAGACAATGCCGGCGCTCCGATAGAGGTCTTTGCTTCGCGGCTGGGCAGCATTTACAGGAGTAGCCTGTGGCCGGCGTTTGAAATTGGATCGTTGGCCTTCTTGCGTAGTCAGAGTCACCAGGCCCTGTTCGAGCACCTTGACAAGGCCGGCGACCTCTACTACCGTGGATTCGGCCAAGCATCGACGCCCACGCTCAGCGCGAGCATGTTTCTTCCGCAGAAGAGCGTGCTGCGTATCCGAGTACGAGACAAACGGTACGCCCGGGGGCCGAGCCCGCCCGACTCGACGCCGAATCCGAAACTTAACCTGGCCCGTATTGTTAGAGACATCAAAGCGGCATCAGCCGGAGCCGTGGATCAGCGAGAGGCGATGCTGCTACGCGAAGCCATGGCCGACTGGCAGGCCTTTTGGGAGCTGGTTGCAGTCGAGTTTGACAGGCAGGGACGCATGCCCGACCTGCAGTCTGGAAACACGGTGGTTGACGAGCGGAACTTTCAACTTGACAAGTCGAAGCCCAAGCCCAAGCCCAAGCCCATTAGGCTGGTATACCGCATGGTCGACTATCGGGGGCTCGGGCCTGTGGCAACTCCGCCGAGAAGACAGCCAAAGTCGGTGATGCTGATGTAGCACATGGACGACAATTAGGGCATCGGAACCGTGACGACTTGACGAAGGCGGTCGAGAGGACCACGGCTGGGGGGGAGGGGGAACAGGCTTGTGAGAGAAAGTGAGTGAGTGGGAGAGAAATGAGATCTTGGGGCTGGCCTAGATTTACTGCAGAGCTGAGCAGGGAATAGGCAAAAGGAACAGAGAGGATCGTGTTCCAGTATTAGCCGTTGTAATGTGTGAAGTTGTCGGTGCGTGTTGGGAGAGGGAGATATCGTGTGATGATTGATGCCGGGATAGGTACTCGGTACTGTATGTGCGTGGAAGGAAGGTGCCGCTTCGGGACTGGAGAATCATGGGGCTTCTCGGCTCGGAGCCGATGCCGCAGGCGTTGAATGTTTGTCCAGGCAAGTTGATTAACCGAACTTTACGTGCATAATATGTACAGCAGGTACCTAACTACCTACCTAGGCAGCTACTGTGGGAGGCTCAAACAAGCACATGCAGCTGCCGTCTGCAGAGCGTGGTGCCAACGGTACCTAGTAGCCGAGTATGGACGAGGTATTTCCGGATAAGCCGTCTACGGCAGAATACCTCGGTGCTACCTTGGGTACTCATGTATCTGAGACAGGCAAGATGTACAGTACTGGGAAAGGCTGCCAGTTACCAGTGAAAAGAAGGAGACAGGATGCTGAGACTTGTGGGATATGTGATGCAGTCTTTCTACATGATGGTGGGAAGGCCGAGGCGAGAGGTCCAAGGCGCAAAGACCCCCTGGTTTCAACTACCGGGAGCAGCAGGATAAGGTATCTGTGCGATGCCAAGCTTGTGAGCAGAGAAGGCGCCTGTACGGATACGTTGATATGTACCTATATTATAACTTAACTACCTAGGTGCCTAGGTATCTTAGGTAGGTACCTACCTACTTGCTTGCTCAGCTGGGCCGGGATGGGTGTCCAGACACAGGTCACGCAGGTACCTCCTTGAACTGTACCAAGCCGGCGCGCCCTCGGCAACAACGTGGCGCGACTGTCTGGCATGCTTTCCATCCATGACATGTCCGACGTCACCTCACCAAGATCCTTTCTTCCATTTGCCTCCGTGGGCCCCCTCTGCCCAACTCTGCCCTTCTGTCGCCCACAGTCATTTCCTGTCTTATTTGTCTTATTTTAAATTCTTTCTCGTCTTTTGTTATTTCTGCCTCTGGTTGGCTCGCTGGTGGGGCTACACTCTGTGCCGCTGCTGTGGGGCCCATCCATCCATCTATCCATCCATCATTCATCATCCATCATCAATCTGCAGACCGACATTGCAGGCCAGATTACCGACGCGCACCCCCTCGCCGAGGGGAGCCCTCCCGGTTACAAGATTCATAAAGACCCGCCATCGACGCCTTCCCGCGACAGCCTTTTCCGTCTTGCGCGCGACGAGATCCCGTCGCTGCCGCCGCTCGCGTCCAACTCCATCGCTTCCCTCAACTCTCCTCGACCTCGACAACGACCATGACAATACTTGAGACCGTCGCCCCTAGGCGGGCCAAGGCGGTCGCATTGCGCAACAATGGCTTCGCCAGGAACCTGTCCTTGATCACGGTACCTATACCCTCCCTATTTCCATGTCCTCCCGGCTCCGCGTCCGCCCATCCAACACTGACGCATTGCCTCTCTCAGCTTACCTTTCAGAACTCGGCTCTAATACTGGTATGTCCCTCGACTCCATTGCTTCAGTCAATTAGATCCCTGACCTTGACTTCTCCTCCAGATCATGCACTACTCGCGCATCATGCCGCCGTCGGGCGACCACCGCTACTTCACCTCGACCGCCGTCCTCCTCAACGAGGTCATCAAGCTCGCCGTCGCCCTCACCCTCGCCATATACGAGACCTCCAAGACGCTCGCCCCCAGCACTCCCGCCACCGTTCTCTTTGAGCAGATCTACAATGCCGTCTTTTCCGGCGACGGCTGGAAGCTCATCCTCCCCGCCGCCTTCTACACTCTACAGAACCTACTGCAGTACGTCGCCGTCGAGAATCTGGACCCTGTCCACTTTCAGGTTCTCTACCAGGTCAAGGTAGGGCTCATGCTCTTTGGGAGCTTCGCGCCGCAGGTCCCATGTGTTGACAGGTCTGGCTAGATCCTCACCACGGCCATCTTCAGCGTCGTCCTTCTCCGACGTCACCTCGGAATCAAACGCTGGGTGTCCCTCTGCGTTCTCACCTTCGGTGTCTCCGTTGTCTCCCTCCCCTCGTCCGAGACACGCGTCGATGCTCTCCTGCTGCACGGCATCCCCGACCACTACTTTCCCCGCTCCAAACACGAGCTGGGTCAAGCCGTCGATCTATCGACCCCCGACACACACCTGACGAGACGCTCCGCCACCTACGAGGGCATCGCCAACGACCTGCCTCCCCCCGATCCCCTCATGAACTACTCCGTCGGCGCAACTGCCGCCGTCGTGGCCGCCGTCGTCTCGGGCTTGGCGGGCGTCTACTTTGAGAAGCTGCTAAAGGAGAGCCCTTCGCAGACGAGCGTCTGGATCCGCAATATCCAACTCAGCTTCTATTCCATCATAGCCGCCACACTCGGCGGCGTCATCTGGCAAGACGGGAGCGGCATTCGCGAGCATGGCTTCTTCGAGGGCTACAACTGGGTCGTGTGGGCCGCCATCGGGCTGCAGGCCGCCGGGGGCTTGATTGCCAGCATCGTCATTCGAGACGCCGACAACATTGTCAAGAACTTTGCCACCAGCATCAGCATCGTCATCAGCTTCATTGTCAGCGTATGGGTCTTTGAGTTTACGGTGACGGTGACGGTAAGGGTCCATCTTATACTCGCCCAAAATCAGCCGCTAACTAGGCATATATGGCGCAGTTCCTCCTCGGCACCTCGCTCGTCCTCCTTGCCACGTACCTGTACAGCATCCCTGAGCGCAGCCGCCACCGCCCGCCCGCCGTGCGCATCGTCAGCTTCGAGAAGCCCGCCATCGAACGCGTCGTGACTCCCGGGACGACACCCCGCATCCCTGACGCCAGCCGCCTCAACTCGGACCCCTTTGACGCAAAGGGCCTGGCCATGACGTCGAGCCGCCCCAACAGTCCCATGCTGCCGCGGCAGGCGAGCCGCACGCACATGCTCCGCGAGGAGTGAGATGGACGAGAGGGTTAAGAGACGGGAAAGAAGGAGAAAAACGGAAAAAAGTACGACGGGGTTGAGGCGCTTTCATTGGGATAAATAGCCTACATGATGGGGACAAGATTTGCCCTTGGATTTTGGATACCACATGAGTGGATTTTAGTGCGTTACGTATTTGGATTGCGAGGCAATAGAGCTGGGCTCGACGACAAAGAGGTGAGGTGGTGGCATCAAACGAGCGCCACCCTGGGAATGCGAGAAACACAAGGTCAGGCCTGGGTCATGCATGGACGAAGAGATTCGCGAGGATACCATGGGGCGCGGGAAAATCACGGCGAAAACCGCGGGCGATGACATGGGTAAATACGACGAGACCGTTCTCAGACGTCTGCAGGAGAAGGAGATGACGATGCAGGCGGGACGAATTGCCCAGCGAGCGGAAGCGCATTTGATCTATGGCACATCTAGGCGAGGAGGGGGCGGCCTCCCTTTACTTCTTTGCATAGGGGGATTTAGCAGAGTTGCAAACAAGCCATTGGGGGGTTGTTGACAAGATAGATAGGTGTACTGTAGAGGGCTTGTCCGGGGCAAATAGTCATGCTTTCTGCCTCCCATTTCCACAAAGCAGACCATAAAAGGTGGGGGGGGGGGTGCGGAGGCATAACCAGCAGCAGAAAAACACGAGATGACTGGGGTTTCGAATCATCTTCATCAAGAATGCTGGAAAGATACAACAGTGCTCATCAAGGAAGAGACGACCATGCGTTCAGCTGATTAAGTCTCGGCGGGAAACCCGATCCGCCCGATCCGCCCCGGCCTCGCACCTTTATGGCACAAGCGCCTCGGCGGAGTGAGCACCATGTCTCACATGATGACCTCATTGGAGACGTCCTGCAGGCCGACGTCAGCAAGGTTTGAAGCCAAAACACCAAGAATCGCGCAAATCAGAGATGGATGGAATTAGGGAAGGGGGATCGAGAGGCGTCACGATGGGAGGCTGAGTCGAAGAAGAGGGCCACATACTCGCTTCAGCTCTTTGTAGGGCAGGCAGACACAGTTTTGCACGCGAATCTCGTCTCCGACGGCGCAGTCCTTGCCGAGGATGGTGATGCTCTGCACCTTGACGCCGTTCTTGAAGATGCTCGTCGAGTGGCTGCCGACGGGCGTGGGCGTGCCCTCGACGCGGGCCCAGGCGCCGACGCGGCTGCCCCAGCCGATGATGGAGTAGAGCACGCAGGCGTCGTGCTTGACCTCTGAGTCTTCGAGCACCACGCTCTCCTTGATGCGCGCGCCGGCGCCGACGACGACGCGGGGGCCGATGCTGACATTGGGGCCCAGCTTGGCCGTCGGGTGGACCTGGGCCGTCGGGTGGATGAAGACGGGGGCCACGACGTTGGCGCTGGGCTGGGCCAGCTCGGCGCTCGACGTCTGCAGCGCCTTTTGCAGATACAGCGCGTTGGCGGGCACCGCGGACCCGGCCGTCTTGATCTGGCGCCAAAAGTCTTTTGTCTCGTAGACGAAGAACTGCTTGCTGTCGGCCATATCGCCGAGGATGTCCTGCTCGAGGCGTATCACTTCGTTCTTGCGACCGGCGTCGTCTTCGTCGTCGGCGGCGGATTGCGGCATGTAGGTGTCGATGTGGTCGGAGGAGGGATACGAGACGAGGCGGGCGGGGCGATCGAGGCGGCGCTTGATGGCCGACTTAATGGAGGGGAAGATGGCCTCGGTAGAGAAGAGGTAGACGCCGCAGTTGATGAGGTTGCTGATGTGCGACTCGGGCTTCTCAACGTAGTGCAGGACGCGGCGGGTGTGGGCGTCGGAGACGATGCAGCCAAAGTTTGTGGCGGCGTCGTCGCCCACGCGGGTGCCGAGGATGACGGCCTCGGCGTCCTTTTCGACAAAGAGCTTGAGCATCTCGGCAAGGGGAAAGGAGCAGCAGACGTCGGCGTTGAGGACGAAGAGGCGCTCGGGCTGGCCCTTGAGGATGGCATCGCGGAAGTGGTAGAGACCGCCGGCGGTGCCGAGGGCCTGGTACTCGCGGAGGTAGCGAATGGTGATGGAGGGGAATTCCTTTGCCGAGTCCTTGATGAAGTCGCGGAAGACGGACTCGTCGTAGTAGCCGATGATGTAGACTTCCTGGATCAGCTTGTTGGGGACGCGGGCGATGGAGGAGAGGCAGTGCCAGATGATGGGGTGGCCGGCGACCTCGAAGAGAGGCTTGGGGAGGTCGAGCGAGAGAGGCCGGAAGCGGGTGCCGCGGGACGGGCCGCCGACCTGTGAGGCGGGAAATGGAGGATCACGACGTTAGCCACAAAGCAAGCGAGACTGGTGCATGTGTGCTTGGGTGGAGATGAGGGCGGCTTGCCAGAATGACGGCCTTTGTGGCGCCCTGGTCCTTGGAACGATGGGCGTGTGGGAGCTGGAGAGACATGGCGACGATGGAGGGGCCAATCGAGGCACCGGTCGGCTGGCGGGTGAGGGAGGAGGCTGCTGCCTGGGCTGTCAGTCGCCGAAAGGAACGTCGAGCTTGAGGTCTGGTCAAGCCGTGTGCATGTACAATGACATGTGTGTGTGTATGTGTGTGATGTGTGTGAGTGAGTGAGTGTGTGAGATGTCGAGATTGGTGTGGCGGGGTGGGAGGAGAGATGGACGTCGCAAAGAAGCCCGAGGGTCTGTCGAAGCGCTGCTAACCACTAATTACTCCGAGTTACGGGGGTCGTGATTCATAGTAGGTACTGTAGGTGTTGGTGGTTGATGCGCGGTGCCTACTAGGTATGCAATTAATGCAATTAAGCGATGGCGGCCCGTCGCCCGCGCGCTAATCAAGGTCTCGTGTTACTCGTGCCTGACACAAGGTACTGCTGCACGCTTTGTACCTCGTCGTATCCGTTTCGGACGAGGCATCTCGTGAGCGCTTCGTCCGACTCGAACTCTTAGTGGGCAGTGGAACAAAGCAGACTTTGGAAGCCGCCGTCGCAGAAAGACAGTATATTGGTGGAGATTCTTCGACCAGGAATAGGCCAAGAGCTAGGCGCTGGGCACGACGGTTGGGAGCAGTCGTGCTCTCTGGCAGATGGATGGCCTTGAATGCCCCCATAGATATAGAAGTATTCTGAGTTCTCGCTGAAAATTTGCTTCATTGGACCTTCCACATACAGCCCTGAAGTGGCTGCATACCTACAGTGGCCACTGTTGAACGGTGACGTTCGACGGCTGCGCGGTCAGAATCTCAAGGTGCAAGCCAAGGCCTTTTTCTCTCCCACTTACCGGACAGGTCTGAGGCCCCTGTGCAGCCGCTGTCAAGGGCCCAGCCACTCAAATTTCGTCGGCCCCTGCTCAACTCCTCGCACCATTCATTTCTGTTAAGCAGCATCGCCTTGAGGCACCTCATCAACGCTCAGGCTTTGCTCTTCCTGCCTCACGCCTCGCACTATTCGAAACCCGAGCCCCCATAAAGTGCTTCCCGTCTTTCTCTGCACGCTATCCCCTCTGCACCTGTGCTGCCTGGCCGCGTGGCGCGACGGTGTCGCTATCGCCTGTTAACTCCCCACTGAGTTGCCCGGGAGTCGCGCTGCAGCAACAAAAAGCCTGTTCTTCCCAGGCCGCTTCCACCCCCAGCAACCCTTTCACGCGCTTCTTCTCATCCCGTCATCGATTCTTCTTCGTCGCATCTTCACTGGCCTCTCTACGGAAACCACAGCTGTGCGAGTCAGCTTGATAGTCCCTCCAAGGGACCAAGTTCGACGAAATTCATCATGTCTCAACTCAAGATCTTCAAACGCCCAGAGCGCCGAGTCGTTAAGCCGGACCCAGACTCTCGTGCCTATGCCTCGGAAACATGCTTGCAGCTTGTGGTTAGCGACTCTGGGCAGTCCGACGACGAGGGTCCCGCTTCCTTTGACGTCTTCTCTGCTCGGCACGGCCGATCTGATGCTCGTGAGTTTCATCACCACGTGCATTCCCGCTTGCCGTTACTGACTGCAACGCCATAGCCGCGCCTAGTGAGCCCATTACCGAGCCAGATCCGCTGCTGAGAGAGGTTCGAGTTCGGCACGCCGGCGCCCAGCCCAGCACAGCTGCCGCAAGCCCTGCGAACATGGACCAAAGTTTTTTCCAGACTTCGTTCCAGGACATTGGCAAGAAGCTCAAGGAATGCAACGACACATTGGGAGAGCTTCAGCAGCTTGGCGTCTCTCACGACGTACAGCTGCCCGAGCTGGTCCTCGTCGGTGACCAGTCGGCCGGCAAGTCGAGCCTCATGTCTGGGCTTGCCAACCTCGACCTCCCACGGAGCGAGGGCACGTGCACGCGTTGCCCGTTGCACATCCGCGTATCTCGCAATAGTGACTGGTCCTGCCGAGTTTGGCTTCGGAAGGACTATGTGTACCAGCCTCCGTCCGATCGTCAAATCAACGAGACGGATGTTACGGATCAGGACCCTTTTTTCCCTTGGCGGAAGAGAGCCTCGACGCTCGTTTCCGAGTTTAAGACCATGCACGACAAGAGCGAAATCGAAGAGGTCCTTCGCTGGGCTCAGATTGCTATCCTCAACGACGAAAAGCATCCTCGCACCTTTGTTCCTGGCTCGGGCAGCACCGCCCTCAACATGTCGCTCGCCAAGGCGGCCGAGGAGACTGCTGCCAAGTTCTCGCCCAACATTGTTGCCCTGGAGATCAAGGGCCCTGACCTGCCGGACCTGTCATTTTACGACATGCCAGGCATCTTTGAGAATCCCGCAGATGCGCGGGACGACTATCTAGTCAACGTCGTGCGCAACCTCACCAAAGCCTACATATCACACCACTCCGCCATAATCATCTGCTCCATGCCCATGAACTCCGATGCGGAAAACTCGTCGACATTTGGCCTGACGCGCAGGCTCCAGGCCTCCTTTCGCACCATCGGCGTGCTCACAAAGGCTGACTTGCTGCCCGACGGCAACCACGAGCAGTGGCTTTCCATCATGAGGGGAGACGCCCATCGTACTGGGCTGGGCTATTTCATCACGTCCCGTCCCCAGGGAAAGGACTTGGAGGAGCTCAAGAAGTGGGAGGAGCGTGTCTTCGAGACGAACTCGTTCGAGGGATGGCCCGAAACCTTTCACCCTTTCACTGCTCGATGTGGTGTTGAAAGGCTCAAGGCCTTTCTTTCGGAAAGACTGGGCGAAGAGTTTGCCAAGAGGCAAGTGACCCTTTCCGCCCTGCTCGTCCCTGGACATGAATGCTAACAGGCAGGCAGCCTTCCGAACATCAAACACAAGGTGAAGCTCCGCCTCGACAGGATCAACAAGCAACTCAGCAACCTGCCTGAGCTGCCCGAAAACGTCGAATTAGAGATACAGACGGGTCTGATGGCCTTTGCGGACAGCTCGCGTGCCAAGATGGATGAGTTTATGAGACATTTCAACGTCTTGCCACGCAACTTCCGTGACTGTCTGCTGGAGATTAAGCCCAAGTTTACGCTCAAGGACAGGTCGGACATCCCTGTGCTGGAAATCTCGGACGATGATTCAGACACGATGTCGGGCGTTACCACTCAAGCGACGCCGACCCCGAAGCGTCCTGCCTACCCTGCGCTTGTGACTCCCTCAAAGCGAGCGAGAACGAACGGGCCTACGAACGGCACGCCGGTGTCCAACGGCCACATCAAGCCCGAAGATGTTAATGGCGTCACGGCGCCTCCGCGGCCAGCCAGAAGGGCGGCTCTGCCAGAGCCCTTTACAGAGTTCAGAGGCATTGGGCGTGGGTTCCGTACGCTGCGCCAAGTGCGCGAGGAGATGCAGGCCAAGACCAAGGCCGGGATGCCCGACCGCATTTCCGACGACGTCTATGTCGACCTGGTCAAGGAGGCTGTGCAGCCGTGGAACCGCCCCACGGAAGCCTTCATCAAGCAGACGATGAAGGACTTGCACGCCGAACTCGACGCGACCCTCAGCCAGGCCTTGGAGAATCTGAAGAAGCGATTTGTGTACAAGGAAGCGAGGAAGCACGTGCAGAAATTTCTCGAGGAGCACCGCCAGCAAACGGAGCTGGCGCTGATGCGCCTTTACAATGACGAAAAAGAGCGTCTGTTGACGTTCAACGAAGAGGCCTTCAAGAGGTACAAGGACGATGAGCACATGATCCTTACCCGGTTCCGTCACAACATGAGGATGGAGGCGGCGGGCTTCCCAACTCGCCCACTAGGCCAGTGGAGCGAATTGACCGAGGAGAAGCGAGCCCAGGACGCCAAGCGACGCGAAGCCGAGCTAGTTAAGCTCGGACCTGACCAGTTTGAGCGAGAACTCGAGGTGGTGTCGTACGTTAGAGGCTACTATCGCCTCGCGGCCTTGCGTTTCGCAGATGCGGTGTCCCAGCGCATCCTCTGCCGGACCATTCCGGCCATCCGACGGCAGCTCCCGTCCTACCTCGAGGACAAGCTCGGCCTCCAGGTGTCTGACGCGATTGGAACATACGAGAGGCTCATGGCCGAGGACGAGAGTACGGCCTGCAAGCGAGAGGCGCTCAAGTCGGAGAGGGACAAGTTTGACAAAGCTTTGGCTAGCATCGAGCTGCTGGAGACAGGCGCGTGGCGGGGGCCGGACACCGACGACCAGAGCACGCAGCCCATGTCCTCAGCGGGCCTGGACGCGGACGTCGACATGGCCGAGGCTTGACGGGTGCGTTGAGAGGTCGCCACCGCGGACCTTCAGAGTGTTCCTTTTTATTCCGTTGGCCTGCTTGCGACGAGCTGGAGGGTAGGCTGTGCTGCGACCCACAGGGAGATACATCCGAGAGACGGCCTGATCAGGTCGCTGAGATGTTCAGGTGCAATACAGAGAGACGAGTACAAGCGACAGAGAGGTGAAGGTGTAGCGGCGGGGAGCCGTGGATACTTTCAGTGGATGCAGATGCGGAGACAAGTGGGGAATTAAGGGACGATATCAGATGTGGTCAGCTCATCAGGGTGGCTCATGTTGTTGATAGATTCATGACGAGGGCATGTTGATCATCAGACTAGATCTGGACACTGGAAACCTGACCCCTACACGGCTGTTCTACTGAGCCGGACGCTGTGCAACGTGGTGCAGCCGAGGCAGTTGTGACGTTTCCTCTGCACGAGAGTTGCTATTCGGACGGGGGCGGTGAAAGGCGACTTGTCGTGATGATCATGCGCTCTCGCAGCATGGACGGAGTATCAGGGGCGAGAGGCATGTAGTACAAAGTAGGTTGAGAGACTATCGTCGACAGTACTATATGTACAGTGAGGACGGCATATCATGATGGCCTTGTAAGCTACTCGGTCACCCGGAGCGGGCTCCCACTTTGGCTCGTGTGATGCACCGGAAGGTTTTCTCGGTGTCGGCATGGTTTTGTTTACAGTAGAGTAGGGTCTTGCCTGGAGGGGGCCCCGTTGAGAAGAAGAGGTTACTTTTCTCCGTGAAGCTTGTTTACGGTAAAACAGTTGTACGTACAACGACGGTACAAGTGAATGGGGTGGGCTGTGGGATTTTCCTCGGCTTGGAAGGCGCCTTGAGATGAAGCTGTTGCGTATACGGTTGCGTATACGGTTGCGTATACGGTTGCGTATACGGTACGGTATACCCGCGGGATAGTGATATATGCATCTATATAGGTATATTCCCACGAATCACGTACACATGCAAAGGATTCATGACGTTTTGGTCCTGGGCGAGGCATGAGTCGCGTGGGCGACGTTGGCGTAGGGTCACACTGCTTATTCGAGGGTTTATCTATGCATATTATGTCGGCCCTTTCTCCCTTGTCGGATTAATAGCCACGAGGTTGTGGGCTTGTTGGCAGGGAAGAGGAGGAGGAGGAGGAGGAGGAGGAGGAGGAGGAAGAGGAAGAGGCCCTCGATGTCCTGAACTGGAGGCCACGCCAAACCACAACCCGTGCAGACAGACGCAACCAACGCACGCTCGCCTTTTTTCATCCCATTATCAGCCATGGAGATTTTGATTCTGTGCAAGGAAGATATCAAGAGTCTCTAGGTACCTACCTACCCAGGTAATCGTCTTCAAGCGGTGGTGCAAGCTTGGCCCATTCCAGCTCCCGCCAGCCCGTCCTCATGGCCGGCTTCCAAGGCGACTGTGGGCATTCTCTCCTTCATCTCCCCTTTTTAGAGTTCAAACCTCTCAACGTGTACCGGCCGAGGCTAACCTCTTCTCACACTTTGCACACGTAAACCGGCGCCGGCCGTTTGGCCTCGTCTCCTGCCAGCCCGCTGATTGACTGCCTTTCTCCCGTTCCCTTTCGTAATCTTGCTCTGACATGCCTCAAAGAGCCATCCATCCCTTCGTCTTCCATTTCCATGGCGGCGTCCACAAGGGCGAGATGGATCGGGCACGACGACCATCCAGCCAGCCTTGGCCATCCTCACACTCACTTCCCCGCCGTGTGTGCCCAGGCCGGCTGCGTGGAGGAAGCTTGAGCTGCCTCGTCGCCTTTGCATCTCTCCCTGGCTAAAGAAACTGCCGGTCGCCGAGTCTAATGTCTGGGTCGGACTCCAAGTCGACAGACTTGAAAGCCTCCTCTTCCTCCTCTCCCTCTTCCTCCTACTCCGCCTCCTCCTCCCCTTCTTGCGTTCTCTCTTCCTTCCTCTCCCACCCGCTCTCATCCCCATACCCGGATTTACCCTCTCCGCAGTCCGTCGTGGACACCCAGGGCAGGAAAAGCCCCAAATAGAGCTTCGTTTGCTCGCTTCTGCTTCTCCAACCCGTCTCGACACGACTGCGGCGGCATCACCATCGATACCCGGGACACTCGACCATCCCTCGCAAGCCCACGATTGCCGAGGCCGGCCCCGTCTCTCCATCAACATTGGCTTGCCACAGCCATCATGACCAGCGAGCCCCCCAAGAGCTTCGCCCAGCACAATGTCGACGCAGCCAGCGACACAGACCGCGTCGAGCCGTGCCAGCTGGCACATGTGACGTGGTACAGGGAGCCTCACCTTCGCAGGCTCTACCTTCTCAGCATCTTCCTGCTCATCGGCTCGGCCACGACGGGCTTCGACTGCATGCTGCAGAACACGTCGCAGCAGATGGACGCGTGGAAGGCCTTTTTCCCAGACCACGCCGACGTCAACAAGCTCGGCATCCTCATCAACATGTACAACATTGGCTCCATCACGGCCTTCTTCATTGCCCCCTACATGGCCGACATTTGGGGCCGCAAGCCGACCATCATGGTTGGCTGTGTCATCATGATTGCCGGGGCGTGCGTCACTGCCTTTAGCAGTGGCTACGGGAGTGAGTCTGACCAACCGCGGCTTTCTTGTGTTGCGTGGATATGTGTTATTTCGCTCGTCTCCTGATGCCAGCTTACATGGCATCATGATCTCAGTGTACATCGGCGGACGCTTCGTCCTCGGCTTTGGCAACTCGCTGTCTCATGCCTGCTCGCCAATGCTTCTCACCGAGATATGCCACCCCCAGCACCGTGGCCGCATGACCACAGTTTACAACTGCTTATGGAATCTGGGGTCTCTGTGTACGTCTCTATAGCCCCGAGTCCTGGGTTCGGGCAGATATCTGACCCCTCGCTCGCAGTCGTCTCCTTGGCTGGCTGGGCCACCGCCTCGATCGCCAACGACTGGTCCTGGCGCTCCATCACCTTTCTCCAGGCAGCCACCTCCATCATCCAGCTCGTCGGCGTCTGGTGGGTGCCAGAGTCGCCCCGGTTCCTCGTCAGCAGGGGCAAGCCGGGCCAGGCCCTGGCCATGCTGGCCGAGCACCACGGGGGCGGCGACCCGGACAACGCCACCGTCGCGTTCGAATATCGTAAGATTAAGGAGACCATCGAGGCCGAGCGCAAGGCCAACAATTCGACCAGCTACCTCGACTTCTTCAAGACAAAGGGGAACCGCTGGCGCTTGACCATTGTCGTTTCCATCGGCATCATCTCTCAGTACAGCGGCAACGCGCTCTTCTCCAACTACATTGACATTGTCTACGAGGGAGCTGGGATCCAGGCCCAGCACAAGAAGCTTGCCGTGAGTTCCCCGACAACAAGATGAACCTTGATCCCTGATTCTGACGGTCCACCTTTCCGTTTGCCAGTTGTCGGCCGGCAAGACCATCCTGGACCTGCTCATCTCGGTCGCGGCAGCCCTTTCCGTCGACAAGGTCGGGCGTCGCCCTCTGTTCCTGACATCCTCCGCGGGCATGGTTGCAGCTTTTGCCTGTTGGACCATTGTCAGTGCCGTCTACGAGAACTCGGGTGTACCGACGCCGCCCACGCTTGAGCAGCCCAACGGCGGCATCCGGTACACAAACGGCTCGGCCGGCTACGCCCAGATTGTCTTTGTCTGGATCTTCGGTATCTTCTACGATATTGGCTTCGCGGGCCTGCTCATCGCCTATACGCTCGAGATCCTGCCCTACCACCTGCGCGCCAGGGGGTTCGTTATCCTGAACATTGTGGTGCAGGCCGTCTTGGCCATTGGCAAGTGAGTCTTGCCACTTGTCTTCCTCTTCGACACAGATGGATGCTGACGAGTCGCAAACGCGTAGCCAAACCAACAAGCTGGCGTGGAACAACCTGCCCCGACACTGGAACTTTATGCTCTTCTACACGCTCTGGAACCTCTGCGAGTTCGTTTTTGTCTATTTCGTCTATGTCGAGACCAAGGGCCCGACGCTGGAGGAGATTGCACGCATCTTTGACGGGCAAGATGAGGTCCCGTCCATTCGTCTGGACAAGGTAGACAACGAGGCGCGTGTGCACGATCAGGGCTACGTATCGGAGACCAGAGCCGCTTGAGATGCTCTGCCAGGGCTGGCGGAGCTCCGTGGGACATGGATGTTTCAAAACAGGGGGGGGGGGTTCATTCTGTTCTTACGTATCTGCGGGTGGCGTCTGGTGTCAGTGTTTGTGTCTTAATCTGACATACTAGCCGTTGACGTTTGAGTGTTGAGAGCTTGTCTGAGGTGTTGATTATGCATGTGAATCATCCAGACACTATCAAGGGCCGCAATCATCATCACTCATAGACCCCTTTATGCATGTGGGGCGTCGGCAGCGGCCCGCTGCTTAGAACGGACTGCATCCGCTGTGCCTCGAGGGAGCTCGCCTCGAGTCCAGTCGGCTTCTCCACTCTTCAACGGTGCACTCTAAGCCTGACGACGGTGTTCCGGAAAGAGAAAGACATTAGCCACAAAGACAGACAGCAAGGACAAGAATGTCGCAGACGGTCTGGCATCGCAAGTTTGCCGCCGGCTTTGGCACCGAAAAGGCCTTGGCGGCGACTCGGAATCCCGGGCCGCCGGCGCCCATTACGTGGTCTCCGGAGGAAGAGGTGCGTTGCTGGAATGTGCTCGGCGTGGTCCAAGCCTCTGGCGAGCCTACATGAAACTGACGGTCAACCGACTCGTCGGAGCAGGGAAGCGGAGAGGCCGGCGTCGGTGACCTCGGCTTCGTCCTCGGCTCCTTCACGGCCGACGACGCGTGGGAGCTGGGCCACCTGCTGCACGCACGCCTGCGCCCGCTGGCCCCCGCGCGCCCGGCCCTCATCTCCATCAGCCTGGCGAGCGGCGGCGGCGCGGCGCTGTTCGAGGCGGCGACGGGCCCGGGCCTGACGCCGGATAACGCGGCGTGGGTGGCGCGCAAGCGGGCATCGGCGCTGCGCTTCGGGACGAGCAGCTGGCGGCTGGGGCGGCGGTTCGCGGGCGACGAGGCGGCCTTTGCGGCAAAGTACGGCCTGGGGCCCGAGAGCGCGGGCCGCTTCGCCATCCACGGCGGCGCGGTGCCGATCCGGGTCGTCGGCGTCGAGGGCGTCGTTGCCGTGGTTGTGGTGAGCGGGCTGAAGCAGCACGAGGATCACGGGGTTATTGTCGAGGTGATCCGGGACCATTGGGTGCCCATCGAGGGGTAGTTCTTTGTCGTTTCACTCTACAGCTCTCACGCTCACCAGAGGCGGGTCACGAGGCGTCAACATGTGGTATGTGTTGGTATTAGAACAGCTATAGAGCAAGTGGGAGCTAGATGACAGCCTGGACCTGTACAGTACGTGCTTGTGCAAGAAAGAAAGATGTGCTTCCTTCGTCAGTGTATCCATCGCTTTTTTTGTACCTCTTCCGTCTTTGTGGTTGTTATTAAGATAATAATGCCGGGCGCGCTGGGTGTGGATTAGAAGGTCCTCGGCGAGAGAGGCGCTCGGGGCTTCCGGCCCTCGGATCTCTTCGTCATGCCCGTCGCCTTGGCGGCTCCCATGGCCGACGCCGTGCCGTTGGAGGGCCTCGAGGGGCCGCCGACGACGACACTCACCGTGTTGAAGACGGTGGCGATGCTCGTCGAGTTGGCGGCGGAGGGGCAGGGGCGGGAGGAGACGACGACGGGGTTGCCATGGCCCCTGTGGCAGGGCTTGCCGCTGTGCTTCTTCTTGCACGACGTCTCGCCCGTGTTGATGTTGATGATGATGATTTCAATGTTATCGCCCCCGCCGCCCTGGACCGTCTGCGTGACCGTCTGGTAAGGGCCGGTGCCGGTGCCCTGAGGCTGCATGGGCGGCACGGTGACGGTGACCGGCGCCGCCGGGGCATCCTGGACGCTTGGCTGAGGGATGACGGTGATCGTTTTGGTGGTATTGGGCGAGCCCTCCCTGGGCCGGGACGGGCTCTCGACGGGCTGCTTGGGGGAACTAGCGGGGTCCGTCGCCCGAGGGCCCGCCGTGGCGGTGACGTTGGGAAAGCCGGCATACGGGGCCGGGTCGGGGCGCACGCCGCCGCTGGTGACGGTCAGAGTCTCTTGCTGTGGGCGGTTGTTGACGACGGTGACGGCCTGAGGCTGGCCCTGATAGCCGACGTTGTTGTTATTAATGTTGTTGTTATTGTTGTTGTTGTTTTGCGTAACATAGACGGGCGCAGGAGGCCCAGCGACTACTCGTTCTACCGTGACGGTCTGCGGTGCCGGGGCGGGGGCTTGTTGCGTGACGGTGACGGTTACGGGCTGGTTCGGAGCGCCGGGCGCCGGGCAGGGACAGCACTCGGCGGCATTGTGGCGCTCCACGAGGCGGTTCAAGCGAGCCTCTGCCAGAGGAGCGACGGCCAGGGCAGCCAAAGGGAAGAAGCGGTTCATGATGGCTGGAGGGGAGGCTGGAGGGGAGGCTGGAGGGGAGGCTGCGGCGGGGAATGGAGCGGTTGACGAGTCGGTGGCAGAGACGGAGAATGGTCAGGATGCTCAGCCAAGAATGGAAATGGGAAGCTGTGCGATTGATGGGATGTGATGGAGTGAGTGGCGAGAAGATGAGAAGGACATGAAGCAACAGCGTCCTTATATCCATGTTGGTCGGGTGCTCGAGGGCCAGCCACGAGAGACAATGGCGAGGAGCAACGAGGTGGCTGTCAGCTATCACGGAGTCGAGACGGAGAATGCAAATGGCAATAAGTGTTGATACTCGAGCCCCTTGAGCCCTGGCAAGGTGGCCGCCTATGAACCCCCCCATTGCGCGGACCAGGTGCGGAATTGAAAAGACAACCATCTACGCAATCTAGATGCCATGAGCGCGCACTATGGCGAGGGGAATAGGCTAGGGCGCGGGGCTTGCCCTCGAACCGCGGCGCCATCAGGGCGCGCTATCTGTCCATCTGAGTCTCTTCAAGGGCCCGCCGATCATCGAGGGCGGTGGTTTATATGAGCACTCGGAAGGGCAAAGGGGGCCGGAGCCGACGACCTTGAGCCATTGGAAGTAGGTAAAAATGATGCGTTAAATGGTTGCTTCCAGATTCCGTGAAAAGAGGTAGGCGGCGGACGAGACAATGGCCGACGAGGTGAGGATGGGGTTGAAGTTGAAGTCGGTCGCTTCGAGGTCAAGTGACAAAGTGCTTTTGTACACTGGACGGGTCCCGGCGCAGCGGATCGCCGGTGCGGTCCGTCGTTTAGCCGACAACGTTCGCCGACCAACCGCGGACCCACCCCATCGAGCCAATGGAAAGCGCCAAAGCAGAAGACGAGCTTCGGCATCAACCTCAAGACTCGGCACGCCATCAGCCTCCAGCACAGCCCGGGGTCCTGCAGCGACAGCATGATCTAGAGGGAGTGACTTGCAACGAGAGAGAGAGCCATACCCGCCGGGCTCAATCTCGTCTCCGCCGCCACCGCCGCCGCGTGCGCGCCCGGCAATCCGCCTGTGCCTGTCCTCGCAACAAAGGCCGTCGTCATCATGGGCGCCTGCGCGAGCTGCCTCGGCCGGCGTGGCAAGGACGCCTACGATGAGGTGGGTCGTGGCAGCTCAACTCCAGCTTCTTTGGCCGTGGCTGACCGGCGGGACTGACAAAGACGCGGCAGAGCGAAGAGAGCCGGCTGCTCTACGAGGACGGCAATGGCATGGCGTATGGTAGCTTCGGCGATCCCGCAATGGGCGGCGACGATACCCTCGAGGCCCAGCGGGAGGCCGAGGCCCTTCAGCGCGTCGTGGCCAAAACTTCAAAGTCGGTCCTATGATCCCCCTTCCCCCAGCCCTCATTCCCGTGTCCGGCAGAGCACGACGGAGCCATGGCATAATTCAGGGTTGACATGCGTCCACAGCAACATGGTCGATGTCTTTGAAATCGCCCCGCACGACATGCTGACTCGGGCCGGCGCCAACCCAACCCCCTTTGCCTACGCAGGCCAGGGCTCCCGCGTGGCCCGGTACCAGCACCTCGTCTCCAAGCTCAACGCCGACCACGACGGCGACGCGGCCGGCGTCCGGGTGGACTGGCTGGCCGACGACGACGGTGCCGCCGACGCCCTCGACTCCCAGAGCAATCGGCCGGCTAGCATCAAGACGTTGTCCGAGGACAACGGCGGCGACACTCTGGTCGGCACGTTTGCAGACGCCGCGGCGGCTATGCAATAGAGACCAACAAAAACAGAGTTTTGGGAAAAGGAGACGAAATAAAGCCGGCGTGCAGGGAACCAGCCCCCCTTCGACCCGCAACGGTGGACGCGACGACGCCGGCTTTGGCGATGAAACGGCAACCCCCCCCCCCCCTCCATTCTTTTTGGCAATCGTCTCGTTCTTTTGTCTTGATACCCCATGTCGCGCAAAAGAGTATTTGGGAAGAATTTATGCTTGTGACGGCACTTCATTACGCAGACGGCATGCCATGCAGACAACGTTTTCAGTGTCAATGCCTTTGATATTTTGCTTTCTCAGCCACTCCCTCCCACCCCCTGTCGTCTCTTTACCGCTTCTTGGAACGCTCGAAAAAAAAATCATTAAAGACTAATGGGCTTTTTATCCCTTCTCTCCATTTTGTGTGGATGGAGCAACACCAATCGCATGGCTGTTGTTGACCAGAACCGGGGGCCCCCACAGGCGGAGACGGTGCAAACCGCTTCGCCCAACCACACTATAGTCATGGCAAAAATAGCAAACGACGGCCTTTATTCTTGCCCTCTTTCCCCTTGCTCGCATCTCCCACGCCCATTGAGCATCAGACACATGCGCCGGCTCGGCTGGTGGAGCGCGTCGCTAGCTCCCAGAGACAGATGCTTCACCGGCGTCTCCAGCCTCGGGTCGCACCGCCCGGCCAACGAGTCGCTTCCTGTATGTATAAGTGGCACCATGGCCCGCTCCAGTGAGGGGCGCCGGTGAGGGAGGCCAGAGAGAGTCAGCATCAATTCATCCATGATGCATAGACGGCTTCCGTCTTCCTTATGCCGGGCCCCGGTTCCTCCCTTTGCGGATCCTCCGGAACTCGAAGCCCTTGGTTCCGTGGCCAAGCCAGCACAAGAGGAGGGAAACATGCCAGCGCGAGGCACACATGGAGCGTTCGGCGACGCGGCGCCGCCGGCTGCGTTGCCGGCCTTGGACATCTAGACGGCGGGCGGAGCGACAAGAAGCGGACCGGCAACGGTAACTTATGCCCTCCCGGCCGACGCCATTCTGCAACGACGACTTGTTACGTATGCATTAGGTACTCGATATTCGCCTCAGGGGGTGCACCCGGGCCATCGAGTAAGCGCCCGGCTTTCTCCGCCTCAGCGTCGCAGTCAGTCCTGCTGCAACCGCAACTTCGGCTCTCTTCCCATCTGCGTGTCTCGCTCGCGCGCGTCACCGGCATGTCACGGTACTTGGCCGTCTCGGGGGCGACATTTGCCGACAAGGCCGTTCGCGCCGACAAGGCCTCCATCCACGCCGCGCGCGCCTACATACGTACATATGTACGGTGCGCCGAGGAAGCAGTTCGTCGGCACTTGTCCCGCCCCTTCTCCCCCCCTTCCTCGGTAATGCCAAGCTGCCTCGCCCTTTGCCTGTCGGCCCGGCCATCCGTCGCCTGGGAACAGAAAGTCCGTGGACTCCCTGCCCGGCGAGAGCTACCGTAGCCTGTCACAGGTGGCTGGCTGGCTATGCGTGGCCTTGGACCTGCCCAGGTGGATCCCCAACACCCGAGGACTGTTCGGGCCAAGAGAGAGGGAGCTGGTTGACCGCCGGACCCGTTACCTATGCCTGCACGCGCCTATACGAAACGGCAACGCCTGCGACGGAGCACGCAAAAACGCTGACTGGCACAACGGGAGCGGCGAAGCCCTGGGCCTCTGTCCCGCATGCCACGACCCACGCCCGGCTCCGCCCACACCAGAAGCCGTCGGGTAGTCCGGTCGGGCGCCGAGAGCAGGGCCTCACCGCAAGGATTGGACGGCCTACCACCGTGACGGCGGCGGCAGGGGCTGCAAGGTGGTAATGATGATGTAGTGATATGTAGGTATCCCGAAACTTTGAACAGAAAAGGTGGGCGGGGCCAGAGAGAGAGAGCGCGCGAGAAAGACAGAGACAGAGAGAGAGAGAGAGAGGAAGAGAGCGAAAGAGGAGGGAATGGAGTGCCTATTGCAATGCGAAAAGGCCTCCATTCCCGCTCCCCCCACGGTCTCCGGGGGGGGGTAAAGGACGCAGAGGCCGTGGTTTATCCTCCCCCGAACACCTGTCGACCAAGAAAAAAAAAAACGCCAACAAATTCCTATGCCTTTTTACTGCGATCCCGCCGTGTAAATCCAAGCCACCGCTCCCACTTTTGGTCCCTCCCCTTCTTGGCGTGTGCTCTCTTTTGCCCCCCCCCCCCGAAAAGGTTTCAACAAGCGACGACGGCGGCCGGCGAAGACGAGCGCGCGCGCGCGCCCGAGGCGTCCGGGTGAAAAGGGCGCCTCTTCCCAACGAGTCGCTGCCTGTTTTCCCCTTGCTGCTCCTCCTCTTGCTCTGTCTCGCCTTTTGCCCCTTGCCCGTGTTGCATGAAAAAGGAAGCCGTCGATGGCCGGGACGCGGCTTTGCGGCGTCTTTTTACCCCCCCCCTTCTATCCATTGGACAATCTATCTGTGTGTCAAAAGGGCTGGCGGCAGAGTGCCTCGTCTCTCATGTCATGTCGTCTCGCGTCTCTTGGATGGACTGGCTGGTTGTTACTGCGTCGGATGTTGGGTTAGCTGTGGCTCTGCCGTGTTATCCCGTCCTCCACGACTTGAAGACTCGGCATCACACACGCTCTCTCTGTCTTTCTGAGTGTCTCCCTTTTTACCTCCAGCTCCTTCTTGTTCGTCTTCGTCTTCGTCTCCTCTCCTTGCTCTCGGCTCCTCCAACACTCTCACTCACAGGGGTGTGGGGGGAGGGAAGTGACGGCAGGAAATGTCAACTCACCTGGCCGAGGGATTGTAACCGGTGGTCGTGCTCCTCGCGCATGCGGTAGATCTGGCCCAGCACGTCCTGCATCTCGCCGCACGTCCGCTCAATGGTGGCGTTGCGGTTGCCCTCGCGCTGCCAGCGCTGCACATCGCGGTACATCTTGTCGTAGCGGCGCTGCTTCTTCTCCGTGTCGTGGCACAGCTTGCACACGTCGGGCTCGACGCGCGTCTCGTAGACGAGCTTGAGCCCGCACGTCTCGCCCATCCGGTACTCCTTGTTGCACTGCTGGCGGAAGTGTCCCCAGCGCCAGAAGCCGCAGCTCCAGCGCGTCTGGTCGAAGTAGCACATGGTTCGATCTCAGCCGATGGAAAGGGAGGGGCGGGCGGGCTGTCCAAGGGGGGGGGGGGGGGCGCGGCGGAGCGGGAACGACCGGCGCCAGTGAGCAAGCCCCCGGGGGCAGGGGGGAGGGGGGCGGCGAGAAAGGGGGGGCGTGTGCCAGATGGAGAGATATGGGGGGGAGGAGAAGAAGCTGCAGAGAAGCCAAGAATGTCAGCCACTGTCGATTGGTCTTTGCCAATGCTGTGCTGTTGTATGTGGATGGGGGACCCAGTTTCCCTCCTCTTCCGGCCGGGGTCCTCTGTCTCATTCTCTGCCCTTTCTGTTTCTCTTCTTTGTTCACATCTGCCCCTGACGCCTTTGACTTTGGACTTCGGCTTTCTAACCCCGAGGATCTGATAGTCTCCTCTTCTTTGTGTGTCTGTTCATCGCCATTCCCTCACCCTTGTTCCCCCCCCCCACCCTTCTTCTTCCTCTTGTGCCGTCCATCGGACCGAGCGAGATCACGTCAAGCGAGGAAAGGAGGGGAGCACGCAACGTGGAGAGCACACAGGAGTGATGTTTTACAGGAAAGCCCTAAACTCACTTGAGGTCTGCTGCCCGATCAACTCCGAACGTTACTTTGTCCAGCCAGCGCTGGGGTGGAGAATGTATCGGAGGAGAGACGCAGAGCAGACGCGAGTGAAGCCCCTGGGCCGGGTGCCCGCACGATCCTCTTCAGGTGAGGGGGATTCAAAGTCGAGCGTGGCCCGTGGAGATGCTTTCGGGCGTTCGAGTTGTCGTTGAACCGAGAGGCGACGCGAGGTCAGTAAGCGTATGTATGGAGGTAGCTGTCCCCCTGACGTCTCGTGTGTTGCGTTTTTGGCTTTATAAGGGGGGGGGGGGGTACTGGCCCGGTAGGGTTTTCCCCTTCCCCCTCGAGTCTCGACGTTCGTGCTGGGGACGCACAAGCTAACTTATACTCGTCCGACGACGCGGGCCCCTTTGTCAGGCCGTTGGACAGCCCTCGCCCTATGTATGTATGTGAGTGTACGTATGTATGTGTATGTCTGCTTGCTCGCTTCCCCTTGGGCGTTTCCGCACATACTCCCCCCCCCCTTGCCTCTGCATACAGACGGACAGACAGACAGACACGCATGCAGTCCATACATGCCTACTTTCCTACATACGTACGGGCATGCATGCGTATACATACGATACGATAGCAGACGTACCTCGAATACATACATACAAACCTTTCCACAGTGGGCCGAAAGGGGGGGGGGGGGGGGTAAACTGACGAGTAGGTCCCATGTCCAAAGGGACCAACAATGGCCATGCCTCTCATGGCCAAGGCCAACCACGCCCGTCTCTCTCGATCGCAATGTCTCATGCGGCTGCCGTCACAACAACCAAGGACGGACCACGGCTCTTTGGATACGTGGATTGGGGGGATTCGCACTTCTACCGAGCCCCATTCTTTTCCAAGCCCATCGACATGGACGAGGCACTATGATGTATCTCCCGTCCCATACAGTACACGCAGATAGCACGGTGCAGAGCCCGTACCGACGCAGCATACACCATAAGACACGCCCCCTAGGCAGGCAGAGGGAGGGGGGAGGAGGGCGCAGACGGCACCACCACCACTACCCCCCCTCCCTCTTGCGGTAGGCGGCGTAACATGTTCCTGGCGCCCCCCCTCCACCCATGGAAGAGGATGAGCCGGAGTCATGTATCTACATTTATGGCGAGGACCTGACCAGAAGGGTGGTTAGGAGACCGAGGAGGTGAAAGGCAGGAATAAGCGCTTCTCGGACGTTGTCTTCGGCGGGGACAGGGGCAAGCACCGTGAGCAAAACACGACAACGGCCCGCGTCTCTCTATGGCTTCAGCCCTGATGAGCAACAAGAATGAATGAACAAGTCCCTGCAGTACAGCCGCTCCGCCCCGAAGCCCAGCTCGCAAGAATGCTGTGGTTGAGCGTCGGGGCCTCTGGTCTGTCCTTCCCATCCACCCCTCCCCCCCCCCCTGTTCCCACACTCTCAGCGGGCTAGCTGGCCAAGTTCCGATGGGAGGGCGGCCGGCCAGAGATTTCGCCACGTTTGGACTACGCTTTTGAGGAAAGCGTCCGGCAGCCCGGGGTGGGAGGCCAGGGGTGTCTCGTTCTTTGGCAGAAGGCATCGAACCAGGTCTGCCAGGGTGGCATTCGGTCGACGAAACCTTTTTTTTTTCTAATTATCCTTTACCCTGGCCGTTCCTCGGCGAGTGAGGCAGACCTTGCCGAGTTTCTACGCGGTCTGGCCATATATATAAGGTGGGTGTATAATGTGATTCATATACATTTAGTATCTTGATAACGTGGACATGTACATACGGTCTACGCACATTTATCCGTCTTGTTTCCAATTCTGGATACTATTCACGCCATTACCAGCACAGAAGAATTGCTCTCTCTGCCTCAAGTCTTCAGAGAGGCTTGTTCAGCTTTTCCGTGGCAGGCAAAAATAAAAAATAAAAGACCGAAGGAGCGCTTGAAAGCAGGCGACTATGCAGCCGCTACGTGCTGGCCCTGAACTTCCCGACCTACCCGCATACAAACCCGTAGATTGGCGGGCTAAAGAGCCTTGATGATTTCCATGTACTGTAATGCACAGGCTGCGCTCCATATTCGCCGTATACGGGCGTCTTTATCTGTAGCATCTCCACGCGGTCCTGAAGACAGTAGCCGGCAACGGGGTTCGTCAAGAAAGACACGGACCTCCTTCTTCGGGGGGCCGGGCCACTCGCTGCAGACAGTCAACGACGGAGCCATTGGCCTTTGCCCAGCTCTGACAGGCAGCCCAACGCGAACAAGCCCGTCCATCCCTCGCCCCCCTCCCATTTCCACAGGGCCGCATGGCCTCCACCCACCCACTGCATTTTGCCAGGATGACTTGGACCTTCCCCCTCTCCCTCTCTTGGCGTGCCTCCCGCTGCGGTCGTGCCAGCCTGGGGGAGGGGGTGGGCTTGTCTGTTGCCGGCCCCGTCATTCCAGCCTCTATTTCCTTCCTTGTCTGCAAAACAGACGAGAGCGAGTAAGAAAACGAGAGAGTAGGCGTCCGAATCTGCGGCCGTGTGGGTCGTCATGGTTCGTCCTGGGGATGGACAAGTGTCAGCGAATATGCCCAAGGGAGAGAAGGGCAAGAGGGGAGGGGAGACCAGGGGCCTTGGCTGCTCAGAGATTTTGCTCTTCCTTGTTTTTCTCATTTTCCCACTCCCCTCTGCTGCCCTTATTTTGATTCCCTCGCCCGTGGGAGGCCCTCCCAGTCGTCGATCTCGGTGAATCCCGGGGCTGTGGTTCGTGTATGTACAATCGAAAGCTGCCCCTGGCGCGAATCCCCACCAGGGGGGTCAGGAGGGGGGGGGGACAAGCCTAACAGTGGTAATATTCAGGAAACCCAAAAAAGCCGAATCGTCCCTCCAATGAGTGCCAGTGGTAGGGCGTCAGGATTGGGTCATCATAATATCAGTCCCGTTGGAGAAGCGGGCCCTTGGCGACGCCGGCTCTCCCCGGCTCCTTGGCTGCTGCTGGCTTCACGAGCCGACTTGACGCTCTTGCCACTCGCTCATAGACAGTCACTTCGTCACTCTCTCCCTCAAATTTCCCATCGTCATCGTCCCACATCCAACTTCTCCCCTCCTTGGTCGTCCTCGGCCCCTCTTCCCCCTGGCCTATCTGGTCGAAGGCGGGCGGCCCAGTCTCCCGTTGGTCGAGGTGCTCCTTCTCTTTTTCTCTCCGCCTTTTTGCCTGGCCGGCATCTGGTTAGGGGGAGCCGAGCGAAAGGTAGTGACAGACAAAAAGAAAAAAGCCCGATGGCTTACAGCCAGCTCGTTTCTCTGCCATCCACACGGCTCGACCTAAGGTCCAACCTGCAGAAGGAGCGGCAGCCAGCAGTGGTCACAACGTATGCCGTTTCTGCGGCCACGGCTCGCTTCGCTAGGACTGGATTCTCTCTGTGCCGTTCAATTGGCTTGTCCTCCGAATCTCCCAGTGCCTCTGGAGATTATCTTGCCACCTTGTTCCTCATTGAGCGGTGCAGGATGTGAGCATCTCCTGTGAGTCACTTGCAGCGGCCCAGCCCCTTGTTTCCACTTGTCTCCCCTTCCCCCTCGCGCCCTCTGCCCTGGCTTGAAATATCTCGACTGATGCCCCTGTGGTTCAGTCGAGCTCGTGAAGCGGGACAGAAATGAGGGGGTTGAGAAAGGGGGGGTGGAAGCAGGCCTCTCAAAAGATGGCTGCATCGAGGGTGAGGAGACTGACCTGAAGCGTGCCTCCAGGGCTGTACGGCGAGACATGCTTCCCCATGCATGCCGCGCGCCTCACATGAATGACTGCATCGTCTGGCCATGGAGACGGCGCCCATTGCCCGTTGCCCTCGATTGGCCCGACGATGCGCACCGGCTTCGCGACCTCGTCACGCCTCGGCACCTTCTTGCGTCCGAGCTGCCATTCCATCGCCGGCAACAAGGAAGGCTGGCTTAGGGCAGGTGTAAGGCTCTGGCAACGTGGCAAGCCTCTTCTGGGCCCAGCATGAATTTTCAGGAACTGCGTAACGACCGGTTGCAGACGCTGCATAAGCCGGCTTCCAAGAAGGGGGAGCGCTGTTGTGCTAACGCCTCAGGGCATGCCATAAACAAACTTGTGCTTGTCCGTGTCCCCGTCGCCGAGCCTTCGTTCTACTAGCACCCCTGACGGACCTACAGCATCTGCTGGTCTGCGGCATGTCGTTTGCTGCCGCATGCAGACCCGAGATACAGAGGGCGACGCGGGCCAGCGCAATCAGCCACTGTAACACCGAGTCAAGTGACGGCTCATGTCAAGCCGGCCGTCAAGAGCCTTGTTCCGCGGCCCGTTCGCAGCGCCGGAGCCTCTCTTACTGGCCACAGCCGTCGGTGAAGCATCGGGACGGGCCCCGGGCCAGCAACGCGGCGCGCAAAGGAAATTGCAACGGGCCAGGCCAGACAATCCGCAACGCGACCTGGGGAGTAGATCAGGACCGGGATATCTCGTTTTCCAGCATCCGTCCTTGTTGTTTCCTCTTCGCTCCTCCCCCCTTGCCCCCTTGTTCTTCTTGCCCTCTTCGGTTCGATGTCAGACATGCCAGACAAGACGGCGGGGACAAGGGCCATCTCCAGCGGCCAAGGGAGACTGCCCAAACCAGCCGCCGATGACGAAGAGGAGAAGAAGGAAAAAAGAGGCGTGCAGGCAGCAAAGGATGACGAAGATGCCTTGGGCCGGGTGCAAGGATCGAGCAGCGGCCGCGCACAAACGGACAGCATCCGCACATCAAAGTCGCATGTGTGCTGTATGTCCAGAGTGCTGATGCACATGCACATGCACGCCCACGCACACGTACGTGCGCCGCGCGCGCTGGCCTGCCTTCTCACTCACCGTCTGCGCTCCTGCAGACGAGGCGCACGACAAATCTCGTGGCGGACGAGGTCTGGCTTGGGGCCTCGCCCGGTGATGTGGCCTTTTGTGTAGTTGCTTCTTCTGCTTCTTCTTCACCATTCTGTTTGTCAAGCGTGCCACGAAGCAAGACGATGAGTTTGGTCGACTAACAATCAAGGAAGCAAGTCTTTAAATAGCCTCAACATGGTAGAATAGGCATCGTCTTGTAGCCATTGACTGTCGCGGTGCAAGAGAGCAGAAGCGGATGATCTGTTGGTTGCATTAGGCCATGGTTGGGCTTTGGGCCGGACAGGCCACGGACTCGATCTTCGACCCATCACCGGCCAAGGGGGAGGGGGAAGGGGAGGGTCGGGCCGCCAATGTGGTCGAGAGCCGTCGTCGCTGCCGGCCGACAGGGGAATAGCGAGGCACGAGCAGGATGGCAGCAAGAGAGACGGCCGGACTTGAGGAGGCCCAAGAGAGGGAAGCGAGAGACGGCGCATCGGATGGCCGGTCCGGTGTTTGACGCCGGCCGTGTTCCGCCGTCACCGTCATTCATGTTGCCGCTGCCGCGCCAAGACCCGGGTGTCCCTCAGTCCCCTCTGCCCTTTCGTCCATCCTTTCTTCTCCCCCCTTGGGCGAGGCTTGGTCGACGATGATGTGACGGGATGTCGCAACGGGCGTTCGAGTACGACGACGCTGGCGGCAGTGCGAGAAGCCAAGTACATGTACTTGGGCGCTCTCTTCAGCCAGGTATTCCTTGCTTGTTGCCACGAGCTAAGTCGCGGCCCGTCCCGTTTTGGAGCATCTCGGAAGTGACGATTGGCTGTGGAGACTGACACAGCCGAGCGCTTGCATTGCTTGTTTTGGCCCTCTGCAGGGCTCCCCGCCTTGTCGTCTCCTCTGAAGCGGCAAGCCAGCCGAGCGTTTTCTTTGGTACTGTTTCGGTTCGTGTTGTTTGGCAATACCCTTTGCGGGAACGCGCCGGCGACATCTATCCTCTCCGAATCGGCGGGTTGGCGCCACACTCTGACGAGGCAAACCCCTGCGTCCAAAGCAACGGCTTGCTCGGTCATCAGGACGGTGTGCAGTCCATGCACTCCCGCTTTGAGCCTCAGGACCCGCTGAGGATGGGAGAGATGCGGGGGAGGAGAGTGAAACAAATGGCGGCCAGCAGACCCGAACCAGTCCCCCGGACCTTGGCGAATCACGTTGCGATCGTGCCGTCTGTCCTCTTCCGGAAGAAACTCGAAGGGTCGGGACCAGGTCCAGCCAAGCCATTGAGTCGCCAGGCCAGGCCGCCGTGGGTTGCTCTCCTTGGCGGCCACTGGTGCTAAACGCGGCCTGGGAGGGCCTGGGAGGGCCTGCAAGCCTCGAGCCGTCGGCAGGCTACCAAGATTCGGGCTGTAAAGGATGCTGAGTGGCAATGGTCTTCCGGTAGCACAGCATCGTTGGTTTTCTGACCGGCCATGCGGTTATATGTGCGCTCGACGGCCCTGTCTCACGCCCGAGCATCGGAGAGAAGTAGGGCTCAGGTCCGCGCTGCATGGGGTTGGCGTCCCAAGTCGTGCCATGGCACAACTACATATTCTACTGTACGCGCTTTCTATTCTTATCCTTTTTGACTCGTCTCGCCCGCGGCATGATTGATTGGTTAAGCCGGACGCGGCGGCAGACGTGCGGCGGCTACTGCTCCGAAACGACGAGGGGAGGGGCGTGTACGTATTGACAAACGTTGACGACGTGTGCTCCGCCGTGCTATCTCGACTTGCGCTTCAACGCCCGCCCACGATCCAGCCAGGGGAGAATTGTGGAGGGGTGGGAAGAGATCGATACGGTCCGATCCGGCGCAATCCATATTGCAGCGGCAAGCCATTGCTGCGGTGCAGCTTGAGGCGACTAGCGGCTTCGAGCTTTGAGGCGGGAGGCGGTCAAGGACGAAAGACGCCAGAGAAGCTGGCAGACCCGGCGCATGCTGCTCGCCATACGCCACAAGACGCCGTGGCTTTCGGGGAAATGGTCCAAGGGTAGGCACGAGCGACGGCAGCCGAAGGTCGAGAAAGAAAGAAACCCCTTGATTTCCTCTTTGGGGCCGTTTGAAATCGGGGGCTGCCGATTTACCCTGCCCGGTGCCTCGAAGGATGCTTAGCTTGGCTCCAAAATGGTATGCTCGGTTCTCGGCGTGTCTGCAAGGGGTGGTACGGAGGCGCCGGCTCTGCGATGTGACGCTACGCAACGACGGCACCGCTCGTCCAATGGTCCGCGCCAAGGGATGGCACAGGCGCAGACCGGTCAATGGGCCGAGCCTGTGGTTCGAGGCACGTGTGCGTGGCGCCTTGCTTGCAGCGAAGGTACATGACGCGATGGCTTCCCGGGGACAAGCCAGGGAACAGGGGCGGAAGGCAGAAGCGGACGGGCCCGGGCGTTAGATGGGCACGCGCCCGCGTCGTACTACAGTACAGTGCAGGCCACAAGCCACGGACCGGGCCAGGCTCCGTACCATGCCGCGAGCTGAGTGTAGAGGAGGACGAGCTGCCACGGCGAATCTTTGCGGCGGCCATGTCAGCGGGCTTGAAGGCCAAGCCATGTCAACGGAGCCTGGGATCCATCCTAGGGAGAGCGGCCGCAGTGGCAGTGTTGACGGGCCCAGATCCATGTATGCTGGCGCCGAGTCGGGGAATGCTCCAAAGACAGGAGGCTTCGTGTTCAATTGCCGTATCCTGTATGCGCGGTCAGCGCCTCCCCTTTGACTGGCGGTTTAGCTATGCTCTCGCGTCTTTGCCGTATGCTTTTCCATCTCTCCTTGGATCCAAAAGGGGGGGTTTGGGTGTGTGCAGGTGAAACGGGGCCATGCAGGGGAGGCCAAGACACACACCTCTTTGTGACTTGCTCGTTCAAAGCAGGCTCCAACCGTCATGTCGTGAAGATGGTGGAAGATGGGATGGACGTTGCATCGGACGGACGAACATTGGATGGCAGAAGCGCCGGCCGGGGAGCCAAAAATAGCAGGTGCCTGTCAAGGTCCTTGCCGCAACTTGTTAAGCGCTTGCTCGAGTACTCTATACATCTAAGCAGCCGCGTTTCTCACACGCCACGCAAGTACAGTCGACCATCAACCCCCGACTCCCCACCGGGCTGCAGGTTTCAGGGTCGCTACAGGGAACAATGGTCGTGCGTGACGCCATCATTCAACCTCACATCATCACCGCTCCTCAGCCTCGTCGTCTCCCTGCCCTCGACAGCCCGGCCTTGACAGCCCGGCAAGCAGCCGCCGGCCGTCTTTTCCGCCCTTTGAGAGATACGCACCCTCCCCTCATCTTTTCGAGCGCCCTGCATCGACCGACTGGCCGACCGACCGACATCGCCAGAGACAAAGAAGGGAGAGGGCTCCGTTTGCCACCCGCCCGCCAGCCTGCCTCTACGCCCCTGGGCGCCAGGCCAAACATCCCCGCGACTGGAGACCAGCACGGCCAGCCAAAAGCGTGCACTCCCCCTGGCTCGCCTCGCCTCTCCCTGACCGCCATCATCGAGTGAACACGCGTCTGCTGCGGACATCCCGCGACCCAGCCACCCTGACGATGCCGTTGGGCACGGCGTCGCCCCCGAGACATGTAACGGCATCGCCCCCTCGTCGGCATCTTCCGTGACGGGTAGCATTAGCATTTTGGGCGTTCAGACAGACAGCATCACCTCTTACCCGTCGGTTCCTTTGGAGGCCGCATCACCATCGCCTCTCAGCATCCTCGCTTATGCCGCATTGCCTGTCAGCTCTTCGGGAAAGCGCACCATACACGCCTCGGCCGACTATCATCTGTCTTGTCCACATCGACGACCGACCGCGTCATCACCACCACAACAACGACAACGAGCAGACGAGCGACATTCGCCTTGCTCGATCCCGACAATCCTTCCCCCCCCCCCGGATCCTGGCAACAGACGGCTGATCGGGGTGCATGTTGCCGGAGCGATTCGTCCGCCTCGAGCCTTGCATTCGCCCCCGGCCTCGAGTAAAAGCCAACTCATCATGCAGGCGGATACTCCGGCCCCGTCGCCGCTTCAGGATGCCCGGTCGCATGGCTTGGCATGTCCGCACCCGGTCGCCGTGGGCGACCTGGCCGACCCGGCTCAGACCATTGACGCCCAGTCGGCTGACCGAGGCACTCACGGCCCGACGTACGGCGACGCGACCTCCTCGGCCATAACCGGCCACCTCTGTCCCTGTGCGAGGCAGTTTTACCTCGAATCGTCTCTGGAGCACATGCCGACCGAGATCTTGCTTCACATACTTGGATTCCTGGACGTCAACGATTTGCTCTCTGCCTCGAGGGTATGTTTCTTCCCACTTGGTGACTTCTCTCTTCCGTTTGCATCCTATGCACCCATTTCCCCTTCCCCCTTAGCAACCGCCCTTCCAGGCAGCCCGCGCAACCAAGTCCCCACTAACCGTGCGGCTGCTGACCGGCGCAGACGAGCCATCTCTTCCGTAGCCTTTCCCTCAGTCCCATCCTCCACTACTACCGCCTGCGCCGCACACGCCACCTTCTCCCTCCCCTGCTCTCATCCCCCTACCGCCCATCGCTGGCCAATCTCATTGCGCGCTCCATCTTCCTTACCCACACATCCATCGTGTCCCGCCGGCTCGCGCGCTCGCTCGTCTCGATCCGCCTCTCGCGCCGCCTGGCCGCCCGCCCTTCGGCCGAGGCCCTCGTAGAGCGCGCTGTGCTGCCCAAGGAGTGCGTGCCGGGCATGGTACCCGTGCACGTGTCGCCCGCCATTGTCGCACGGCGCAAGGCCTTTGAGAAGGAAAAGGTCAAGGACGGCCTTAGGCGCTGGATCGCTGCCAAGTGGAGGGGCGAGGTCAGGGAGCGCGAGGAGGTGGCCCGGAAACGGGAGGAGAGCAGCGGCATTGGGCGCGTGTGGCGCCTGAGGAAGTTCTGGGAGAGAATCAGTCGTGGAGAGGATTTGGTGGTCAGGTAGAAAAGCGGACGCAATGGCCATCGGCGTGAATCTTGCCATGCAAGGAGGGCACAATGGAGTCTATCTCGAGCAGGCCCAGGGAGATGCGATAGAGAATATGTTGGCGAAGACATATATTGTACGGGACATCATGATTGCGACTCGGATTGGGGCCGGCCTTGTCTGTTTTTGATTTTGTTCTTCTCAAGACCGATGCTTGATGATTCCTGCTCGCGGGTGTTCCCTGCTTGACGCCATCTGCTCCATTGACCTTTGACAGCGCCGTCAGCCTAGCTTGCAATCGTTTGGCGTTCCTGAGAGGCCATGTCCGAGCTACGCAAATTGACCGAAATTCCAAGTGCGTATCGCACGCATCCTGGCTCGCAAAAGTCCCCCTGAATGACTCTGGAATATATACAGCATTTATACAGTGAACTGGAAGTGACTCAGGCGGAACACAGCCGCCGCATCACCGTGGCTGACCGGGCAGCGACCATGTTCTGCTTCGCCGCCCGCGGGTTAAGAGGCTCGAAATCTGAAGCCATCCCAGTCGTCGTTATCGTCCGAGTCGTCATCCTCTTCGCCCTCTTCCCCATTCACCTCTGCGGCCCCAGCGTCGGCAACGACGACCTCGCCAGGTGCATCTTGCATGCCCCGCCCCGGATCGGACGGCTTCTCCGGCGCCGCTTCTTGGCCGCGGCTCTCGTTCTGCCGACGCAGCGCCTCTCGCTTGTCCTTCAGTCGCCGGACTCGGGCCTCGAGCTCGTGCATGTCCTGGAACTCGTCCTCGATGGCGCGCGTGGCCTCCTCGCGCTCCTCTTCAATGTCCACGTCGGCCTGGGCCCTGCGGCTCTCGTTGTTGTTTTCGGCCGACGCCTTGGCGGCCGCCGATTCCTCGGCCGTCATGGCGGGGGCCGATATGACGGCGTCGTCATAAGAGACGCTCTCGGCGGCCATGTCGGCCTCAAAGGCCGCCCACTCCGACTCGTCCACCTGGGGCGCCGCGGAGCTCGCCTGTGCAGCACCAGCCGCCGAAACGGGATTTCCGACTGGCCGAGGAGTCAGGAACACGTTCGATGCAGAGCCTTGAGGGAAAGCCGGGGGGGCTATGCCCGGTGTGGTTGAGGCCGAGACATCGCGCCGGGACGGGGTGGCAGGGCGTGAAGGAATCTGCAACTCGATACCTTGAGACGGCGTCGTCGACGCTCTTCTAGAAAGCCCTGGAGGCGTAAGGTTGGCGTCCTTGCCGCTGCCACTACCGCTGCTAAGTGTCCGCTCCGGTCCCTTGTTTGCTCCGTTAGTGGGCGTGAGTGCAAGGTCCGCCCTGCTCCGTTTCCTTCTGATGGCGTCCTGGACCTCGCCATCGGCGTCGTCGAGTTTTCGCTTCTGCTTCACCCCCCCGGTATCGCTGCGCAGCGGGCCATTGGCCTCCGGCGGGCTTTGCAGCCTGCGCGCGTGGGCCTCGCTCTGGACGTGGCTGTCCCACAGGCTCTCGGCCCTGATCTGTTCCCGGCACAGGGTGCACAGCAGCTTCCCGGCGTCGGTGTAGGCGGCGTGCGGGTGTTCGATGCGCCGGCTCGCGCGTTGCTGGCGCAGGAGGGAGCGGACGTCCGCCATTGGCCTCGGCCGTCAAGGCGTAGTGGTGAGTGAGTCGGCGAGGGCTCGAGAGAGCAGCGGCGACGGGAGGGGCGCAGGAAGAGGGGGAGGATACTTCGGTGGGCGAGGCCGTTGGAGGAGCTTCCGAGGCCGGAGGACAGCCTCAGTCGGCCATTCAAGAGAAAGACGAGCTCGACTCACGGATAGTGTTGCAAAGACTCAGCAGATAGAGGAGTAGAGGTTGCCGAGCTGACATATTCTCGGCCGGTGATTACCCGGCGGCGGCAGAAGTGACCTCATTCGCCCCGCAAGCCGCCGCGTGTCTCGAAACCAATTCAACGTCGTGTCTCAATCACGAGTCAAAATCGTCGGCCAGACGGAGGCACGGCCGATACCACATCGCTGGAATAGCCCTCGCACCGCGACCCCGCCCCCGAGCCTTTTATTGCGCCGCGCACTTGCTTCTCGTCCGATGCGCCTTTAGCGCAAGCGGCTCATCATGGCCGACCTGCAAGAGCCGCATTCGCTGGCCTCGACGTTCCCGAACCCGCCTCCGTTCTGGAAAAACTTTACGCCCGCCAAGATCGCGCGCATCGAGACGCTGCGAAACTCACACGGCGTCGGCGGCGGCGGGGTGGCGGCGATGCGCGTGCCGGGCGTGCCCGACGACCTCATCAACCTGCAGCCTCCGCCCGAGCCCGTCGACGGAAGATGGAGGGTGTTTGGAGACCAGTACATGGTATGATGGCTTGTCGCTCGTGCTCAGGTGCAGGTCCCTAGGGGTGGTTGGCTAACTGTTGGGCTCGCCGCTCAGCTCGATGACAAGCTGCCTACGCTCGAGGAGCAGGGCATCGCCAACCTGTCGGATCCAGGCCCCCCCAGCTCACGGGAAGACAAACACTTTGATCGCGCATTTGAGCTCAAGAGGCTAGCCAAGTCTCTGCTCCTCAACTTTCTCGAACTATCGGGCACGCTCGCTCACACCCCGTCGTCGGCCGAGGCCAAGATCCAGGACCTGCGCACGCTCTTCATCAACATGCACCACATCCTCAACGAATACCGGCCGCACCAGGCGCGGGAGTCGGCGATTGAGATGATGCAGGACCACCTGGACCGCACGCGCGCCGAGACGGTGGCGATCCGCACGCAGGTAGACAAGACGCGGCGCGTACTCGAGGGGCTGGGCAGCCTAGGGATGGTCGGGGCGGGAGGCGGCACGGACCAGGATCGACGCGAGCCTATCGAGGACGAGGACGTGGAGGAGCTGGCGACGGAGCGAGACATGCTGATGTGGGCTGCGACGGACGCGGCGTTTGCCTAAGATGGTGAGCGCCGAACCTTGCAAGGTGTGTGCTGGGCAAGGCTGAAGAATCCTTGGCGCAGAGTATGGGTTTGCGGTGGCCTATACCCCTCACAACATTACGACTTGATGAGGCTGCCACGACGGGAGTTGCATACGGTCACACGGGACATGATCTGGGGGCGTTGGAACGGATTTGTTTTGGCGAATAGCTGCCGAGGTTCCATATAGAAATCAAGAGATCTTAGGTATAAGGTCGACATGTAAGATTGCGCAAGTGACGTTTCCTTCTCAAGTCCTGGTGTCCCTCACATGACGCAGCAGGGAATGGGGATGCAGCAGCAGGAATAGTCGCCGCAGTCGATGCAGCGCGTCTGTGCGTCGGCGGGCTTGATCATGATGTCAGCGATGGACGAGGCGATGCCGCCGGGCCCGTTGCTGTTGACGAGGCTGTTGCCGCTGGCGCAGGCCATGGCTTCAAAGGCTGTCGGGAGAGGGGTCCGTCGACGACGTTGACGACGGATGGAGGTTGTCGGAGGCTGACTTGGTGGTTGTAGGTCGAGGTAGGGGTAGCCCAGCTCGAGTGTCGAAAGAGTATGTATAGCGGCAGCGGATGCAGGCCGAGGCGCGGACGTGCAGAGAGGACTAAGATGTCGGGAATGGCGTTCTTTATGGCCTTGAGAGATTGCGTCAAGAGCCGTTGAGGCGCAGCCGCTGGCTGAGCAGTCGAGGGTTCCGAGCGGTGGTGCACCTGCCGTTCCAAGCCCACTCCGGGGCTGTGAGAGACGTCATCGTTATAGGGGGCGGAAGGTACTTGATGCCTTATCAGCCTGACCGCAACTTGGAGCGTTATTCTGCTACCGCTCTTGTAGTTATCTGAGCTCGTTTATCTCACCCTATTTGGGCTCGTTTATTTTACCTTGCTTAAACTCGTTTATTTTACCCTATTTGACTTGTTTGTTTTTCAGTTGCTTTAAACTCGTTTACTATACCAAGCGGAAATCAGAGGTGGACTCGAAGCTCTGCCGAAGTGGTCAGTGCTGCCAGATGAGAGTGATTGGACATTGCTCCGTTGGGCGACGGGACGAACGCGTGAGGTAGCAAAAAGTGTTCGGCGGGGTATTACCAAGGCCCTGACTAATAACGCACTTACGGGTCTGACTATTCATCCTACGAAAAAGTGGGACAGTGTGGCTGGTTAAGGCGCAGCGCCGATACCGCATACTTGAGTGCGAACATGTAATCAGATTACGTAGAGGCCCTAAGTTATAATAGTGACTTCCTCCGGGCGACATTAAATCCATCCATCCATCCATACGCTATTTATCCGGAGCCACCATCTCTTCGACTGCTCCCGATGCTTGTCCCGTGTAACCGCGCTGTCGGCCCAACAGCAGGTACAACTACCAGCTCGGCTTGCCTCCCACGATGGTGCGGTCCATGAGATGATAACGCCCTCCTTCATGCAGGTCGAGCGGCTAACAGTTGGCTTGTAGCGATCCGAGTTACGAGGCCCTGACTCCGCGTCCAGGCGTCCAGGCGTCCAGGCGTCCAGTCGTCCAGGCAGACAGCGCGTTCCAACCCAATCATTATCGCCTCACATGACGCCTCCGGCGCACGTTAAAACATGGCCGTCTGTCTCGACCAAGGCTTGTCGATGGCTGAAATTAGTCCCACTCCTGCACTGAATTCGCCCATGGCGAGCGCGTGCCAGCGAAAGCGGCTCGCAGACCACTCCACCAAAGCCAGCCCTCCGGCGAAGAGGTGCAAGTTGACGAGAAGGCACAGAACGACCTACTTTCCCCCGCCATTCTGGGACAATCTCTCGAAGGTATCCCTCACGCCTCTTGCCTTGCGAGAACTCGACCGACGAAACGAGGTGCAGCATCAACCTCCAACCACAGTGCCAGTGGGTGTTGCGTCCAGGGAAATTTCTCGATTTGCAAGACATGGCGGGCCAGATCTTCGTCATCTTCGAGCAGTAGGTTCTCACTTCTTGCTTCAAGTGCTACCTGACAATCTTTAGTTCAAAGCATCACAAGCAACCGCGGCCATGTCGTCAATCCCGGCATCCACAGCTTGTCGGAGTCGACGGAGGCAATCGACAAGAGCAACCAGCGCTATTTCCAGAAGCAGCAAGTCGTCCGCGTACGGAAAGAACTTCGAAGAACACCTTGCCGACTATGGTGTGTATATGAACAGCCGGAGGTCAAAACCGAAAAACGCGAAGGCCATCCAGAGTGAACTGGCAAAAGAGAGAGCATCATTGTCCCCATCCAAATTTTCCGAAGGCGCATTCGAGAGCTTCCAGCGGGAAAGCGAGGACATGGTCTTCGAGTCTGATGTTATGACCACATTGTTTCCTCGACTATGCGGCACATCCGACATTACCAGCAAACAGAACGTTCTGTTCACCGAACTTGAGCCAATCACGGATGACAACGCGGTGAAGCCGAAACCGGACTTTTTCGACGGAGCATGTCTACGAGATCTCAGCATGGAACTCCGGACGGATGAGGATCTTCGATCAACGGTTATCCCCACTAAACACCCCAGCGTCCCCGTAGCACCAAACTTCTTCCTCGAGGTTAAGGGGCCAGACGGTAATGCGGCTGTGGCCCAGAGGCAGGCGTGCTACGATGGAGCGTATGGAGTCCGCGCTATGCACGACTTGCAAAACTATAGGGGGGTTGAGCTGGCATATGATGGCAATGCGTATACATTCAGCTCGACCTTCCACGCCGGCACGGGCACGCTTCAGCTCTACTCGCATCATGTCACGCCGCCAAGCACTGTTGATGGGCCTCCCGAGCGCCACATGGCCCAAGCAGGGGCGTATGCCTTGACACATAGTCGCCAGGCCTTCGTGGATGGAGCTTCAGCATTCAGAAATGCCAGGGATATGGCAAAACGGTATCGAGACGGATTCATTCAAGCCGCGAACGCTGGAGCAGGTCAAATGTCAACAATGGACCCAGCAGACATCACCGGTGCATTCGAGAAGGTCCCGGTACTTGCGCGCCACGAAGTTTACGAATCAGTGGATCACTCAGCGTATGGTACCTGGCAGGATGCTGATAGTGCGCTTCAGCAACTGATCGCCGACGGCGGCGATGGCCCTCTCCAATGCGAAGCCGAGACAACCGCCATACCCCGGTACCGATACCCGGAAGAAGATTCGCAAAACCCGAGCCGAGAATCGGGGCCCGTGAAAGGTGACGACCCGTCACCGAGCTTTGCGTCCAGCTTCACGTCTTTCGACACGGAGCAAACACGTCCCAAGCGTTTCAGACAATCTCACAGTCCACTTACAGATGACCCAAAAGCCCTGTCGTCCAAACGTGGAGCACGACACGGACGCAGGCGCGGAGAGGGAATGTCAACCTCGGGCGTCCACAATGATACGAAGCAACAACAAAGCTGAACATGTCAGAACGAGCGAGTCAGGGCGGTATTTTAGCAGGCAATCGATCAAATTGGATCGCGCAAGAATAGCAGTTCTGTGTATCGCCGTCCCCGTTGACATCCGTCGTTTCTCGCATGGCTCGACGTCCGCCCAACTCTAAGCCACGTCAAAACGTCCCGTATTCGCTCTAGTATGTGCCCGATCAAATGTCTGGAATGTTCTGTTTGTCGTCGTCGAGCAGGTACTCCCTCAGGCCATAGCTTCCGCCGCACATTGTCAAACATTGTGTTGGCCCATCCCGCGGCCAACGACACATATGGTTCAGTCCAACCTGAGTTGTCCCATTCCAAAGCCGTTTCAGTAAACGCCGGAGTCTGCACGGCCAACAGATGGCAATTGTTAATCTCCAACCTTAAGGGAGGTTTCACGTCATCTTCCTATTCGTCCATACGGCTGAGCCTGACTTTCACTGCGGCTGGTGCCGGACCTGACTTTGTGTTTCTGCAGCACTCTACTTGGTCTGGACTCATGATGAAAGTGCTTGGCCAAAGTGCTTGGCCGAGCTTGGCTCACTAAACCCAAGTGACTTATAAATGTCGAGACTGGAACTCTAGCGGTGGGGGCATTGCATTGTCCGCGCGCCATGAGCTCCGGGCCGCCTCATCCGTTAAGACATCGGCCGGCAACCCGAGCACACTGTGCTCCTCGGGCCACAAGTCCGACAGCACAGGGCCAAGAGGCGAATGAGAAATGAGACAGCCGACGGATTGTCACTGGACAGGTCCTTGGTTTCGACAGAGTTGATTGGGAGCGGCATCTGCCCTTCAAAGTTGTCGCCATGGCTCAACTTGATTTATTAGCCGCTGCCTCGTTTCGCCGCAAACATCACCTTGCTAGATAGTCTCACATTCTACCAAAGCAGTCGTAGTCAATCTTTAGCCGTGGCTTCCACTTCAATAACTGCTCGATGTCGGCTTAGAGACATCGACAATTACGGATCGCTGCCCCGTGTCTTCCAGTCCCGGATTGCCACGCCTTATATACGACGAGAGCCATTCTCGACTCAATGCCGAAGCAACCCTTCGCCACTCCTTCAGCATGATATCCGGCGCCCTCCTGGCCGTCCTGGCCGGCGTCGTCCTCGCCTACTACGTCCACCAAAAGGTCCGCGAGAGCCTCAGCCGCGCCGCCGAGGCAAAGAAACTAGGCTGCCGGCCGCCCGTCGCCGACACCTGCGACGACCCCATCGGCATCTCCGGCACGCTTCTGTGCATACGCGCGCATAGCGACAATCGCTTCCTCGACACGGTGCAGCAGCGCATACGCAGCTTGCAGGAGCGCATCGGGCGGCCCCTTAAGACGGTTGCGCTCCGGACCCTCTTCTTCCGCGACATTGTCGTCACCTTTGATCCTCGGAATGTCCAGGCCATACTCGCCCTCAAAGCCAAGGACTTTGATCTCGGCGTCAACCGCACCGGCAACTTTAAACCGCTGCTTGGAGCAAATGGCATCGTACGTCGTGGTCCTTCCTGATCCCCTCACCTCCGCTCCCTGTTGATGCAGGTCTTGGAATTAGTTTGTCGCCACCGGGAAGCTCTGGGAACACTCAAGAGCTTGGCTTCGACCGCAGTTTGTCCGCGGCAACATCCACCTCGATCGAGAAGAGATTCACACCCGGGCTCTCATCACGGCATTGGAGCGCCGCGCCGGGCCAGACGGCTGGACGGACCTGGTAGATCTTCAAGAGTTCTTCTTCCGCTATACGCTCGACTCGACGACCGACTTCTTATTTGGACAGAGCGTCAGCACCCAGCAGGGGCCCGATACACCCGCGCACGACGCCAGCTTCTCGCAGGCAATAGACAAGACGCAGTCTGGGATATCTCTCGGCGCGAGGTTGGGACCGCTGTACTGGCTGGCCCATACACCCGGGTTCAAGCGGGCGGTCAAGACAATCAACGCCTACATCGACCGCTTCACCCACGCTGCTATACGGCTGAGAAAGGACGAGCAACAGGGACTCGACAAGGGAGCAGAGCACCAAGAGGGAAAGGACACTTTCCTCTACAGGCTCACAGAAGACAGCCAAGATCCAGTCGACTTGCGCAACCAACTGCTGAGCGTCCTCCTCGCGGGCCGTGACACCACGGCTTCGACTCTCGGGTGGCTATTCTTCGTAATTGCCAGTCCCCAGTATCAACCGATCTTCCAGCGGTTAAGAAATGTCATTGTCAGGGAATTTGGCGAGCAGTCGTCCCCCAGCCCGGGAGATATTTCCCTTGACCGCATCAGAAACTGCCAGTACCTGCAGTGGTGCATCAACGAGTGTCTACGGCTCTATCCCGCTGTTCCCATCAATACGCGGATAGCGCAGGTGAATACCCATCTACCAACAGGGGGAGGCCCTGATGGAACAGCCCCTATTTGGATCAACAAGGGGGAAGAGGTGACATATTCGGTGAGTTTTCTCAAGCAGCCTCTAGACGTCGCCTCGACGATCATGCCCATACGTTTTTCCTAGGTTCATCTCCTGCACCGCTGCGAAGAGATCTGGGGAGACGACGCCGCCGTCTTCAGGCCCGAACGGTGGGAGAAGACCGTCTCTCGATGGGATTACCTGCCCTTCAACGCCGGTCCGCGGACCTGCATCGGCCAGCAGCCTGCCCTCATCAGGATCGCGCACCTGGTGATCCGGTTCATGCTACGCATCGACGCCATCGACGGGTCCAGGATAGGTCCTGAACGACATGCATTGACGCTGGTCGACTGCCCTGCGAACGGTGTCAATGTTCGGCTACGCTTCGCTGCGTAAGGACTTGCAACTTGCGTTGGATAGGCCTGGCATTTGGGAAGAGCGAAGACGGCATGTCCCAGTTGAGACTTTGGCTATAGCATTTTGACTTCCACTTGCCATTGTAGAAGTGAGAAATTGGGCAACTGACGGCTGTTGCCTGATTCAAACGCGCGGGTGTTCGCCGGCGGTCGACTTGGCATCAAGGTGTAGGCTCACGCCCCAGTCACAACAGCATACTCATTACAGCTGCACACAAGTGGGACTCGCTGATTCCGGTTGGCGTTGGAAACTGGGGTTGTATGTAGGCTGTCTGCTACCGAATCCAGCAACCCAATCCAACTTACGACGAGCAATCACATTGCTAGAGTCCATCTCACGTCGAGAGAGATTTCATCATGTTGTTGTACTCTTCTGCCACCATTTCTTCCATTCGTTTGACCTGCATGGCGAGCATCGGCAGACATGCAAAGGAGCTTTTGTTCAGTGGTATCTGTTATGTCCCTCTCCCTCGCGCATGCCCTTTGCATTGACGTGGGATGATCACGGGAGTTGATCTTGGCACCAACGGTCCTATCCGCTCTCTTATTTTCTCGAGTCGCACCAGATAAGGAACCTTTCTGTCATCCCTCAAGCATACACCGTCTAGAGGCAATAAAACATTTCGAATTCCTCGCGGTAAACTTCCTACATGTAGCAGACGTTGTATCTCCTTGCGCAACTCTTCCAACAGGGTTCAGAAGCCGACTTGCCGAGCCATCAATAGCTTCACCGGTCGGCCTGATGTCCGCTGGGACAAACAAGAGATGCTGACCGCGCCGTTGACTTTGGCCATTACCAATAAGTGCGTTCGCGGAGCCATGCTATATGAGACATAAAAACCCAGCCAACAGAGCTGCATGGATGCAAAACCTACGTCTACTACCCACCCGGATGCTACAGTCCCAGACTCAAAAGGTATCATGGTCCAATCCTCACCCCAAACAAGAGCCCCTTGACATGCGTCGTCACCCCACAAGCGTAAGACAAGTATTGGTCACCATTACGCCGGCTTCTCACCACCACCACCACCACCAGCCGCCGCCGCAGCAGCAGCGGCGGCTGTGGTCGGGTTATTCTCCGCCTTGCTCCCCGCTCCTTCCTTCTCCAGCAGGGCCCCGAGGTACTGCAAGTCGTCGCGGGACCGGGGCTCGCGTTCGTAGACGGTCTTGATGACTTCCCACTCCTTGCGCGTCATCTGAAAGGCCTGCGGCAGGAGGAACTGCACTGTGGGCGCGCTGATCAGGCCGCCCAGCACCTCCTGAGCGACCGCCTGCCCGGTAATCTGCGCTTGATATCTCTGCGCCTCCGTCATCTGAGCCGGTGGAGGCGTTGGTGCCGGTGCCGATGCCGTGGGTGACAGGCTCGGCGTTGGCCCCCCGCCTATTGGGGACGCTTGGTTCGGGCGATACGAGTACGGGGGTTGCGGAATCGGAACGGGCGTCGTGGACTGGAGGGCTCCGCCGACATGTTGCTGCGGATGCGGCTGAGGACGTGGTGGCGGGGGCGGTTGTGGTTGTTGCTGCGGCGGCGGCTGTTGGTGAACAAAGGCCCCTTGCGGAGTGGCCGGTGAAAAGGCCGGCCCTGATGTCGAGTTGCTCCTCTGCCCTCCATATCCGCCTGGGCCCGGCGTCGGAGTCGCCGTCACGCCCGCGGGCTGCACCGTCACCGCCTCGAGAGCCTTCCTCAGCTGATCCGGCTCGTTGCGATACACAAAGACGGCCAGCAGCATCGGCTCCGTTCGCGACTTGGGGATGTAATTGTCCACCAGGTTCAGCATAAACTCGGGATGCCCTCCCTCGCCCGCCGGCACGGGCACCAGGTACGTGTCGCGGACGTTGCCCGCCACCTTATTGCCGACAACGCCGTATCGCTTCTTGCTCACAAAGTAGTCGATGAGGTTGTGGAAGTCTTGCCTCGAGCCCGGAGACGCGGGCGCGATGCTCACCACCACAATGTCGGTGAGGTTGCTGTACCGCAGGCTGCACAGATACTCGATTGCGCTCTGCTGCGGGATGCGGCCGGCGACCGTCATGCTCTTCGGGATCAGCTTGGTCCATGGCCCGAACGACGCAAAGTTGGCGCCGCCGACGTGCTTGGCCGTGGCCTGGAAGTCGGCAATGGAGCTCATAGCCAGCGATCCCCGCCACACCACGTCCGGGTCCTGCGCTTCCTCGGTGGGTGAGTACGGCGGCGACTCGTTTTCGTCCTCGAGCATCCGGTCGACGTCCGGGTCGAAGCCCGGGCCGTTGGTGTTGATTGCCGGCACAGACGGCTTGCGGCCGTGGCCCACCGTCGGGGATCTGACCGTCGAGAAGACCTTGTTGATGTCAAAGTTGGGCTGGCTCGGCGACGGCTGCTGCGAGTGCCCCTGCGACGACGGAGAGCGGCCTTTGAGATCGGCCCGCTCTCCGCTCATCGACTCGCGCTTGACAAGCGGCGCGTGCGGGTCGTCTGCTCCCGTTGCCTGAGGACCGCCCCGTCGAGGCCCGCCGGCCATGGGTATCGGCGCATCGTGGACCATGTTTTCGTCTTCCACCACTTCCTCGCCCTTGTGTGTCCTGCGGACTCGGACTCCCGTCTCTGAGGTGTACAGGATAGACTGCTTCTCCGCCCGCGCCCTCATCTCGGCCGTCTGCCGCTGCAGCTCCGCCGATGCGAGCTGCTCGGACGTCATGATAGCCAAGGTCGTGGGTAGGTGGATGCCGCCCAGCAGCCCGCGGCACAGCTCGGGGTTGTTCTTCAGGTTGAACGTCAACGACTTTATCTGCTGACTATACTCCTTCTGACCCTTGCCGACGGGGTGTGTGTCGAAGACGGCTCGCTCGATCTGAAGAGCGTACTTTTCCGCAACGGCCTCCTCGTTTTCGCCTTCAGCCAGATGGAGCTCTTGACTCTTGACCATGGCAGCAATGACGTGAGAGAGAGACTTCTTCAATGCCTTGGCGGGCCCGACCCTGACGCCGGGCAGCTCCCCTACCGAGGCCGCCAGGTCGGACGGGGGCGTGTACTTGGAAGACACGGGGACGGCATCGCGCTCTGATACGCGGCGCAGTTTGACGGTCTGTGGCGGCGTCCGGTCAGTAACCTGCGCGGCACAACGGTGAGAGTAAAGACGTACCTTTCCATCGGCTTCGTGGGAGTCTTCTCGCGACTTGCGCTTCGCCTGCTTAGCGACAGTCTCCTTTTTGTCCTTGGGGGCAGCAGCCTCTGGAGTGGGCGAAGCCTTGGACTTGCTTCGAGGGGTATCCTTTTCCAGTTCCTCCTTTGCGTCCTTGGCCTCCTTTGGATCGCTCGTCCTCTTGCCGCGGGCCCTCCTCCCGCCCCTCTTCTTCTTCTTCTCCTCGGCCTCTTCCAGCTCGTGTTTCTTGCGGCGCGCTTCCCAGGGCTTCTCCCCCTTGGCCATGCCGTCGAGCAGATCCTTGTGGTCCTGCGGGCGACACTGCTCGCACCAGTAATTGTCGGGTATCTCGTCTTCAAAGGAGCTTACCCCGACGCAGACATTGTGCTGCCAAACGATGCACGTCTCACAGCAGATCCAGGCCTCTCCTGAGTCCTCATCCTGCTCCGTGGCGCCACAAACGCATCGTATGACTTCCTCTGGTTCTTGCGACTGTTCCTGCTCCTGGGCCTTTTTCGACTTTCTATTCTGTCGGCGCTTCGGCGCGGTGGCTGGCTCGAGTTCGTCAAAGGCCTTTGTATGTTGGCCCTTGGTCGCTCGAACTGAGCGTCGCGGTTCGGCTTCACCTATGGCGGCGATGTCAGTCAACAGCATTCTCCCCTCGCGGCGCGTCAAGGGAAAGATTTGCGCCCGTTGCACGCGCCCTGAGGCACACACGCCGGGCTCTGGAGTGCTTACCAGACATGGCGACGGGATTGGCGTCGCGCGCGCGATGGTGCAATTGCCGTGGTCGTTGGGATCTACTCTGGGAGCTGACGACGCAAGGCAGACATTGGATTTTACGAGGCAGACAGCACTAGGATCACGACTATAACGGCGAACCGTCCCACACCCAAGCGCCTGAGCTCTCTTCCCTCCTTTGCACGATGCCCAAGTTTGGAGAAGCTCAAACGAAGCAAAAGAAACAGAGGCGCAGACTTGAGTGGCTTGCGAGGCAAGCAAAGTTTTCCCAGTGGCTTTGTGGGGTGGTGACGGAGGCGTTGCGTTGCGTCGACGAAGACGAGAGGGGGCGCATATAAGTCGCGACGTATCTGACGGGGAGAATAAGCGCGCTCTGAAACTCGCCGCGAGAATCAGCCTCGACGACGATATGGCTTGTCTTGTGTGGCAGTGAGGAGAGTGGTGATGATGAAGATGAAGGATTCGCAGGCGGGCGACATTTTGTACCTAGTGTAGGTAAGGTGGAGAAGAGTCACGCTATCGACCGGGAGAAGTATTCTGTTCGTCCCCTGTCCGCTTAACTTGCGGAAGGCGTCGAGCTTTAACCAGCCGCATGTACTCGGCAGATACTTGAAGCCCCTCAGTCGAAACTTGCAGAAGGTGTTGGACGCCTGATTCCCGAGGCAGCGATACTTGTCATCCTGCCGGATCAACTTCGGCAAGACAGCGGGGAACCGCGCCATTACCTAATCGCTGTGCAGCCTGAGGTGTCAGGAGCTACGCGGCGAGCTTGTGCCTGGAGCTTGCAGTGACGCCCTTTTTGGTGCTTGTTCTCGACTCGCAGGCCGACTCGACTTCACCTCTCCCACCGCCTTGCCCTCTTCCCATCGTGAGCCGGCAGACACAACGCCAATTCCATCCTGCCATTCTCCTCTGCAAGCGGCTTTGCTCCCGAAAACCCCCTCATCTACCGCCCGCCATGTCTCGCCGGTACGACTCGAGGGTACGTTTGCGAGGCGATCCGGTGCACCTTGCGGCTGCAGCTGCCATCTCGAGCTAACCCCCGCCCCGTAGACAACCATCTTCTCACCCGAAGGTCGTCTATACCAAGTCGAGTATGCGCTAGAGGCCATCTCCCACGCCGGCACCGCCATTGGCATCCTGGCCAAGGATGGCATCGTCCTCGCCGCCGAGCGCAAGGTCACCTCGAAGCTGCTGGAGCAGGACACTTCGGCCGAGAAGCTCTACGTCCTCAACGAGTAAGAAGCCACAACCCTTTGGAGGGGCCTTTCACTCTGACAAGGCCTCTCTCTCCGTAGCAACATGATCTGCGCAGTGGCCGGCATGACGGCCGATGCCAACATCCTCATCAATTACGCCCGCCAAGCTGCCCAGCGCTATCTCCTCACCTATAACGAAGACATCCCCTGTGAGCAGCTCGTCCGCCGACTCTGCGACCTCAAGCAGGGCTACACGCAGCACGGTGGTCTCCGCCCCTTTGGCGTCTCCTTCATCTATGCCGGCTGGGATCCTCGGAGACAGTTCCAGCTCTACCTCAGCAACCCCTCGGGTAACTATGGCGGCTGGAAGGCGACGAGCGCGGGAGCCAACAACGCCAGCGCGCAGAGCTTGCTGAAGCAAGATTACAAGGAGGACTGCACGCTCAAGGAGGCCTGCGCCATGGCTGTCAAGGTGTTGAGCAAGACCATGGACTCAACCAAGCTGAGCAGTGAGAAAAGTGGGTTGCCCTTGCATCAGCTTGGCCCGGTACACTTGGCTAACCCTGTCCCTTTTCTCTGCTATAGTCGAGTTCGCCACTGTAGGACAGACTGAGGACGGCAAAATCTACCACCGGCTGTGGAGCGCCGACGAGATTACGGCATTATTGAAAGAGCACGACTTGGCCAAGAACGAAGACACGGAGGAGAAATAGATGGTCATGATTGCGACGGGGCACATCGGGGGTCAGCCTACTGTTTCGGCCCGGCCCGTGTTACAATAATACAACGAGATGCAAGTATCTTGGGGTCCATGACGACGCGTGCCCTGCGAAACTCGTCACTAGCCGTCCAACCACGGCCTCTACTGCGATGCGTCTAAAGACTCGATGTATCTCGGACATGGCCCCGACTCCAATCGTCTGCAGAATTTGTACACGCGTGCCGACGGTCAGGTCAACCCTGGGCATGGGCCGTCGCTCACTTTCAGCCCGACGTAGTCCGAGTCTCTTGCAGCTCGTAGCCAGCATCTCCACCAGCCCCGCCCTCCTCTTCGTCGCGAACGCGGTGCCACCGCGTAGACCTGACCTCGGAGCCCGGCCGCGGGTAAGGCTCATGGCACTCCGGGCTGGATAGCCTCGGCCAGTGTCGTCTATAACTCCAGTAGGCCACGGCCATGCCCAGCGCCGAGCCAACGCAGACATCGTATACGTCGTGGCGGTAGTCCTCGCACCGCGAGATGGCGATCAAGGCGGCGCCGATTAGGGGCAGCAGGCAAAGCAGGGCGCGGCTAAGGTCCCGACCACCGGCCGCGTAGCGAAACAAATGCAGCTGGCCGGCGAGGAAGAGGCTGAGAAAGCCCAGGCCGGCAAAGGCAAAGGACGAGTGGCCGGAGGGAAAGGAGCGCCAGCCATCGTGGAGGGCGTGGCCGTCTGGGGCGGTGCATACATCGATGGTGACGAGCTGGTTGGGCTTGGTGTCGGAGGCTGGGCGGCAGCGGTCGAGCAGGTCGGGACGAGGCCGGCCGACTGCGTTTTTGACAATGTCGGTCAGGAAGCCGGTGAGGACAGCGGAGATGGCAAAGGAAAGGAGAGTGGCCTCGTGCTTGGCGGCCGGGGGGCGATATATGAGCCCGTAGGCGAGGAAGACGGCGAGGGGGACGACGAAGGCGTAGACAAAGACCATGGCTAAGTTATGGGACTGTGTGAGTTGGCCGACTGACTGACGGATGCTCGAGTTGACGTACGCACGGAGACGCGCTCGTGGACGGCATGGGGGTATGAGATGTTGAGGTCGTTGATGAAGAACATGCGGTGAAACGGCGTGACGAGGCTGGCCAGCTAAGACACACGAGCGAGGCTTGAGCGATGAAGAGCCAGTTGAGCGTGGGTGGGAGAAGCGCTCACGAGTATCCATCCTATCAGCAGGACCAGCAAGCCCGCGTAGTCTGGCGCATGCGTCGTCTGGCACCGGATATGAGTGAGCGGCCGGTTCCCAGAAGAGGTGAAGGGGGCGGATTTGCTGACCTTCCAGACCCCGGCCAGGGACCGCTTCCCGTGGCTGCTGGCCGAAGCAGAGCGTCCTGAAGCCATGGCGATGAGAGGTCTGTTTAGATGGTCATCCTGGCCGTGTAGAATCAGCTGGCGACGCTAGCTTGGATGACTCGACCGGGGTGGGTGGTGTCTTCTGTTGGTGTTCCTGGAGCCTCTGAGTGGAGTGCCGTTGAAGCGAGTGTTGAGTTGTGTTGAGGTCGTGCGAGGAAGGGGAGGTTGAAGATGTCGAGTCTCCGCCGTGTCTCAAGTGACATTTCGGGGGAGGAAGTCCCTCAACCAAATGTAGGCCACTCTGCCGCATCGAAAACGAGAAACCGATACACGAAAAGCCTAAAATACATAAAGGTAAACACAATGATTTTGAATTATTTTTATGCCTTCTGCTCTGTTGCGTGCCTCGACAAAAGACAGGATTGTGATGAGTGTGTAGGGTAGGTGGCGGTCGTGGGCGCACGGCTCCGCAATTGAGGCGCTCGTCGTCAATCGTTTCTCTCGACATCACCACCGCCTCCAGTGCCAAAGCCGCTTCACTCCACTGCGCAGCGTCCGATCACCAAACCCTCCTGACAAATACGATGAATGCTCTAGCTCTAGAGAGCACCGCGACGCCATGCTGAAATCCACCTACAAGCCGTCCCCCGCCGCCCTCGCAGCAGCCGCGCCGCTGCAGCCAGGCTGGACCGAGCACAAGGCGCCGACAGGACACACCTACTACTACAACGCCGAAACCAGAGAATCGACCTACAGGCGTCCTGGCCTGCCCGTGTCCGAGCCGGCGCCGGCGCCGGCCCCTGCCCCTGCCCCTGCCCCTTACGCCCATCTCCCCAACCTCTCCGACCCTCGCGTCGCCAATGTCTACCTGGCGCAGCTCAATCCCCAGCCCCAGCCTCACACCCGCGATGGGCCCGGCGGCCGCGGCGGCATCCAAGGACGCCCGCGACCGCAGCCCGTGGACAAGCCCCAGAGGAAAGAGGCCATACCGGGGTGCGAGCCCTGGATCCTCGTTTACACAAAGTATTCGCGGCGCTTCGTCTACAACCCCGTCAAGAACGCCAGCTACTGGCGCATACCGGAAAAGCTGATGCCAGGCATCTTGGAGCTGGACAAGGCGCGCATACGGGACAAGGCGTCGGAGGGGACGCAAGACAACAAACCCACCGCCCAGCCACGGGATGAACCGGTCACGCAGGCAGCTGCACATCACCAGGCCGATGACAGTTCCGAGTATGAAGAGGTCGAGGTGACCGACGACGAAAACGATGAGGCTGAAGGCGACGAGCTTGACGGGGAGCGCCGTTCGAAGCGCCAACGGACGGGCGACTCGGCCGACGACGAACAGGACGAGCCAGTCGAGTTCACAGAAGCAGACATTGCGGCGCAGCTGCAGCTCATGGGCGACGACTACGGCCTCGAGCCCGGAGACTACGACGACGGCAACATGGACGACTGGCCCGAGGGCACCGAAGGCGTCGAGTTCTCGGAAGAGGATGCCAAGTGGCTCTTCAAGGACCTGCTCAACGACTTCAGCATCAACCCCTACAGCCCCTGGGACAAGCTCCTGGAAGAAGGCAAGGTCGTCGACGACGCGCGGTACACGGCACTCAGCACGACCCGGGCGCGCAAGGAGTGCTGGGACGAGTGGTCCCGGGAGAAGATTGCCGAGCTCAAGGAGCAGAGGGCCAAGCAGGAGAAAAAGGATCCCAAGGTCGCGTACATGGCCGTTTTACAGGAAAAGGCCACGCCCAAACTCTACTGGCCCGAGTTTAAGAGGAAATACAAGAAGGAAGAGCCGATGAGAGACATGCGGCTTCCCGACAAGGACAGGGAAAAGGCCTACCGGGAGCACATCAACAGGCTCAAGCTGCCACAGGCAACCCTCAAGTCGGACCTGACGGCGCTCCTCAAGGCACAGCCCCTCCACCAGCTGCACAGAAAGTCTCTCGCCAGCAGCCTGCCGACGGCGGTCCTGACGGACATTCGCTACATCTCGCTCGAGCCGCGGGTGCGGGACTCGCTGGTCGAGGCCTACGTGCAGTCGCTCCCGCCGCCACCCGAAGACGTCGACGCGGCGGAGCGGGTCGAGGACCGGAAAAGGGAATGCGACGCGCGCGCGAGGCGGGAGCGCGCGCTGCTGGAGCGTAACCAGGCCGTCGAGGAGCAGAAGAGGAGGCGCGAGCGCGAGGTGGCGGCGAGCAAGGCGCGGCTGCGGCAGGGGGAGAGAGAGATTGAAATGGCGATGCGGGTGGACAAGCGAGGCCTGCAGAAGCAGCTGGCGCGCGAGCATGCGGGCGAGACGGACGAGAAGGAGGAGTCCGGGAATAAGCCTTAGGGTTGTGGAACGCGAGCGCATTTCGTACAGAAGCTGGCACGATGCGATGGAACTCGCTCTCAATTTTACAGATCAGAGAAGAACCTCTCTGCTCGTGTCTGGCCGACGTCGTCCCAGAGCTCCTCCAGCTCTAGGCCAATCTCTACTTCTATTTCTTCCGTTTCCGGTTCTTGTTCTTGATCTCGTCCTGTCTCCTGTTCTTTTTCTTGTTTTTGGGTTTGTTGCTCTGATACTTGTACTTCTCGTTCCTCCCAGTCGTCCTCATTCTCTTCCTCTGCTCCCTGCTCGACGCCGTCGTCGTCGAGGCGGTACGCGTCTTGCGCAAACCTGCGCATTTTGGCGCAGAGGTCGTCGGCGAAACTGGCAGGTATGGTTTTCCCCGATGGCAGCTTGGCCTCGACAAAGGTCATCAAATCGACGAGGGTGCTGAGGACGGACGGGTCCATCGGCTGCGTCCCGTTGTAGCTGAGATGCCAGGCTGCGAGCCGGAGGTTGCGCCACCAGCGGTCCGTCGAGGGGGCGTCGAGCGCGGCGAGGACGTCGAGGAAGGCCTTGAGCGCCCTGAGAAGCGGACCCCGGCGCGTGCGGCGGGTTGTTGCGTCGCCGTCTCCTCGCAGGTCGCGCAGGCCACTCTCGAGGGCGGCAGCGGCGGCGCCGGGGCCCAGCTCGAGCTCGAACCAGACGCGGCGCAGGCTGTCCGTCAGGTGCGGAACACCCTGGAAGCTGCGGTTGGCCAACAAGTCGACCGGGTTGAACCAATCGTAGGCCTCGTGCTCCCAGTCTAGGCGGATGGTGCTGGCGGCGCCGGGCTGTAGGATAAAGGCAAAGGGGTTGATGGTCCACTCGCGTCCGATGGAGGCGTCGGAATACGAGTAGGGCTTGCCGCGGCGGAGGAAGCGGAGTGAGTCGGGCGTCAGGCCAGTCTCTTCGGCAAGCTCGCGCCAGGCCGTGGCGAGGGGGTCGGCGTCGCTGGCCTCGACGGTGCCCGAGACGGGCGCCCACTTGTGCCTGGGGGAGGAGTAGCGTCAGCGAGGAAAATCCAAGGACCCGAGAGTGACCACTGTCACGTCCTCGTGCGCGTTCTCCGAGAGGCCCTCTGGATGGCACAAGGAGACGTCGTGGCCACCTACTGATACGTCCGGACCTTGGCGCTCCGGCGAAACAGCGCAACCTGAGTCCACCCGTCTGGGCTGTCCTCGGCGAGCCTGAAGATGAAGCTGCCAGCCACGTCACGCTTCTGCAATTGGGAAGAGGGCTTGACCCTGGACGAGGCGCGGCGGCACGAGATCCGGGGCGGCGGGCACGGAGTCGAGGCCGAGGAGGCGAGGGCGAAGAGGAGCCATGGCCGCATGGACAGCCGTGGGGGAGTCGACCTCAGCAGAGTGGGAGCCATGGTGCCCGCAGCTGCTGAGAAGAGCGAGGACGTGGGCCTGGCTGGAAGAGGGGAAGAAAGCAGTTATAGGAGAAAGTCGTGATGGGTTTGCGCCTAAATCAGGTTCAGTTTACGTCATCGCCCAGCAGGTGCCGCGTTTATCCGCGTCTCTCGTTATTAGACTCTGCCACGCCAAACCTTGGATGCCTGCTTGTCAGAAAAATGTTGAGATTTGGATCAAAAGGCACTGGGAACATGATGATGCGTTGGTCAGGTTGATTCGTCAGTACGTGCCCTCTTTCTCCGCTTCCTGGCCTGTTTTTGCTTCTCTTTTTGCTTCTCCTGCCCCTTTTCCAACCCAGACCGTAGCTCTTCTCTCGATCAAGCTCAGCGGAAGCTGCAGAAGGAAAGCTCTTCAACACATTCAAAGAACGGGTTCCTCGGGGCCAAACTTGATCTGTGTCTTTCGCTGCGGAAGCCCGGCACTCGCAAACGCCGAGAAGCGAAGTTGTCAGCCAGCGATCCAGGGGTATGAATCGGAACACGACTTGCTCAAGTCCGGCATCATCACCCATCGCGAGATAACAGAACGATACTCCGGCTCCCTTCTTCAGAGGTATCATAGTATTCTCTCTAGACTGGTGCCAGCCGAGCGTGCTGCTCGTTCGTCTACTTCCGATGCTCTTCTCTGCCTCCTCGCGCACTCGTTTCGCCACAAAGATGCTCAGCATGCCCCTTCCATGTATGGACATGCCGCTCATCCACCTCATCGCGGCCACTCCTCTTGTCATCGGATATGTGATCTCAGGCACCAGACTTTACCGACGCTTTCCTTGAGCCGGACCGGACGGAAATCAAGTCTTTGGGAAGCTTGAAGCAGCTCGACGGAGATGGCTCGAAACGACCCTGATACGGATTTTCTCACGGGCCCTTGTGCGGTAGGTCCTCTCGGCAATATATGGCTGCCGTCCCCTTCTGGCTCGGCATGGATTGCACCAGGAGACGAGACTCGAGTGCAGCATGTGCTTGCCCATCGGGAGAGCACCTAAGCGTAAGACGACGGATGCCATTTCTACTGCGTCTCACGTATCGACATGTACGACGGGTAGGGCGTTGAACGACAAACAGTCTATGAGCTGGATTGATACCTATCCTGCGAAGCCCTACGCGTCAAGTTGTCTGCGACGCCCCTCCCACGCCTGATTGACGCCATTCTTGCCCGACCTGTCTCCGAAGATGGACTCAACAATCTCCCCTGATCTAGTCGCAAGGACTGACAGTAGGGTATCACTCAGCTGCGAGACAGTTTTGTCAGCTGGGCCCGTAGCAAAGAGTGAACTTATACAGCGACAAGAACAGGCGGAGGGGGGGAACATGACGGATTAATTAGAACAAAGGTAATGAAGAAAGAGACGAGGGCGACACGAGGGCAACACGAGGGCGACACGAGAGAGGAACAAATGATGGACAGCCAAGAGCGGAGAGGGAAAGTAAGACTTACTCCATGTGACCCCTCGCAGCATCCCTGGAGCCAGATGCCAGACTCGTCGGCCACAGCGCCGGGTGAGAACTTGACCTTGTAGTCGCGGCCGACGGCCAAGTTGCGCTCGCCCTGGTCCGTCTCGACATTCCACCCCGAGATGCCCTTGCCAAAGTCGGGCCCCGTCGGCTGAGACTTGGGCAGCATATCCCAGGCACCCCTGAGCATCTCAACATGGGCGTTGCGCTTGTAGCCCGTGGCGGCGATGACGAGGTCGGCCTCGAGCGTCTCCTCGTCGTCGACCGCCGCCGCCGCCGCCGCGTCGACAAAGCCCTCGGCGGCAGCAGCTACGCTGCCGTCGTAGACGAACTGCGCTTTGAGCTCCAGGCCGTCGCCGCGCGACTCGATGCGGGTGATCTGCCGGCCCCCGAGAATCCGATGCGGCCACCGGCGCTCGTCCGGGCCCAGCTCACGCCTTTGCTCGTACATGCGCTCATACAGCTCCTCGATCAGGTTCAGCCGCACCACGCCGTAGTTTGTCGCCCGCGCCTCGGTGAGCAGGCTGTTGCGGTACTTGGCTGACTTGGGGAACAGGTTGTCGACGTACTCGGGGTTGAAGACGGAGTTGACGCTGCCAACGTTAGCCTACCAATGTCGTGATAGTTCCCCATTCTCGTGTTCTCGCCCTGCAAACGCTCGCAAGGGGAACCTTGAAGAAATGGCAAACACTCACAACGGGGAATCGTCGCTGGGCCGCAGGAACTCAGGCCTCATGACCAGCCAGGTCTTGGAGTTGGGATATAGCATCTGCAGGTTGTTGAAGATCTCGGCCGCGCTCTGGCCGGCACCCACGACAGCCACGCGGTAGGGGCTGTTGGCCTTGGGCAGGATCTGACGGATGCGGTAGGCGTACTCGGACGAGTGGATGACGCGCGGGTGCTTGAGGGGGAAGCTCTTGGGCAGCGAGGGCTGGCCGCCGGTGGCGAGCAGCACGTTGCGGGCGCGGTAGACATGCGAATGGCCGGTGGCGACGTCGCGCGACTCGACGGCGAAGCTGCGGACGGGCTGGCCGTCCCTGGCGGCGGCGGCGGCGGCAACGGGCGAGACGGACACGACCTCCTGGCCGAAGCGCACAAGGCGGTCAAAGTGCGACGCGCACCAGCGGAGATAGTCCTCGTACTCGACCCGGGCCGGCAGAAAGGTGCCGAGGTTGGTGAAGTCGACGAGGCGGCCCTGGGTGTGCAGGTAGTTGAGAAAGGTGAACTCGGAGCGCGGGTCCCGCAGCGAGGCGAGGTCCTTGATGAAGGAGATTTGCATCTTGGCCCCCGGCAGCAGCATGCCGGCGTGCCAGGCAAAGCCCGTCTGCTTCTCGACGAAGAGCACCTTGGGAGGGGAGCCGTCCGACAGCAGCCGCTCACCGGCCGCGAGGGCGTCGTGCATGGCGATGGCGACGGCCAGGCTGGCGGGGCCGAAGCCGACGCAGACGAGGTCGTATTCGGACTCGGACCCGGCATCGGCCGCCGGCGCCAGGTACGGAGACGGCGGCGGCGCGCGGCTGACGGCGTGGCGGCCGCTGCCGCTGCCGTGGCCGTTGGCGGCGACCGCCTCCGGGGCCGGCTGCCGGGGCAGCACATCTTGTCCCCCAAGGGATCTGCCGTTGCTGTTGCCGGTGGCGCTGATGCCGTTGCCGACTTGAAGCACGAAGTCGACGGCATCGCTGCTCTCGAGGGCCATCTCACTGTGAGGAGACATGGCTGGTGAGGCTCTAAAGCTGCTGGGGAGTCCGTAGGCCCCCTGTTCCCCCCCTTTGCACTGATTGTAGGGGCGGAAAATATTTTCAAACCGAGCGAAATGGTATCTGTGGTGACGTCGTAGCGTCGTACACGAGCTGGGCAAGGATGGGGGTTGAAGCCTTGATTTTGCTCACTCGCCCCAGAGACAGGAACAAGACGAAGTGGAATTTGAGGTAAAACTGGATTTGACAGTGTAGTGATGCGAGCAACGAGGTCGACGGCGGAAGAGGGGAACGAGGAGAGTGTGATGGGATTGAGGATGGATGAGAGCGAGATGAGGGTGTATTCTATCCTCAAGGGTGCCGGCTCAGGATTACTCTTGCGGTGGTCAAGATACCGTTACTCTAGCGACTGATGGACGAAGACGGCGGACGGTGGTTGTTGAAGTCGAAACGTCCGTCTCACTTCTCAAGAGATGGGCGGCTCAAGTACGAGCTCTGACGATTATTGCCATGGAGGGTGTTGATATAATAGACAATCTACGTATCATGTGGCTCGATCTGGATGCAGGTCGCAAAGGGGGAGGGGACGGAACAGGCTTCCTGGGAACAAGTCGCGCATGGGGACTGGCTGGGCGCATCATTTACCTACATGGCTACTTCGTACAGTATGACCCTTGCCGTGCACCAGGTTTCCCCATTTCCCGCAAGCTACCCGGGTAGTTCTGGACCAGTTGCATGGATGCGCTGGTACCCATGTGAGAGGGTGCGCGTCGAACTCCCGGCTGCGGCCGAAAGGATTTGCCAGACGTGTGAACGGAGCAGAGGGATGGAGTTCAAGATGGAGCTCAAGAGGAGCATTCCAAGAAAACAAGTGAGACCGCGCACAGAAAAAGGCTCTCAGCCCGAGGGTTTCCCAGGGCGAGGCACCGTGGCGGAGCAACCAGGGTATTGCTCGGATGAGATGAAGAGAGGAGGCGAAGGAGGAGAAGGAAGAGGGGGGAAGGGGGAAAAGGGGGGGGGAGCTTGATCGGTCAAGTAGGGAATAGACCGACTGGGCACGGAGTACTTTGGCTGCCGACTCATGCTCATACGTACAGGCATGTACGTCGATGCGTATATATGTACAGCATGTACAGCAGAGTAGGGTCTTGTCTTTGCTGTGGTTGCATCAGGCCATCGCCGTTTCCTGCGTGATCTCGACTCCCCCGCCTCATAGGCACGCGGTGTTTCCGTGCCCATGATTCGACCCGGGAGATGAGCAAGTTAGGCGAGATGGATGCAGAAGCCGTTGCTGGACATGGACAGGGAGGAGAGCGGGCGCCTACGACGACTCTGCGGTCTATGTATGGACGCCCCTGATGGGGTTATGTATGCATGTCTATGCATGCAGCCGCTGTATGGAGCACGCGCTTTTGTCCACCGGTGAGAATTTAGACACTGCGTACGCCTACGACACATACAGTACTGGCGCTTGTGGCCCTTTCGTCGTCATTCCACAGGCGACACTGGCCATCTCCAGCTCTCCCGGAGCCGGCGAGGATGCCCTTGGCCGGCCTTGTATATATGTATGTAAGTACATACGTAGATGAAACAATGCATTGAGTGAAAGAGAGTACGTAAAGAGCAGGTTCTACAAAGCCAATACTGTACAGTCCGTGTGCGTGATGGCTCTCGGAAGAAGGGTGTGTCAATCGACTTATACCGAATAGAGGCAAATGCGCGCCCAAGGGACAAGGATGATGAAATTTTTTCCTCCCTTTGAGACAACAAGGTAAAGCAGAGGAGAGGCCAAAATTTGTCGAAGCGTGGTCACAGCTCCACCGTTGAGGCCCCATGGCCACGCACCCGGGTGGGGAGGGTGAGACAAGTGTGGGATCTGATAACGCTCATGTTAAGCATGTCGAGTATTTTGTCTCTTTTCTTTCCATTCCCAACCTTGGCAGGCTGGACACGGCTTACAGTGCCTGGGAAAGTCATGGCGACTACGCAACCCGCCCTGTTCAGCACCGAGAGAAAAGCACAGAAAAAACCGCACCCGCATGATCGAATCCCGCGAGTCGGACCTCGGCCCGGGAGAGGCCCGTGATTGGGCCGGCGCGGCGGAGCCCCCCAGCGGAGATGAGAGATGAGGGATTTTTTATCTGATGATCAGATAATTCAAGATCAGATAAGATCCTCACCAGCCCATTAAGCACTGCAGCCGTGGCGTACAGGGGCATCCCTACTCCCTGCCCACACACATGATGTGGTGGCGTCGGTGCTCGTGCTCGTAACTGGCATGTGCTTGAGGTTGATTTACGTACTGTGCTCTGCAAGGACGAGGGTATCTGTACGGGACGAGAAACGGGTCTTTTTTCTTGTTTTCGCGTCATTCGACGTTGCATCCGTTCATCGGCACTCAAGTGGTGGACGGGAGTAATACGTAGCTATGGTAGCTCAACTTGGCTGCCAAGAACTGAAGCAGAGAAAGTTTGTTATTATCTCTTGTCTAGGTATTTCTCTTACGTGCTCATGTACGTACTCATACCCAAGTATGGAGAGGCGTGCGGCGAGGCAAGATAGACTTTGCGAGATTTTAACGGTACTGCAGCGGCTCGTTAATTGCCGCGATGAACCGCGGTACGACGCTGGTGTCTGTCTGTCTTTTGCCGTTCACGGCATGGATGCTCATGGGATTCGCGAGAATGGATATTTGGAGGCTGAGCATCACGAAGGGTGGATTCACCAATCCCTCTCAGGAGGGAGATGCATGGGGGTTAAGTTGGGCATGTCCTCCTTGCTTGGCCTGCGGGTAGAAGCGGGTGCGCACTGCCCAGGATGAAACGAGTGTATGTATATCTTCTCATTGCTGCTGCGCCCTTTGTCGGCAGTCAGTCGGGCATGTTGTTAGCAGCCGAAGCTCGGCTCGGGCCTGCTCGGGTGTCGGTGCCGGGGCCGGAGGATCCAGGCAGCTGGCTCCCCATGCTACTCCTTGGGCTGTGAGAATTCTACAGCACATGATAGCAAAGCATGGAGACGTTGATCGCATAATATGTAGTTGCACCAACAACGCAGAGGTTTGTGGTCGTCAGGGCTGGCCGCCGCAAGGGCATATGCAGTTCAAATATTCATCGCGTCCGAGCACTTGGTCCCCGTCCGACACAAGGAGCCCTCTTCACTCGTAGCTTGCGCGTGCGTTGCGCATGGCAAGACGGCGCCACCGCTTACAGTGGCAAGGAGTCAAAGGCGGAGCGTCCATCAGTCTCCCTACCAAGAGACCCTACCAAGAGAAGGAAGGAAGCCCCTTCCGTACCTTGCAGGTGCGTTGTTTGCCTGGCAAGCGGGGAAGGAAGCGAGGCTTAATAATACCCAATCCGGCGCCTACCTCGGTCTGCAACCTCATTCGAATCCTTCATCCCCATCGCTCTCCTCTGCTGCCTCGAGCTGTCTCTCGCGCACTCACCCGTCTTCAGACGTCTGCGCGAGCTGTTGTCGGGCACAGTGCTCTACACGGCCGACTCCATCCAGCCGACTCCTCCATCCAACCGGCCCATCTATCCCACCCATGCCATCCATCGTGGCCTCAATCCTCGCCGAAATCATCTCACGTCGCACAACAAATCCAACTGCCGCCGATTCGCTCGCCCCGCGTCTACGTCGATTTTTTTGCTGCGCTGATTAATGCCTCGTCTCTGACAGGCTCCCGGCAGGCCTCAGTCCTCGATCCCTGGGCGTCCCCATTGGCCGCGATCCCTGCCTGCATGGTCGTCTGCCCATCATCCATCTCGGCCTGTCCCTAGCGGTCGCCTGCTCCCGAGGTGGAGGCCGGCCTGCTCCCCATCTACTTTGGCTCTGGCCTCGCCATCGAGTCCAAGCACTCACGCCGTGCGACGTCGCATACCTAAACCTCCATCCTTCGCCATCGCCATGTACCCCGGCGCCTTGTCCATTCTCAACCCGAACCCTACCAAGCTGCCTGGCCCGACCCTGCTGCACCATCTCGTCACGCCCGCTTGCCATTTACAAGCTCTCGAGTACCAGTCTCGCGGCCAGAGAACCTCGTACACGTACCGCCACCTACACGATGTCGCCGACGCCATCGCCTGCCACATCTCCGACGCCCGTCGACGCGCCGGCCGCCATCAGGCAGACTTCATAGTCCCGGTTCTCATCCCCCAGTCCCCGTTGCTGTACATCTCCCTGCTCGCTATCCTCAAGGCTGGCGGCGCCTTTTGCCCCCTCAACATCGACGCGCCCCCCGAAAGGATCAAGTTTCTCCTCAAAGACGTTTCGGCTGAAGTGGTCCTCGTTTCCTCCGCTCTGGCATCCAAATTGCCTTTGGACACGGGCACCGACATTCTCCAGGTCGACCGAGTGAGCACCAGCCAAGACCATGGCCCCCGTGAACATCGCCAGCCCTCGCCAGCCGATCTGGCCTACGTCATGTATACGTCTGGCTCGACGGGCACCCCCAAAGGCGTCGGCGTTTCCCATGCTGCGGCAACACAGGCCCTGCTCGCCCACGACGCTCATGTCCCATCTTTTTCAAGATTTCTCCAGTTTGCTGCGCCAACCTTTGACGTGTCTGTCTTTGAAACATTCTTTCCCCTGTTTCGGGGCGCAACCCTCATTGCAGCCTGCCGCGATGAGATGCTGGATGACCTACCATCCGTGCTTCGAGACATGAACGTTGATGCTTGCGAGCTGACACCGACTGTGGCAGCGAGCTTGCTCAGAAATCGGCACAACGCTCCCAATCTCAAGCTGCTCCTCACCATTGGGGAGATGCTGAGCACACCTATAGTGAAAGAGTTTGGAGGGTCCCAAACAAAACCGAGTATACTATGGGCAATGTATGGGCCCACAGAAGCCGCTATTCATTGGTATGAGCCATCTGCGCCGAACAAGGGCATGAACAATAACGTTTCTCACCCAACAACAGCACTCTGCAGACCGCCTTGTCATCCGACTCCACGATAAGCACCATTGGCATCCCCCTCGATACGGTATCTTGTTTCATCATCGAGCCCTGCAGTTCCAGCAGTGGCAGCAGCAGTTTCAGAGCTCTGCCATGGGGCGAAATCGGCGAACTCGCAGTGGGCGGCCACCAGCTGGCCAGGGGCTACCTCAACCGACCCGAACAAACGGCCTCCGCATTCATCTCATCTCCCTACGGTCGGCTCTACCGGACTGGAGACCGGGCCCGTTTGACTGCGGATGGGAAGCTCGAATGTCTCGGACGCTTGGCCAACGGGCAGGTGAAGCTGCGTGGCCAGCGCATCGAGCTCGGGGAGATCGAGCAAGCAGCCTTGTCGACACCGGGGTGCCACGGCGCGGTAGCGGCAGTTGTAGACTCGAATCTTGTCGTTTTCTGCGCCGTCGACCCAGACGCCACGGAAGACGCCATCGTGATGCATTGCAAACAGTGGCTGCCCTTGTTCATGGTTCCCGGAGAAGTGATCATGCTGGCGGAACTTCCCCGGCTGCCAAGCGGCAAGGTTGATACTCAAAGGTTGAGGTCGAGCTATGGGGAGCAAAAGTTGGCTGATCTGGGCGACAGCTCCAGTCTGGGAGAATTTGCAGAGGCAGAGGAGGAGATTATCCACGTGGTGACTCTGACTCTTGGCCTGAAAGTGAGCAGACGCATGACCCTGGCCTCTGCTGGTGTAGATTCCCTTTCAGCGATTAGGCTGGCGTCAGCCCTGCGCCTCTCGGGGTTTGTGACGACTGCTCCCGAACTCTTGAAGCTGAACACAATATCAGACATTTGCTTCAGTATTCGGAATCGACCCGTGCTCAAGTCCGTCGACCTCGAGCCCCTCAATGTCAGTCTAATGGCCGACTTGAGCCAGCTATTGGCACACAACCCAGGGCTGAGCCTCGAGGAGCATCACGTTGAAGACGTCCTCCCATGCACGCCCCTTCAATCAGCCATGTTGGCCGAAACCGTGAGGGATGCGCGTCTCTACTCCAACGAGATGGAGCTGCGGGCGGCTCCGGGCCTCGTGCCAGATGATGTCGTTGACGCGATTCGCCAAGTTGCTCAGAGAAACGAGATACTTCGAACAGGCTTTGCTCAGTGGTGCGGCGGGTTTGCTGCCATCTTGTACAAGGCATTCGGCACCACCGACACCCTCCAGACTGTGCGAGAATTCCGACATGGGCTAGCCTTTACCAAACCGCAGGATTTCCTGAGGCCATTGCGTTTTCAAATGCGGGCTGATGCGGATGGTACCGGGCTGCGCTTGCTCGTCCAGGCTCATCATGCAGTGTATGATGGCTGGTCCATGGACGCGATTCTCTCTGATCTCTCGGCTCTGCTGCGTCGGGCGCCGCTACCACCTCGGCCGCAGTTTCGGGAAGTGCTAAATTACCATGCCCGAGACTCCAAGAAGGCGGCAGATGATTTGGACAGGAGATTTTGGAGCGAGCATCTCCTGGGCTGGAGCAAGTCCCCATTTCCAAGGCTGACTGCTCAGTTCTCCGTGCCAAGCGAGATGAGGACGACAAGACGAACTCTCAAGATACTACCAAGCCAGGTGCAAGAGGTTGCGAACCAAGCAGCTCTGAGTACTCAGGTACTATTTCAAGCCTCTTTGGCTCTGCTGTGGAGTGGCATTGTGGGAGAACAGGACGTGATGCTGGGGTCGGTTACCTCAGGACGAACAATACCCGTCGATCGAATAGAGGAAGTCATAGGCCCTTGCATCGCCTCTTTGCCTCTCAGAGTAAACCTCGACAGTATGGTTTCATACGCGGATTTACTGAAGAACATTCAGGTAAGCAATCGGGCAATAATGGAACACTGCGGGCTGCCTCTTTCAGATATCAAGAAACTCGCGGAACTGCAACCCACCGAGAGTCTTTACGACGTTTTGTTCGTCTTCCAAGAGTCTTTTGAAGCCAAGAAGGAATCGGTGAGGCTGTTCACTGAAGTTGGGCATATGGACCGCCTGGAGACGAAGCTGTTGTTCGAGATCCAGCCCGACAAAAGCAACTATACTGCTCAGGTAACATATCACTCTTCCTGGTTTCCGCCAGGCCTCGTCGAGTGTCTTATACAGCAGCTTGAAAGCATACTCTCAATACTTCTTGACGACCCTGAATCTCGCATTCAACGAGGGCTGGAATCTACGATTCCTGGGCAGTCCATTTATAACGAGTCCAGCCAATCGCCCTCCGAAATTCCGGACCTCGCCGTGCAAATCGAAGCCAGAGCGGCCAAGATGCCGGGGGCCACTGCCCTGTGCTTCATGGGCTCGTCTCAAACAATCTCGGCCTCGTACCGAGAGCTGAACGAGAACGCCAACCAGGTTGCCCATTACTTAGGCAGCTGCGACATTGCGATCGGCGAGGTTCTAGCCATTATTATGAAAAAGTCTCCCATCTTCTACACGTCTGTTCTTGGAATCGTCAAAGCAGGATGCGCCTACCTACCAATTCTTCCGGCGACTCCGGAAGCACGAGTGCGCGAAATCTTGAAGCAGGCGCGAATCAAGCACTGTCTCGTCGACAGTGCTTCATCGGCTTTGCTTTTCGTCGACGATGTTCAGTTTCATGAGATGGAGAGCGGCAAGCTTGTGTCCTACCCGAAAGAGAATAGGAGTGTTCCAGCAGATCCTTCGCGCCTGGCCTATGTCATCTACACCTCTGGAACCACGGGAGAACCGAAAGGGGTGGCCGTGACGCAGAAGAACATCGTGAGCAACATCACTTTCCTTCATTCAACTTATCCTGCCCCCAAGAGCGTACGCCCAAGGCTGCTACAAGCTTGCTCTCAGGCTTTTGACGTTTCCGTGTTCGAAATTTTCTTTACCTGGCACGCTGGCATGTGTCTTTGCGCTGCCGTAAACGACGACATGTTTGAGGACTTAGAGAACTCCATACGGCAATTGGATATCACCCATCTAAGCTTGACGCCTACGGTGGTGTCACTCATCGACCCAGAAAACGTGCCGGACGTGGAGTTTCTTGTGACCGCCGGGGAACCAATGACCTTGTCTGTTCTTGACCGATGGGGCGATCGGCTTTGGCAGGGATACGGGCCATCGGAGACGACAAACATATGCAGCGTTAAGAGAATGAAGCGGGGGGATAACATTGAGCATCTGGGCTGGGCGCTGCCGAATACATCGACGTTTGTATTGCGGCCTTCGAGTCTTGGGACCGTACCTACTGGGTGGGTAGGCGAGTTTTGCTTTGGCGGTGACCAAGTCGCAATGGGATACCTCAACGACGCTCGCCTGACAACTGAAAAGTTCCTTGATCACCCCAAATTTGGGAGAATCTATCGTTCGGGAGACGTGGGTCGAATGCTCCCTGACGGCTCGCTGATGATCATTGGGCGACTCGACGACCAAATCAAACTGCGCGGCCAACGGATCGAGGCGGGCGAAGTCAACGGCATCATCACGAGCACGGGCTTGGCGGTATCTGCAGTGACGGTTTCTGCTCAACGAGAGAAGGGTGCCTCTGACCAGCTCGTGTCTTTCTTTGTGCCGCCTGGAGCGGATGCCGAGTTCGGACCCGTCGAGATCGACCAGGAAGCCACTCGACATCTGTTTGCAAGCCTATCGTCTCTTGTGCCCTCTTATATGGTCCCGTCCTACTTGGTTCCGGTGTCTCAGATCCCAGTCGGATTTAGTGGAAAGCTTGATCGGCGACGCCTCCAAGCGTGTTTTGAAAGCCTCGCGAGGGACTACCTGGAAGCTGCTGCTTCCACGACGCAGAGTCTGGACGACGAGACTGACTGGACTCGTGGGGAGTCTGTCATTGCAGAGGTGCTTGCACACTCGACCAAAGTACCAACGGCCGACATTAGACGATGGACACCATTCGCTGCTCTCGGAGTTGATTCCATATCCGCCATTGACGTCTCTCGCGTGCTCAACTCCAAACTAGGGACTCTGATCCCCATTTCAGCGATACTGCAGAATCCAACGGTTGCACAGCTCGCCAAGTACGTGGAGGCCACCGACAAGAGTCAAAGGAAGGCGGTATCTCAACATTCCAATGCATTCGCTGCGACCTTTGCCGATGAAGTTTGCGCGTCTTTGGGCCAAGACTCTGAAGACATAGAAGACATTTTCCCGTGCACGCCTCTTCAGGAAGGCATGCTTTCGCAAGGGACGCGCAGTTACTTCAACAAGATCCTGCTTCGTCTCCGAATTCGGGCCGAAGACATGAGAACTTACTGGGACGTTGTTTCCCAGAGGCACGGTATCTTGAGGACCTGTTTCGTTACCACAAGACGTGCGGCCCACCCAATCGCGCAGGTCGTGTTAAGGACGTGGGATGTTTCATGGAGAAGCTTTGAAGTCAACGAGCCCTCCTTGGCGGGCGCAATTCAAGAGCATCTAGGATGCCTGCCCGATCCCTTGGATTCCTGGCAGCCCCCCGTTTCCTGCGCTTTCATGAGGTACAAAGGCACCACGTTCTTCTCCCTCATCTGCCATCACGCCACATACGATGGCGTGGCCATGGAAAACCTATGGAGAGAAATCGAGGCCCTGGCCAACGGCCGCGCACTGCCGCCTCCCGTGGCTTATAAGCCATTCATCCAGCAGGTCATCAGTCTGCCTAAAGATACTGATGCATTTTGGATCGAGCAATTCCGCGACTTTAAGCCATCGATCTTATTCACTCGCCTGGCCGGCGCCGACATCAACCAATGCACACACACCACGTCGCTCGGCATTACGCTCCACGATGTCCAAAGGAGCTTAAGATCTCTCGGGGTATCCCTGTTATGCGCATGCCAGGCAGCCTGGGCAACCCTCGTCTCAATCGCATGCGGTTGCCCCGATATTGCTTTTGGCAATGTCATCAACGGCCGCACTGTTGATCTGGAAGGCCTAGACCGCCTGGTTGCTCCTTGTTTCAACACAGTTCCGCTGCGGGTGGACCTTTCGAGGAGCCCTCAGTACATCGACCTTGCCAGACACTTCCAGGACCTCAACGCACGAATGCTTCGCTATCAGTTCACTTCTTTGAGACATGTTCAAAAAGTCGCGAAGTGCCAAAGTCGGACCTTGTTCGACACCCTGTTGCTCCTGCAGCAGCCGTTGAAGGATATGGACGAAGGCGTTTGGACACTGGAGGAGGATTCTGGTGATATGGATGTCCCGCTCGTGTGCGAGGTTGTCCCCTGCCCAGGCCTGAACTCGATTGTCGTTAATATTCACTACGACATTGGGATTGTTTCTGGAGATACTGCAGCAGCATTGGCGGATACCTTCAAATGTGTGTTCGGGCGTCTGATCGATCTCCCGTTCACGAGTCCGTGCAGCAGGAGCACTCTACCGGAGATGCTCCAACTAGGCCTTGCGGACTTGGTCCCTAGACATGTGAAGCCGGGTGGAGGAGACCGTCAGCAGTCGGAGAACGAGACTTGGAGCGACTCCGAGAAGAGCCTCCGGCAGATTCTATCTGAGCTTTCTGGAGTGCCCGAGGAACGAATCTCCCGCCACACCAGCATATTCCGACTTGGTTTGGACAGCATCAACGCTGTACAAGTCGCATCAATCCTCAAGCGCAAGGGCTACAAGCTGTCGGCGTCGGACGTCATTCGATATTCCAACTGTGCAAGGCTGGCCCCTCGGCTGGTTCGTGTCTCTGAAGATGATACCGCCCAGGAGCGTTCAATGGAAATTCTGAACAGATACGCCAGCGAGGTGTCTACGCAGATCAGCAGCGCTGTCCCGTCAGGACTTGGTGAACACGCAGAAGCCGTCCTCCCCGCGACTCCAATGCAGGCTGCGATGTTGGCGGCGTTTATCCAATCCCAAGGCAACCACTACCTCAACATGCTCAAGTACCACATTAACGATAATGTCCATATTGACGAGGTGCTGCACGCCTGGGAGGTGCTTCATCGTCGGCATCCGATGCTCCGCACAGGCTTCGCTTCTGTCAGCCACAAAGAGAGCCCCTTTGCCATGATTCGACATGCGGAAGTATCCATTCAGGCACCGGTCGAATACATTGACGTGGAGGGATCTCGAGCGTTTGACTTGCAGAAATGGCAAGACGAGTCTCGACGTCTGTTTTTGCAGTGTCCACACCTGCCGCCCTGGAAAGTGGTTTTAGTCAACTACGGAGATGAGGTCCTGATGAACCTGGCCATTCATCATGCCCTCTATGATGCCTACTCATTGGAGGAACTCCTGGGTAGCTTATCACGCTTCATTTGTGACGGGAGTGAACCAGATTTCCCCAGCATCGAGCCAGCGTTAGCGGATATTTTGAATCGAACCCGAGACGAACAATCACAAGCGCAGAAGTTCTGGGAAAGGCAAGCCGAAAAAGCAGTACTGAACAGATTCCCTGTCCTGACCCCTTTGAGAGAGGAAGATGCGGGTTTAGGGGTGTGCGAGACAGTCTCTTCCCTGTCATTCAATGTGCTCTCCGAGGCCGCCAGCAATTGCGGAACGTCGATTCAAGCTGCGGTGCAATCCGCTTGGGCACGAGTGCTGGCCTCTTACCTTGGAGAAAGCTCGGTTGTCTTTGGAGTCACCATGTCTGGGCGGACTACGGACGTCACCCAGGATGCCCCATTTCCCTGCATAACGACCGTCCCGGTAGTCGCAACCAATGTGAGCTCAAACAGAGAGCTAATGCGCGAAATGATGGGATACAATGTTGAGCTACACAATCATCAGTTTTCTCCCCTGAGTCAGATCCAAAAGTGGCTGGGCCATTCTGCGACTCCAGTTTTTGACACGCTTGTCATTTACCAGAGGAGGGAGCGCATCGGGCAGGGGTCTTGGACTTTGGTCAATGATGACCTGATGGTGGAATACGCCGTTTCTCTCGAGATCGAGCCCACGAGCGCAGAAGACGTATGCCTTAGGCTTACCTTTGCCAAGGATGTCCTGCCCCAGGAACAGGCAAGCCTTCTTGTTCAACAGTTCGATGCTACGCTGCAGCATCTGATCCGCGAGCCCGACGACGACGAACATGGTCTGTACCAAAAGCGGGCTGATCTTTTTGCAATAACAGCGGCGGCGTCGCCCGTTCTACCGGCGCCAGTTCCGCTGCTGCACGAATTCGTTGAATGGAGGTCTACAATTGACCCGGACTCGACGGCTCTCGAGTTTGTGAGCGGATTTGATAGCGGGCCTGCCACGAAACGATGGAGTTACAGGGAGCTCGACCTCATGGGCAACAGGGTGGCGAACCTGTTGCGAGAAACCACCAGTGTCGGCGACATTGTGGCCATTCATTTTCAAAAATGCCCAGAGGCGTATTTCTCGATACTCGGAATCCTGAAAGCCGGCTGCTCATTTGTCGCGCTCGACCCCCATGCCCCAATCGTGCGGAAAGACTTCATACTGCGCGATTGTCACGCCAAATACCTCGTGACGGACCTCCAGAGCACGCTTGACTTTGAATACTCGACAAGTATCTTACGAATCGGCGAGGAGTTGCTCCAGGGGTATTCGGACGGGCGTCCTGCTCTGAAAGAGAGACGCCTCACCCCTAGTCACACGTGCTATTGCCTCTACACATCCGGCACCACAGGGACGCCGAAAGGGTGCGAGATAAGCCATGAGAATGCAGTGCAGGCCATGATGGCCTTTCAAGAGCTTTTCCGGGGTCATTGGGAGCACGACTCGCGCTGGCTCCAGTTTGCGGCGCTTCACTTTGATGTCTCTGTCCTCGAGCAGTACTGGAGCTGGTCCGTAGGAATCACGGTCGTAGCTGCGCCGAGGGACTTGATCCTGGACGACCTCACTGGCGTGATTAATAGGCTTGGGATTACCCACATTGACTTAACTCCGAGTCTCGCCAGACTGACGCGTCCGGATGAGATGCCGAGCTTGTGCAGAGGCGTCTTCATTACTGGAGGAGAGCAGCTGAGGCAAGAAATTCTCGACAAATGGGGCCCCAAAGCTGTCATCTACAACGCCTATGGACCGACTGAGGCGACAATTGGGGTGACAATGTATCAGCGCGTACCCGTCAACGGCCGTCCGAGCAACATTGGCCAGCAGTTCCCCAACGTCGGCTCCTACATCTTCCATCCGGGGACCGAGATACCCGTCTTACGAGGCGCGATCGGCGAGCTGTGCGTCTCAGGCAAGCTAGTGGGCAAGGGATACCTGAACCGTCCGGAGCTCACAGAGGAGCGGTTTCCCACGCTTGCTGAGTTCGGCGAGAGAGTTTATCGAACGGGCGACCTGGTCCGTATTCTTTACGACGGGTGTTTCGAGTTTCTTGGCCGCGCCGATGACCAGATCAAGCTGCGCGGGCAGCGCCTGGAAATTGGCGAAATCAACCATGCCGTTCGCACCGGAGTCCCAGACATACAGAACGTCGCGACGATATTGGTTCGCCGTGAGGCGTCTGGAAAAGACGTCCTAGTCTCCTTCTTCGTCGGGCAGCAACATGGTGGCTCGCAGGACCTCTCCTTTCTGCAGGACACAGACTGTTTGGGTGCCAAGGCAAGGGCGGCCTGTCTTGAACGGTTGCCGACATACATGGTCCCATCTTATTTCTTGCGGCTCCCGTACATACCGCTTTCGCCAAACAACAAAGTCGAGGCAAGGGAGCTGAAGTCCGTGTTTGAACAGCTCTCGCACGAGCAGCTCATGAAGCTATCCGCTGCGACGGCGGCATCGCAGGACCGGAGCCTCGACAAGATTGCGCTCGGCAAAATCATCCGTCTCGTTTCCGAATTCAGCACAGTTCCTGGAGATACCATTGTATCGTCTACTAGTATCTTTGACCTTGGCGTCGACTCAATCACTGCCTTGCAGCTGGCCATGCTGCTACGCTCCAATGGCTTCCCGGCTGCGTCTCCAGCCATGTTGTTGAGATGCCCCGTCATTGCAGATCTGGTTAATGCCCTCTCCACGAATGCAGCCGCAAGACCGCAGGCGAACTCGGTCAGAGAGGCCCGGCAATTGATGCAAGCCTGCCATCACAGATATCTTGGTCTAGTTTGCCGCGAGCTGGGCGTGGAACCTGACGAGATCGAGTACATTGCACCGTGCTCGCCGCTCCAGCAGGGAATAACTTTCAAGGCAACTCAAGAAGATGGCTCCGGCACCTACTTCAACTCTTTTGAGCTGCGTCTTGGCAACGATGCATCTCTGGAAAAGGTCCGCAGGTCGTGGAGCCGCCTCGTCGACTTTCACGCAATTCTGCGATCGGTGTTTGTCAATACCCCGGAGGGATATATCCAAGCCGCATTGAAGCAACCCAAGAGCCCATGGAGAGAATTGACGGTCCAAGTGGAGGATGAAATAAACGACGTCATGAGCACGGAAATGCGAAGATGGATCCACGGAAACAAACATCACATCGTCAATCCTTTTGAGCTCATTCATGTACACGGTCCAGGGTTCCAGAGGGTCTTCATCCACATTTTCCATGCACTTTACGATGGAAATAGCTTGGAGCTCATGAGCCAGTATGCTTCGGCTCTTTACCACGACGATGAGCCGACCTCTGGCCCTCTGTTCGTCGAAGCCCTGACCTCTGGCCCGCTGCAAAGCCATGACCACTGCCGACAGTTCTGGATTGAGTACATGCAAGGCTGGGTGTCTTCACCGCTGCCGGCGCTCCAAGTCCCACCAGGGGAGCACGGGGCAGTGGCAGCGACTCGCAACGTATCATTAGGTCGATTTGAAGAGCTGCGTTCTCAACAGAACGTCACCCTGCAGTCTGTCGTGCTGTCTCTATGGGCGGCGGTCCTCCAGAGGCACTTGACCAGCAAGACAACCATTGGTGTCGTTATCGCGGGCAGGTCGATTGACCTCCCTAATGTCGAGCGCACAATCGGGCCCATGTTCAACACGGTGCCGTTCTTTATCAATGCCTTGCGAGGGCACACATGGGCATCCCTGATTCGCGAGACCCATACGTATAGCACGTCTATTCTGCCTTTCCAGCACGTACCCCTGAAGAGCATTCAGAAATGGTGCTCTGGGGGTCGATCGCTTTTCGATAACCTTTTCGTGTTTCAAATCGAGCAGCCCAACCTGGCCGGCGAGGGAGCACCATGGACCATCGAGGATGGTCCGAGCCAACCCGACTACACCTTGGCCTTCGAAGCCACACGGACTCTGGAAGGCGAGTTACGAGTGTCTCTTGTCGCGCAGAGTTGCTTTGCCGACTTGGCTATGCTGGAGGACATTCTCGACCAATTCGAGCATGAGGTGGGAACGGTCCAAGCAGAAGGGTTGGTGAATCCTTCGCCAGCCGATGAAGAGTTGCGAGAGCCGGCAGCAAAGAGCTGGGAAGATGGAGAAGACTCGGACACGATGGCGGCAAGCTTCGAATGGACAGACCGGGCCGTCTTGGTCAGAGAAGAGGTTGCAGTGCTTGCCGGCGTGCCCGCCGAAGAAGTGACTGCAAAGACAACGTTGCTACAGCTTGGCCTCGACAGTATCGACACGATGAAGCTTTCGGCGAGGCTGAAGCGAAAGGCGATCAATCTCTCGTCATCCAGCATCTTGCGTTGCCAAAACATATCGCGCATGGTTCAGCAGCTGGAGCTGTACGGCTACGACTCTCCACCCATCGCCCAGAATTTAAACCCGCTTCAAGAGATGAGACTCAAGCTGCGCGCGCAAGTTGAGAAGGCGGGGGTAGACTTGGACACTGTCGAGTCAGTGCTGCCTCCGACCGCTCTGCAAGAGGCCATGGTGGCGGGCATGGTGCAGTCGGGCTTCCAGTGGTATTTCAACCATGACATTCTCGAGGTCGCCGAATGGGTCGACGTTGAGAGGCTCTCAAAGGCGTGGGAGGATCTGGTTGAGTCGTCACCAATCTTGCGTACTGGATTCGTCGAGGTCGACGACGCAGACCTGGACATGGCGTATTGCCAAGTCACGTTCCAGGATCCCACGCTGCACATCAGGACAGTTTCGCTATCAGACATTTCTGAGGTCAACCAGATAACGATGGATGCGACGCAGCTGGCCCTCGAAGGGCAAGGCTTGAGGGACCTCCTGCAACTCACTTTCGTCGCGCTCGATGAGCAGCGGTTTGTTGTGCTTTCCATGGCTCATGCGTTGTACGATGGGTGGTCGCTCGGCCTCATGTACCGGGACCTCGAGGCAGCATACAAGGGGCGCGTGGAAGCGAGGATGCCCGTCGATTCATTCATCTCACGTATGCTTGCGTCCGGTACAACGGAAGCCCACGAGTTCTGGGCTAGCTACCTCGCCGGCCTCCGTCCCACTTTCTTGGCCGAGAAGGACAAGCTGACAGAAGCGACTTCCGAGTCGTCGAGTCGACGGATTCGCAAGGAGACTGCTTCAAAGAAAACCTTGTTTGAGGTGAAGCAGTTTTGCAGAAAGAAGTCCATCAGCTTACAGGCACTCTGCGCCGCATCTTGGGCCATGGTTGTGGCGGAGCAGGTCGGCGCCCTCGACGTGGTCTTTGGAGTCACCCTGTCCGGCAGAGATGGCGAGGGAGCGGAAGCACTCATGTTCCCGACAATGAACACTGTGGCCATACGATGTATTCTTCACGGTTACGTCTCGGGCTTTCTGCAGTACATGGAAGCAAGCATGGCGGATGTACGCGGCTTTCAAGCGTTTCCCCTGCGCAAAGCCCACGCCGCAGCCAAGCTGAGAAACTCGGACATGTTCGACTCATTGTTCCTCTTCCAAAGGTCTCCAGAGACTGAGGACTTGAATAACAAAATGCTACGCTCGATTAAAGGTGAATCAGCTGTCGAGTATCCAGTTTGCGCCGAGGCCGAGGCCTCAGGCAACCGATTGATGTGGCGCATCGCCTGCCATGAGCAGCTTTTTTCGAGTGAGGAAACAGAGGCTCTTGTCGACAAGGCAGACTGTGTTCTTCAGTTCATGCTCGAGCACGAAAATGCGGATGTCTTGTCGTTTCATGGAGAAGACGTATCGATTTGTGGCATGCCCGCTGTTTCGATCAGAGAAACCCCTGCAACAGACGGTGGCGCGGCGGCGATGGTCCCTAGCCGACGAAACGAAGACGGTTGCTGGAGCGCGACAGGAGTTGCCATACGCGACATTCTCAGTCAGGTCTCTCAGGTTCCCGCCGAAGCGATCACGCCTCGGTCCAACTTGTATCAGCTTGGGCTGGACTCCATCAGCGCGATCAAGGTTTCGATACTGCTGCGCAAGAGAGGGATTTATCTCAAGCCGAGAGAGCTTGTCAGGCTTTCTACCATTCACGAAATTGCCAGTACAGCAAGCTTGGAGAAGAAAACTGAGGAGCCAACTTCCCGTGCTGCGGCCAGGTGGGCGCCGCCGGCGCACATCGACACACAGCGTCTGCTGCGCGAATGCGGCCTACGGCAAGAAAGCGTCGATAAGATTTTGCCCGCGACTCCAATGCAAGTTTACATGTTGACGGTATGGCAGAACTCTGCAGGGTCGGTGTTTTTTCCGGAATTCTGCTACCGGGTTAATGGTGCAGTTGAGGAGTCTCAAGTTCGTGGAGCGTGGAAATCTCTCGTCGAGGAGGTTCCAATCTTGCGAGCACGCTTCGTCGCGACTGGTTCCAGAGAACTTCCATGGCTCCAAATGGTAATCCGCAAAGAAGAGGTGCGGTCGTGCCGCGTTTCGCAGCATCTGGCCTGTCTCAAGGTCACCCGAGATGAGTCGGGGCGGGGCTTGGGGCTGCGACTGAAGATTCATCACGCCTTGTACGATGGCTTCAGTCTCCCGGCTCTTGTATCTCGGCTATGCGAGTTGCTGAATGGAGGCAGCATCGGGGATGAGCAAGGCCTCTCACGCTGGGCGCGGTATTGTATCGCCCCGTGCCTCTCGGAAGCTAAGCGGAGACGGCAAATATTCTGGACTGCCTATCTTGGAGAAGGCGCCGCAACTTCGTCCTCAGTCATGCCGTCGACGGTATTTACTGAAAGGGTGTTGTATCTCGACGGTTCGGCCATCAAGGATATCGGGCGCCTCCGTGTGACAGCATCGCAGAGCGGAATTAGCCTGCAATCGCTCTTTCTGGCCGGGCTGGCAACTGCCCTTGACAAACGGAACCCTCGTGGAGGCAGAGAATCGATGGTCCTGGGCATATACCTGGCGAACCAGACGGCGGACGAGGGAGATTCACCGCAAGCGGTGTTCCCGACACTCAACCTCGCGCCCCTCAAGGTGCAGCTGGGGCACGACGACGAGGGCCTGGTGACGCTTGCCAGAGCCATCCAAGATGACATTCACAGCTTGAGCAGTGACGGGCGGGCAGAGGTCGGCCTCTGGGAGATTATGGCATGGACCGGCGTCAAGGTGGACTGTTTCGTCAACTTCCTCGCCGACCTACCAAGCGCGAGTGTAGATACAGACTCTGATCGCCAGGCCGCTGTGACCTTAACTCCTGTACAGGACCCGGGCGATGCCTCGACTACGAACAATGAGGATTCGGACTCTGCGCTGTTGGAGCAGCCTTGGGTGCAGAGGAACGCGGTCCGGGACGCTTTTCCGGTGAGTGTTAGAGAACATCTCTGCACACCCCCTCCCTCATTTCTTTCCTGGTCACAAACGCATTCATCTGAATGCTCTCGTATTCTCTTGTTCTCCTCCCCAAGCGCACAACGATTATAAGTGCTAATGCAACATGGTGTATCCGCAACAGCCATCTGTGGACGTAGAGGCTTCGGTGCAGGACCTGAAGCTGGCCATGGGCATCTTTGGCCTGCGGACGCGTGTGTCTGACGGGTGGGCCGCAGGGCTTGTCGCCGACACAGCGGCGCTCCTCGACCAGGCTGGCGTAGAACAGTGTTCGCCGTAGCCCTGCGACTATTTGGATCGTGGGCCGTCTCCGGTGGCTAAGAGGAAGTGGTTTGGGTTTGTAGGCTTTGCTTTGATGCTGCGTGAGCGGTTGGGCTGGGGCTTTTGATGATGATGAAGACGATGATGGTGGTCATGATATGTCTTTTTGTTCGTTCAATCTTTCTAACCCTCCGCCGAGGAACGGCTGTCGTTCTGGTTTCACCTCCCACGTCTTTCAAGATTTATTTATTCCTTTCCCGCTCATGAGGTAAACCAGGTCCATCTAAATCCACGCCGCTTGATAGTGACTGTGGCATCACCACCGTTTGCGCCTCCACTGAATCCCTTTTAATCTGAAACGCGCCCCCTCCAGAATCTTCCTCGTTCTGCGCGCAGGAGCATCTCGATGGTCTCTTCCATCACTCCGGGAAAAGGATGAGATTGGCCAGGCGGACGATATCGGCCTCGGCATCGGGCCCCGTGGCCGAGACGGCGCGACCGGGATCCTCCTCCCAGCGGGCGAGCCCCATGGCACGCAGGGCGGGAGCGCCGCCAACGGCATCCATGTCAGACTCGCCGGGGCGGAGGTCCGGGTCCTCGGCGAGAATGCCGCGGCCGCACGAGTCAAAGTCGGGCCCCGGGAGGCCGCGGCGGAAGGCCTTGCGCTGGCGGGCGAGGTAGAGGGCGTTTGTCTGCGTCAGCGGGGCGGCGGGCACGTAGACGAGCATGCTGACGGCGTCGTCGTCGCCGCCGCCGCCGCCGGGGCGCGGGTTGCTGGAGAAGTGGTAGGGCAGGTCCGGGTGCCACAGGATGTAGTCGCCGGGCTGGAGCGTGGGCAGGGTGACGAGGCTGCTGCGCAGGTGCAGGTGCGGGTGCCAGCGCTCGGTGACGCGCTGGGCGTGGCCGGGGACGGCGCCGTGGATGATGGTGTCCGGGTCGCGCTGCAGCTCCCAGTTGTCCGGGGCCAGGTAGGCGTCCCAGTCCGGGCCGGAGCGGTGGCCGGGGGCGGGCCGCCTGGGGCTGAAGAAGGGCCGGAGCAGGTAGTAGGCGGTGGCGAGGCGCGGCGAGGGCAGCAGACGCAGCATGCCGGGCTCCGTGGTGGAGAGGGCCAGCAGGCCCTGGAACATGCGCAGGATGGAGCACGAGCCGTAGCCGTTGTAGAGGTCGATGGAGGCGCCGACGCGGCTGGCGCACTGCCACGGGTCGTAGTGCTCCCAGTGGCCGTGGAAGATGCGGTCGTAGGTGCCGCCGCGGCCGTATCCGTCGGGCTCCCACCGCTCCAGCGACCCGTTGTCGACCTGGGCGATGATGCCGGCCGACGACTGCAGGGCCGTGATCCAGTCGTCGGCCGACTGGCGCGCGAGCAGGTGCTGCTGCTGCAACGAGGATGGTCCGGCCTCGGGCGTGGACGAGGGGGAACAGGCGGCGGCGGCGGCGACCTGGATACAGGCCGAGCTGCTGCCGCTGCCGTTGCAGAAGCCGCCGCCGCCGCCGGGGCTGGCGGCGCTGGACGCGTCGAAGCCGCCGCCCTCGACGCGGATGCGGTCGGCGTAGGCAATGGGCAGGCGTGTGGCCAGCCGGTCGGCGGCGGCGCCCGTGTCCCAGAGGCTCATCATGAAGCGCTGGGCGCGCAGGACGTTGGGGTGCGCGCGGCACCGGACCTGGGCGGGCGTCCAGAAGCAGTCGTAGCAGGTCGGGTCCTGGCGCGGGGCGCGGAGGCGTGCCGGGCGTCTTGCCGCCGCCGCCGCCGCCGTCGCTGCCGGGCCGGCTCCCGCTCCCGCGTCGTCGGGCCCGAGGCCGGGGCCGGATCCGGCGCCGGGTCCGGCCCTGGTGGGATCGGCAGAGCCTGCGGGCGCGGGGCTCGCACGCCGACTGCCGCACTCACGGCGGTGGTCGAGGTAGCGGACGGTGTCGCGGACGGCGTCGTCGGCGAAGGGGCGCGGCAGGGCCTTGCGGACGACGCCGACGCCGTAGCGGCGCAGGTCGCGGCCGAAGCGCGCCGTCTGGGCCGGGTCGTCGAGGTCGGCGAACTCGACCGAGGGGATGAGGTGGGGGCCGAGGCCCTCGATGTGCTCGACCTCTGCGCGCAGGGCGTCGACGAGGCGCGCCCAGCTGGCCTCGACGTCGGCCTCGTGGCCGGCGATGAGGTTGCGCTTGATGCGGGCGAAGCGCGGCGGCAGCGGCACGGGGTCCGGGCCCCAGAAGCTGAGCGTCGGGCCGGCGCCGGGGGGCTCCATTGCGCTCGCGGGGGGCGTCGCCGTCGTCGTCGTCCTCGGGGCCGCCGCTCCTGGTGATGAAGAGGCGTAGGGGGAGGTGGACGGGCTCCGAATGCTGCTGACGCTGGAACAGGGTGCGGAGGAAGCAGCGGCACCGGCGGCGGCTGAGGGCTGCAAGGATGGTGGAGGAGGAGGAGCAATGGCCGTCGAGGGAGAGCAGACAGCGCAGCAGAAGGAGGAAAAAGAGGCGCGAGAACAAGGACAGGGACAAGTAAGGGAATAAGAAGAAGAAGAAGAAGCAGCAGCAGCAGCAGAAAAAGAAGCAAGAGGCGACGACCACGAAGAAGAAGAGGCAGCAGCCGCCGGAGCCGCGGCCAGCGCGCGGCGTCGAGAGGGCCGCGGGGGGAGGTGGCGGGAACGGCGTTTGCGGCGCCGCAGCAGCGGAGGGGGGCGAGGGACGCGGCCTGGTGCCGAGCCTGGCGAGGGAGGACGAGGAACTTTGTTGCTGGGGCTGCTGGAGGCGGCGGCCACGGCGGCCTCGAGTCGGCCCGCCTTGCTCATGCTGATGCTGCCGCCGCCGCCGCCGCTGCTGCTGCACCCTGGTGACATGGGAGGCTGGATGGTGCTCCCGTGGCCGACGCGATGGTCCTGGTCTGGCTCCGGGCAACACGACGGCAACCCTCTTGTCGAGGCTGCAAATCAGGCGACGAGAGGCCCTGTCGATGCCTTTGCGCTATCACCTATAGGCCCGGACCGAAAAAGGAGAGGGTGGCAGCACAGAGACGAGACATGGCGCCCTCCTCCTCCTTTGTATAATCGCACAAGAACAGCACCGCATCGGCGACACCGGACTCCCGCTCCCCGTCCATCAAGTGAGTTTCTCCCCTGCCTCGCTTCACAGCGACGAATACGTATGGCTCTTGTTGTACAACGAGCACGCAAGCACGCATGGCACCCTCGCGTCGACGCAGCGTCGCATCCAACGCAGGCGTTTCCCCTCCTCAAAGGCGATGCCCTGACGTATGCCATTCCCGTCCCCCGTCTCTCTCCGCTTCTCCATGTACAGTGTAAGTTAATCCAGACCCAGTTGCAGCGCGGCGGAGCGTCGACGAGGACATGTGTGGGACGAGGCAGGCGGGCGATGGCCAGTGCAGGAGCCGGGCCTTGGCATCATGGACCCTGTGCCTGGCTACGCGCATGTATTCGTTCATACCGAGCTAGAGTTTCCGATATATCTCCTTTGCTGAGTCTCGCTGCCTGTGCTACTCTCACCCCCCCCCCCTCTGCCCCGTCTTGGCTTTCAATTTCTCCTTCCCAGTCGGGACATGACAACGATGACTGACGACAATGATAAAAAAAAAGGCGTGTCGCAAGGGGGACAGAGAGACAAGACAGATGACAGGGGAAGAGGGAGGGATCCGTCTGGTATTCGTCGTCCAGCAAGGGGGGGCAGCAAATCACAGCCTCCATCGCGAGCACGCGCCCGCCAGTCTGGGCAGACACGGTCCACGGACGGACGAGAGAACGTGTGTAATTACACATCCAAAAGGAAAAAAGGTGCAAATGCATGGATGCGGTCGGGTGGATAATACTATGCACAGGGCCCAGTCGGCCCGGACGGCGCTTGCTCCGAGACAGACGACCCCGTCTCGTCGGCCCTGGACTCCGGGGCCAAGCCAGCCGCCTCGTCCCGAAGTCCCGGGGGCCAACCTTATATCTGCGTGCGCGAGCCTGGGCTTGCACCGCTCTGGGCAAATGCGCTTCCCTACGTAATTACCTATTCCTACATACGTGCCCGCGCCCCATGCATGTATAGTACATGACGCCCTCGCTCGGATAGGCTCCGAGAGGCAGAGACTGCAGGACATCAAGAGAGCCAGCCCTTGGCCACAGGTCCAGAGACCACCTTCGACGTTCCGCAGACCATGATATCCACTTCCCGTCGCCCGCTCTTCAAAGGGGAGAACCGTCATGTCATCCATTATGTAACTTGACGTGACCACGTCCCAAGCCTCGAGTGCCGGCTGCCGTCGTCTTCATCCGTCTGTCTGTATCATTCTATGTAGCGGGCCCGATGGTCTATACGTGCCGATGCGATATAGAAACAAGACAGACATGCTGGCCTCCCAAAATGGCATGATATTCGACAACGACTCATCTCAAATCCCAAATCCCATCTCAAACATTCGCCCCCACCGGCTGTCTCGTGTCTAACAGAGTTCCAGGCAAGTCCTGCAACTCTCCCGAAGCCCCGCACGCAACCTCCCGCCGGCTCCTCTCGTAGTACAAGAGATCCCCGCCCGATGGGCAACACAGGCGACGGGAATCAAGGGGGGGGCCATTCTGCCGTCTTGGGCATCTCCGTTTCTCTCATCGCCATGCTCATTCATGTCGCGAGGGACGGCGCTCGGAAATCACCGGTACGTAGGCCAGGCAGTACGAAAAGCAGAAAAGCCAGGCGTCTAACATCAACTCGTCACAGCCGGGCTCGCCCCCTTTACTGGAGAGCACGAGCCCGACGCGGCATTGGGCGCGTCTACAGCCTCGACGTCTTGGCGTCGGGCTTCCATCCGTCTTCCATGGCAATCAGCTCGGCCGCGCGCTCGCCCACCGCCAGTACCGTCAGCATGGGGTTGATGGACGGCATCTCCGGGAAGACGCCGGCATCGGCGATGCGCAGCTTGCCGATACCCCGGACCTTGAGCTCGGGGTCCACCACGGCGTACTCGTCGCGCGACACGTCGCCCATCTTGGTGGTGCCGGCCGGGTGGTAGACGGTGTGCGCCGCGCGGCGGGCGTATTCGCTGATGGCCTCGTCGCTCTGCACTTCGGGACCCGGCGCCACCTCGCGCTCGAGCCAGCCCTTGAACGGGCTCTGCTGCGCAATCTTGCGGGCCGCCCTGATGCCGGCCACGAGCGTCGCCGCGTCGTAGCCCTCGGGGTCGGTAAAGTAGCGGAAGTCGAGGGCCGGCTTGACGGCCGGGTCCGCCGACGTCAGGTAGATGCGGCCGCGGGAGCGGGCGCGGGGGATGTTGGGCGTCATGCAAAAGGCATAGCCGTCGCGGACGACGGGGTAGCCGAGGCGCTGCGTGTTGAGGCAAAAGGGGATTTGGTAGCAGTGCATCATGATGTCGGCGGCATCGCCGTCGTTGCCGGCGGCGTTGGTGCGCTCGCGGCGGAGGAAGATGCCGGCGTCCGAGTCCATGGTGGTCTGGTTGGCGGGGACGGGCTTGTTGAGCTCCCACATGATGATGGTCTCGGGGTGGTCAATGAGGTTCTCGCCCACGCCCGGCAGGTCCTTGACGACGGGGATGCCGAGGTCCTCGAGCTGGGCGCGGGGCCCAAGGCCCGAGTGCAGCATGAGGCGAGGCGTGTCGACGGCGCCGGCGCAGAGGATGGTCTCCTTGCGGGGCCGGAGCGTCATGCGCTGGCCCGAGGCGAGGGTGAGGGCGATGCCGGAGGCGACGTTGCCGTCGACGAGGACGCGCGAGACGTGGGCCTCGGTCAGGATGGTCAGGTTGGGCCGTCGCTCCTCGCCGCGCAGGATGGGGTGGATGTAGGCGACCGAGGCGCTGCTGCGGCGGCCGTTGTCGGGGTTGTACGAGATGGAGAAGAAGCCGGCGCCGTCGGTCAGCTGGCCCTTGTCGCGGATCTCGGCGTTGAAGTCGGGGATGATGGGGATGTCGAGGGCGCTGGAGCAGGCCTGGACCCAGTCCTTGCACAACTGGTTGCGGTGGCGGGCGTGGACGGGCTGGACCGTGTTGCGCAGGCGGTCAATGAGGCGCATGACCGTGTCAAAGTCCCAGCCGCTGCAGCCCTGCTCGACCCAGCGGTCGAGGTCGTGGCGGAAAGGACGGAAGGAGATGAGGGTGTTGTGGGAGGAGCAGCCGCCGAGGACCTTTGCGCGCGAGTGGCGGATGTGGCTGTTGCCCATGGGCTGCTCCGTGGTGCCGTAGTCGTAGTCGAGCTCGCCGCCGAGGAGGGAGAGCCATTGGCGCAGGTCGAGGACGTTGTTGAGCTTGAAGTCGGAGGGACCGGCCTCGATGAGCAAGACGCGACGCTCCGGGAGATACGACGACAGCCGCGAGGCCAGGACGCAGCCGGCCGTGCCACCGCCGACGATGATGTAGTCGTAGGCGCCGCCGGCGTTGGCGGGGAGAGTCTGCGTCGTCATGTTGTCGAGGTCCTGGGGCAAGGAGGAGGGTCTTGGTCGGGGCGAGGTCCAACAGATGACGGGCTACTTTGTACAACAGGGCGGAAACTAGCACCAGGCTCGGCCGGGTTGCTTGATTCTGCACATGCACGTGTGTATGTATGCTGGCTTGGACACGGTCTTCTCGCCAGTGTAATGGTGAGAGCTGGTACGGGACAAAGAGGGCGAGGAGGGAGGAGAAACGAGAGTGAGACGTTGTATTCGGATAGGCACGGCACTCGCCGACGCTAAATAAATACTAGGAGCCAGCAGCCAGATCCATGGACCGCGGTCTCAGCCGGTGGCACGACCGGACCCAAGATCTGGCCATCGAGTCAGTAAGGGTGCCAGCACCAGCCAGGGCTGTTGGCCGTTTCCACTCGGCAAAATCTCTTCAAGGCTAGTGGAGCCGCCATCCATCCGGGGGCGGCGGCGAGGCGTTCAATGGTCACTGCGGACGGACGGACGGACGGACGGACGGACGGAGGGTCAGTTTGGCGGTCGCAGCCACGCGGACAGGGCTGAGCGTGGTGCGGAGTTCCAGACAAGATTAAAGAAAGGGTGGAGGAGGATGAGGAGTTGAAAAAGAAGAATAAAATTCAAGAGGCTCTTGCCATGACAGACAGGCTTTCCCTCTGTGCTTGCCTGAGCACAGTCCAGATTGGACACTGTGCCGGGAACGTGATACACTGTATTACCCGTTCATGCAGTCTCTGCTAGCGGACTTCGACACTAACGGTGCGCACAGTGCTTGAGCACCAGGTCGGGAAGAGGGGCAGCCGCCCACTGTACAGTACATGCGTATGCGCACTGTACCGAGCACCCGCAAAGGGGCGGGCCATGGCGGGTCCGTTTCTCTACCTAGTACAGTATAAGTTATTCTCTCTATGCTTAAGATATCATTGGTCCTCGCAAAGGCTCACCTTTTCTCCTTGCTCTCTTCTCCAGATGTATGAACCTTGTTAACTTCCTTTTTTATAGCTTCTGTCTCTTCGCGTGGCATGGCCGCCCCCTCTCGTCACCACCTTGCATGTAAGTTGCTGTGCAGTACTGCATGAAGCCTCCTGTACAGAGACACTATCGTTTCGATTATGTCTCGGGAACCTGCACCTTATCGGCGTCTTGGACCCTGCGGAACTGCAATCATACTGTAGCACTGTATGTACTACGTATCCTTTTGCATGGGCTGAAAGGGAAGCTCGGCCGAAACGCACATCGTCGCATCGCGGGGTGACGTCGTTGTCGTCGAGGGTCTTGGTCCTCTCAGACCTCTGATTTTTTCCATTCTCACAGTTGTAGTGCCTGGAACCACCTACCCACTATATATAATAACTTACCTTGAGCTCTCAATGGCGGCGCATCACAGCAGCCGAGAAGAGTGCTGGAGAAGAGGGCACAGGTACATACCGTGCTGCACTGTGCGGAGGGCCCTGCATCAGCGGGGCCGACTGTGCGTTTGCACCACAAAAGTCCCCCGCTGTCAATCATGTGACTGTGCGAATAAACTGCCCCAGGCACCGTACTCAGCCGGTTGATAACTTGGACCATTTCATTCTAGGTCCTCTTCGCGACCCGCTCTTGATGTCTCTCGTCCGGCGACAAGTTTGCCGCTCTTTGTGAGTTGGCATCGGATGAAGGCGCTGTCTGGCCTGCCCTGCATGAGAACCTCGTTCTCGACCATAAACATGCACATGCACTGTGTCCGCGTCCTGCAGCACCAAGTTCTTCATCGTCAGTGACGTCGTCGCTGCCCCGCCTGTCCCCCTCATGCCCCCACAGGCTCGTGAGACGGCCTTGATCCGTTTCGGGCTAAACGAGAGCAACGCGCACGAGTCAGCCCTCTTCTCTTCATGTCGTGGGAAACGAGTCCTTGTGGGGTGTAAATGTTTTCTTGCCCTGAGCTCCAGAATCGTTGCAGGCCTTGTCGTCTATGATCAGCATTGAATATATAAAAGACTTTTTGAAACATATATGTCTGGCAAAAGGAGGGTGAATGCGGATAGACGCTGTACAGTAGAATATGAGTAGCGGACCCCGCCCCTCGTCCTGGATCCATTGCCATGCATTGCCGCGCATTGCCGCGCATTGCCGTCATTACTCGAGGAGACGTGATGACCCATCAACTTAGATACCTCCTGCCACTGCCAATCCCCCCACGTCGTGCCGTCTTTCTCATACTGCACTAACACGCGGCTCACCTTTGCCGGCACTTCCTCTCCGGCCAGGCCGAGCTTCGACGACGGCTTCGTTAAAGCGACGACCAACTACCTACGCCTCGCCAATCCCGTCCGTCCATTTCCTGCGCACGCTGTCGCCCAAGATGACGTTTACTTCGGAAATCCACACCTTTCACTCGGGCAAACCCCAGCCTCAGTCCTCGTCGTCCTCGTCCACCTTTGCCTCGCTCGACCCGGCCACGGGAAGACCCCTCGCCACCGTCTACACCACCACCCCGTCCCAGCTCGACGATGCCGTCGCCTCCGCCCACGCTGCATTCCCCGTCTGGTCCCAGACCCCAGCCCCCCAGCGCGCCGCCGTCCTGCTCCGCGCCGCCGCCCTCCTCCGCCAGCGCAACCATGACCTCGCCCTGACCGAGACGCTCGACACGGGCAAGGCCTGGTCTGAGACGTCGGCCGTCGACGTTGTCACCGGCGCCGACGTCCTCGAATACTACGCCCACTTTGTCGCCGGCGGCCTGCCCGGCCAGCACACCCAGCTCCGCCCGGACGCCTTTGTCCTCACCGCCCACGAGCCCCTCGGCGTCTGCGCCGGCATCGGCGCCTGGAACTACCCCATCCAGATTGCCCTCTGGAAGTCGGCTCCGTGCCTCGCCGCCGGCAACTGCATGGTCTACAAGCCGAGCGAGGTGACGCCGCTGCACGCCAACACCCTCGCCAGCATCTACATCGAGGCCGGCCTGCCCCCCGGCGTCTTCAACGTCGTCTACGGCGACGGCCCCAGCGTCGGCGCGCCCCTCGTCGCCCACCCGAGCATTGCCAAGGTCAGCTTCACCGGCCAGGTCAGCACGGGGAGCAAGGTCGCTGCCGAGGCCGCCCGCGGCATGAAGGGCGTCACCATGGAGCTCGGCGGCAAGAGCTCCCTCGTGGTGCTGCCCGACGCCGACGCCGACGAGGCCGCCGACGTGGCCATGGCCGCAAACTTCTTCTCCACCGGCCAGGTCTGCACAAACGGCACCCGCGTCTTCATCCCGGACACCCTACTGGCTCGCGTTGAGGAGGCCCTGGTCCGGCGCTGCCGCGAGGGCATCCGCATGGGCCTGCCCCGTGACGACAAGACAAACTTTGGGCCCGTCGTCAGCGCCGCCCAGCGCGACAAGGTGGCCATGTATATCAAGCACGGCCGCGACGTCGACGGCGCCCGCGTGCTGTACGACGGCGCCGCCGACGCCCAACGCGACAAGCCCACACCCGGCGGCTTCTGGGTGGCCCCCGTCGTTTTCACCGACTGCACCGACGACATGCGCGTGGCGCGCGAGGAAATCTTCGGGCCTGTCATGTGCCTCCTGCCCTACCCGACGCGGGGCCGCAAGCAAGACGAGTGGATGGCCGACGTGGTCCGCCGGGCAAACGACACGCCCATGGGTCTTGCTGCCGGGGTCGTCTCGTCCGACGTGGGGCTGGCACACGATGTGGTCCGCCAGCTGCATGCGGGCATCACCTGGATCAACACGTGGGGCGAGTCGCCCGCCGAGATGCCCGTGGGCGGCTGGAAGATGAGCGGCGTCGGCCTGGAGAATGGCCACGAGGGCATCCGAGCGTACATGCGGACAAAGAGCACGCTGGTTCAGCTGGGCAAGGGCGCCTGCAAGGGTCTATTCGCCAAGCTGTAAGGGTGAGCATCCGGGGAAGGGGAGCATTGTACATTTGTCGTGATAGCGCGCCGTTGGAAGCAGCCATACCCAAATATGCGACTTGTTAACGAGAGAAACATGTACATCATCAGGTCAGGCCCAGGAATACTTTGACCGAAAAGTAACAAAGGCCAGCAAGAGGTCAGGCCGACGACAGAGGCCCTCTATGCTGAAGCCTTGCCAACACTTTGCCACCTCCTTTATTGCGTGCATGTACGAAGGTTTAGTCAAAGTCTTGTCAAAAGGGCTCCATGTCATCATCTTTGAACTTAACCCCCTTCACCATGATTCGAGAAAGAGGCTACAGACACGGCAATGGGTTTAGGACAATCATCACAAGTGATAGTAACTGCGTGAAACCCGAAAGCTACTGTGATCGAGCATTTATGGCAGAGTGTCGATTAGCCTTGACTTATCCTGCCGGGCCTGCAACCAATCTGTGCGTGCTGTCATACACACTAGGTATTTGCAAGGTAGTGTCCCAACATATTGCCTGACCATCTCACGTCCAATATCCCCCTTGGGTCTTTCATACACCGCTTGATTAGACCGTCCAGGTGCCTTATTTATACAATTCCAAGACTTTCCTCCTCCGCGAGCACCCTTGTTTGGGGCCTGGTGCTGCCACCTCTCCAGTTGCAGGGTCACGCAAGTGTGCCATATGTATAAATATAAATGCTCTACCAGATTCCACAACGGATCATAGTTGCAGCAAAGCTCGCGAGTGGCTCTACCATTAACATTGCGCAATTCCCCATCGACGCGCGTTAAAGACTCACGCCATTGACAACGCCGTTTCCGTTCCCGGCTCAGGGAGGAAGAAGTTCGGTGTGGCTTCAGGAGCTGTCTTCAGACTGAGCGTCAGCTACCCCTAGCTACTGGCCCCTACAGTCACGCCACGGTGTTACATGTAACAGCCGCATCAATAAATAAGCTTGAAGACATCCGCTTCTTTTCCACTCCACGGGAACTCCTTTGCCGTGACCGGGCGAGCATCTTCTTGAGACATCATTACTGTCTGGTTCGGCTCAATGGTTGCCGTCCAGAAAGGGGAACTTCAGGTCCTTGTCCCTGCGAACAGCTTCGTACCGTGCGCCTCGGAAGTATTACATCTTGGGGTTCACGCAACCCGTGTATGCCTTGTCGCAGACAATGAGTCTCACCGCCATGCGAGTTGATGCAAAGACACCACCCATCGACGACAACTGCTCTCACTTGATCGTTGCCCGCGGGTCATCTGCTTCCGTATATTAGTTAGAGAATTGCTAGAACTTTCGGTTCAACTTATGCTGAAAATAGAAATAATAGTTGTGATTAATTATTACCTTAAACCAAATTTAAAGATATTCTTTTTTTTATTAGTGGTAAACTAGGCACTCGCCAGACCTGCCGGTAGCGACGGCACTGACCTTAACCGGATATCTGCCTTGAAATGTCACCGGCGGATTCGGCAATGATCTCACATCTAGCATAGTACTAGCTGCCAATTGGTAGAGACATCTAGGTCTCTAATTTAACTCTCGTCCTAATACTCAGGGATACTGAAACGGCCCGTTCCAGGCCTGGTTCCATAACGCCCTACACACCTCGTTTGACTGTACCTCGACGAGGACGCACCAGCCCAGATGTAAAAGTGCTTCCCAAGGACCCTGTGAGTAATAGCATGCCTGCCATGTCTCTTGACAAGCTCGACCTTGGCCACCTTTGGCATTAACCCGCATGCCCATGCGATTTCCCAACTTCTTCTAGCGAGGGACGACCTGCCGCAACTTGTTGACGTCTCTATTTCTCTTACCCGCCTTTCTGTTCTTAGAAATTGTTTTCCCAATATGCCCCGTGCACCTCCTTCATCCGAGTCAGGTTCTTCTGCCGTGACTGTATTCTTCCATATAACCGCTCAAGTTCTAGCGGCAGCCTTCCCCACATGCCATCCTGTCTCAAATGTGCATCACTCGCATATGTATCTAGAAACGATCCTCGTTTGTCAAATGCTTTTGATACTAGTATCGTTAGTAGAACTTTAGAGCAGTGCTAGTAGATATCTCATGGCTGGGCTGGAGCTATGGTATGTGGCGAACGTCTCTGGCAGCCCAGTGTGGTATATAGGCTTTGTTGCCAAGTTTGACACGTACTGTCAAAATTTCGTCGCCGTCCCATGGACCGTGGGTCAAGAAGGTCACTCTTTTGCTTCTTGGACGCGTTGGAAATTCTCATTCCCTGCCAGCGACGGAGTCGTCAGGCATCAGCCTACAGACCCATCGCACGATGGCGCCTAGGCGTGTATTGCGACTCGCCGCATCCTTGCTGGCCCTGTCAGCTGCCGTATATGCGACTCCTCGGCCTTCAGCGCAGCTCGATCCCGCACAGGACTCTTCCTTACCTAGCCAAGATTCCTTTTATAATGTTCCAGAGAACCTTGATAAAGTTCAACCCGGAACTATTCTACGGCACCGTACGACGCCCAAGCCTATATCCGTACTTGGCAAGTTCCCCGTGGAACTCAAGGCCAGCCACCAGATTCTCTATCGCACAACGGATAATTTTGGAAACGCCACGGCTACCGCCCTCACTGTAATGATCCCCAATAACACGGACACTTCCAAGGTCTTATCTTTCCAAGTTGCTGAAGATGCGGCCAGCATCGACTGTGCTCCCTCCTACGTCTTCCAACAAGGACATAAACGGGGGCCAGATTTTGGTACACTCTTTACCGAGTTGCAGCTGTTTCATATGACAGCTGCTATACACAAGGGGTGGATCGTTATCTCGCCCGATTTCCTAGGCCCTGAAAGCGCATTCCTGGCCAACAAACTGGCGGGACATGCCACGCTCGACGGCATCCGTGCCGCCCTCAAGTCGGCCGACTTCACGGGCGTTTCCAAAAGCCCGACGGTTGCCATGTGGGGATACTCCAGTGGGAGTCTTGCCTCGCTTTGGGCGGCCGAGCTGCAGCCCGAATACGCCCCTGAGTTGAAGATTGCCGGCGCCGCTGTCGGTGGTCTAGTGCCGAGCATCGCCACCACCCTTGCTACCGTCAACGGGGCGGCCAACGCAGGCCTCGTCGCAGGAGGCATCCTCGGCTTAACCAAGGTATACTCGGAGCTTCGTCAGATAGTTGACAAGCATATTCTGCCTAAATACCGCAAACCATTTTACAAGGCTCTTAAGCAGTGCTCCCTAGCCAACGGAAAAGAACTTTTCGGCCAAGATGTCATGGCCATGTTCGACGACCGAAACCTGATATTGACCAACCCGAAAATAACGGGAATCCTGCACGAGAACGACATCGGGAAACACACTCCTCGGATTCCTCTGTTCGCGTATAAGGCCGTTGCCGACGAGGTCAGCCCGATTAACGAGACGGACAAGCTGATTAACAAGTATTGTACGGAAGGCGCCAGCATAGTGTACGAGCGCTACGAGGCATCGACACATATAGATGCGCTTCTCACGGCTGCGCCCAAGGTGCTAGCGTGGCTGGACGATATTATGAACCACAAAAATCACCAGAAAGGGTGCAAGACTAGCACAATGCTACTGTCGCAATGAGATTGGAACAAGGATGGGTAGAAGAGACTCGATAAGCTAGAGATAGACATAAGATCTACTACTGGTCACGGACCAGCGTGTGTCACAGACTAATGTATAGGAGTTACCTGTGGCTCAACACCGTAGGGCGCGCCTACTGGTAACGGAGGCAGAGGGCGCCGGAGACGCCGCTGGAGACACTGAATGCGGCAGTCACCATGTAAGACAACAGGAAGTCAATATATAGTTCCGGATATCTGTTTCTGGCTTGTTTAGTAAGAAATCTTGTTGGTCCCAGCATATCATGTATACATGTATGTATAGTCACAACTATAAGCCCCCCCTTTCAGGAAGGAAAGTGCAATCTATATAGCATCTCTTAATACAAGGACTTGGTAAATAGTAGTCGTTATAAGCCTAATATAAGTCTACAGCTATTATGCTTTCATTTTATAAGTAAAGCTATTTATATCTTCTTTAACACGATTAATATCAACTCTTAAAACAACTTTTATATCAACTAGAGAAGAAAACGCCAAGTCAGGTACTTGTTTTCTGTTGTAAACTATCAGGGACGACACGGTTCAGTACTCTCTTCAGACTTGGGAGCCAACACTCGGTGCGTGGATATCCTTCCTTCATATAACTGCACTCCCGCCCGGGGTCTCTATCGCAGAACCACTTGCGGTAAATGTAGTTGTGTAAGGAGGCGCAAACTGCACGGCAAGGCTCGCCGTCAGATCTGCCCCCGGCACCGGTCAATTTGCCTTGCCTGGGACCACTGCAGCCTCGTGCGGGCTAGCCGGTACCGATGTGTCATGCTGGAAAAGCGTCTCGTCGACAACTTCTAGGTGCGAAGCGTTTGAGACGGCTCTTAGTTAGAAGGGAAAGACAAACACTGAGGGGATACGCAGGACAACCACGCTGGCTCGGCTACTCGAGACATATGAGCATACATGTATGTACGTATGTCATACGCGTCACCTCCTAAAGTGCCATTTCGGCTGCCATTCGGAAACACGAGGACTGTTTAAGAAAAAAAAAGCAGACAAGTTCTTTGCGACTCGTTTCGGCAGTTTCACTCCAATCTCGAGACGCGAATTATTCAATCATATTCGTGCTTGAGCCTAAACTCGGCTGGCCCCTGCGGGCCAATTTGCCTGCCCAGCGGCGTCATGTCGAGCAGCTGCAGGGTTGGCATCACCTTATCCGCGCCCCTGGCAAACGTCGAGTAAGTGTGAAAGATGTCGCCGTCTCTCTTGTAAAAGATGCTGAAGCCAGGCACATCGCCAGAGTACCAGCTCTTGCCCTGGGCCTTCATCTCGTCCTTGGTGCGGAAATTGAGCTCCATGGGGCGCTTGGACTCGTCCATGGTAGCGTGGAAATCGTAGTTGAAGTCGGAGCCCTGGCTCGAGTACCATGGCCAGGTCCAGCCGTTGAGGGCCCGGAAGGCCTCGAGTTTCTCGGGCGGGGCGCGGGAGACTACGACGAGGTTGGTGTTCTTGAGCCGCAGGTGGCGTACATCTGGCAGCGCCTCGCCGATGTGGGAGCACCCCCGGCAGCCTTGGTCCGACTCGGGGCCGAACATGAAATGGTAGACGATGAGCTGGTCTTTGCCGTCAAAAAGATCGGCCAACGTCACGCTCTCGCCCGCCAGCGAGCTCAAGGTATATGACTTGTCCAACCTGACCATGGGCAGTGCTCGGCGCTGGGCCGAGAGAGCGTCGTTGGCCCGCGTCAGCTCCTTTTCCTTGTCCAGCAGCGCCTTGCGGGCCACGAGCCAATCCTCGCGGCTGACAACCTAGAGCGCCTGCGGTCAGGAGGACGTTGGACCAAAGCAAAGCGCTCCATCCTCACCTTGAAGCTTGGTGCGGCACCGAGCTGAGACATGATTGATCTGACGTTCAGATGTTTTCCTTTGCAATGGCTAGGCACCCAGGTCAAAGCTCTTCGTTGGGAGGAGAACGACGAGCCTCGAGGCCGAGACCAAAATGGAGCGGGGGCTGAGGCGGATGGATGAGGACAGCCCAGGCCAATCAGATTCTCGGGCTGTCTCAGGCTCTCAGCACTGCGGCCTGCTCCGCCGGCCACCTAACTTATATGACAGAGTCATGACGATGAGCGCCACAGAGATGGGAGGGCTGAGCCTCGACTCCGAAAGAGCCTGCATGCTATTCACCAGTGTGCCTCGAAGCACCGAGCTTGGCTGACGGGGAGCGCAGTATATTCAATGCTGCTGTCCCCGAAGAGGCCCTTCGCAACCTCAATCAACTGACATCACCTTTTCCCATCATCTTCTCGGCTTCGTTGTTGCGAAATGGGCTTCTGTCAACCTGTCGACTGCAGAGATCTGCCTGATGGCAAGCTGCAGCCCTACGGCGACATATCCGGACCGGGAGACTGTAATTCCCTGAGTACTCGAGGCCTTGGCGACGTGCCACGGCTTGCTGACACGCATCCACATGGTCAGTCATCGTTGGCTTCGTCGGCTCGGTCTACCTGATCTGCATCGTTCTCATCGCATGATCGCATACGATTCGCAGAAAGCCCCGGCCGGCGAAGGCTTCATTTTGCAAAAATGCGAGCCGTTTGCCCCAATTTCACCAATGGTATATTCCTCGGCTGGATCCGGGGAGAGGCCAGGGTGATCCGGGACATGTTACTCGAGAGGGCGAATGGCTTCTTCCTATGCCGGTAGATGGATATGAACGGTCCTTCCAGCAGGCATGTTAGCCGCGAGACACGAGATCCTGTCGATGGCGCTGCTGACGCAGCGCGCCCTGACCTGGCCATTGTCAATGTCTGGCGTCCAGATCTTGACCGGCGGAGGCATTTTCATCCGCGGCTTCGTTTCCCTCCAAGTGCGGAGGGTCTCTGGTGTCCGCATATCACTGGCAGATAGTCGTTTCGCTTGCTTGGTTCGCCAGCGTCACCCATCCTGCCGGTCTCGTAGCCGTCCGGCAGCAGCTTCGCGAGCACTGCCATCAACACGTCGTCGGCCAGTCCGGATCAACTCCGCTATCACTATCAGAAAACTCAGGCCTTCAAGTCCACCGTCTTTTCCATGACCCTGCTCGTCTGCGGTGTCATTCTCCGCTGCTTCAAGATCTTCGGGCGTGTGCGGTCGTGGCTTCGGCCCCTGAGCAGCCTGATTGAAAGGGCGGTCCGGTGGACCATGTCGCACGGCCGACGGTGGCCCAATGCAACGCGGTCCGTCTCAAGCAACACGACATGTGACTCTACTCGGTTGCGCGTCCCGCCATGACACTCTTTTTTCACTCTACGTTTCTTTGCCGACTTACTCAGCTCCATGCTCTTCGACGTATGTTGAGTCCACGTTCCTTTTCCAATTAGGCCATCACCTGATGTCTAGGCAGGTATACTGGCTCATCGCAAGTCTCGCTTGGGCATCAATTAAACTCGGGGCAGCGCGCAACAGCGTACACGTGCCTTCTTCACGCTACTGAGATAACCTTGGCTACGACTGGCATGGAATCCCCATCTGTCGTTTCTCTCTCACTATCGTCATCCTCTGCCAAACCGTCAGTCTCCATGTTATGTATTTCATAGGATGCGCTGGTGGAGCTCATGTAAGATGATGTAGGTGCGCTGGATAGCTCGGGTGGAAATATATCTTCGACAATGTGTACTCGTCGTGTCTCGTACGTCTTGATGAGGAGGCGAGACAAGCGTGTTAATGATCCCCTCCAGTCATGTGGGAGACTTCCCAGATTTAGTACAGAGCGACCGTTGTTCCCCGTCGACACGCCACTTGCTCGACAATTGCCGAAGCAGGGCTTATATATACTTACCAGCTCATGAGCTTGCGTCACTTTGTTCATCAAGGCACACTTCGTAAGTTCGTACAGGCAAGCACGAGCCACAGTTTCTCGGCTATGGAGGACGATAATGTATCAAACTAATACCGCGTCTACCTTGCCCCCATACCCAGCTGGTCAAGCACTTGCTTTGCACAGAAACCAAGGCCAAAATCGGACGGGATGATGCTGGCTCGAGACCCCTATCCACGACGCCTCTCGAGATCAGGAGCTCACGGCGACATTTTTCGGATTGGAGTTGCAAGCCTGGTAGTGTTCCGCATCGCCGCCACACGCCTTGGAGAGCATGCACTTTTTTCTGCAAGGAATGCAGCGTCTCTGCCAGCAAGCGCGGCGCCAGGCACTCTGCTGTAGGTATGTACGTAACTGTTGTTAGACTACGTACAGTAGGTGCTGTAGGTATTATGCGAATATAGTACAGTACTAATATATATTGTTGGTTCTCGGCGCTCGCCATGCCGAGCAGCGGCCTCACACCTTTTCTCTCCAGAAAATGCCGCTTTGGAACATGATGGAGCTGCCGGCGCTGAACAGTCCTGTCCCCGTTGCACCCCAGATGGAGAGAAGAATCTGATGTGACAGTTCACCGGAGCATGAGATTTATGGTTTATACAAAGTACTAGTATCGGCATCTCAAAGGCTGCCTCTGTTTTCCCCACACCACTGACGTCTGTACCGACACTTCCCCACGTATTTGTATACTCTCTATCCATGCCTGTATGCTCCCTAGTAGGGGCCTTACAGTAAGTATATGGTTTCGCTTCATTGCTCTCGTCGCCCCCTCACGCTACTCATGTCATTTCCCTCAATTCAATTCAAGCAGACTCCAAACCCATGGTCGGCAACCAGTTCGAATGCCGTCAACATACATCAACGTCTCGAGCGAGGTCATGGTCACTGGTGTGCATTACTGTCAGCAGGCTTACACTAGACGAACGGGGAAGACGGCTTAATTACACGACGCCCGAACCGCAAGGACGCGCAGGACAGGACCACGGCGAGCTGCAACTGCTGCCACGCGATGACGAGGCCCAGAAGGGCCGTGGCGGTGGCTAGGACGCCAAAGACGATGCCCACGATTGTCGAAGCGTCAATGCCGGGACGTGACGCATCGGACTCGAGTGGTGCGGCTTGCATCGCCGAGCTGACGTTTGCCATATTAGGCAAGATCATGATGAGCCGCGGCTTTGTAGATTCGGCGTATAGAATATAGATGAGGCTCGGGGCGAGTCGGATGGAAACTGCCGAAATGGGATTGTATGACAGCCTCGCTAAGCCCTAGGAGCTTTGAAGAACTCGTCTCGCAGGCCCGACAAAGAATTGATAGATTGCGCGGGGTGTCACGAAGGGCTCTTATACCAGATGTAACTGCTGGTTCCTGAGGGCAAACACCATTCTGATTGAACGTTGGCTGGGGGCGCACGCCGTTCTCCTCCTCCTCGGTACACATCGGTGCATCGTCTACCTCCTAGTTATTCCTGTGGAGACGTGTAGCAGCGCGGCGCAGGGGGGGACGAGGGTAAGCACGAGTGAGGCGCGCCGCGATGGATGGGGGGAGATGTCACTGCCGGGAAGAAGAGCGAGCAGACTGCGGCAAGCGGGGTCAAAAGAAGCGAGCCACGCCTTGGTTTCTAAAAGAGCCACGTCCAGACGCAAAATATAATCTACGAATTCTACTTTTTTCTTGCTACAGGTTTATTGATACTATTAGTACGATAAACATTCCTTTCAATATTTTCAGTTACTCTTAACAAGAGCTTTGCGTGCTCTTCTATATAAGCGCTCATTTAGCATGGCTCGTGTCCCCCCCCTTAATTACTTCGTGCGGTAAAGGAGCAGACGGGTTGCGGGCCCGGATTGCGGCCCAATTAGAGCGGCGTACATCAGTTGGCACAGTACATGAGCTGACGAGTAAATGCAACATGATGGAAATCCTCGCGCGTTTGTGATATTCAAATAGTTACCAGGTAATTATAGTAAGTGCACGATTTTACCAGCACCAAGCGCTGCGTGCATTGTACCAACCAATGATGGACGTAGGGGAGGTGGCCTTTGTGTGCCCAATTGACCGGCCCAAAGCGGGGGGATCCGTGGCGCAAAGAGCCATCGGCCCGGCGATGGGACCAGGTCCGTAGAAACTCAATAAATCGAGACGGTCCTTGGCCGAAGCTGCATTGTCAGTATTATTATCCGTCCCTACACCGGTACCTAGTTACCTACTCATCAACCCAGCCAAGTCTCGCCCGACCTAGGCAGCACAGCTCGACCGACTGGCTGGCTAGTTCGCCCAGCCCACGCATAATGAACATATATCCTTCGCGCACATACATATAAATCGAAGCTCTCGCGATGGCTGTTGCCGTGACGTGTAAAACACTTCATTATAACAGTCACTTGCAGTATCATCTGCTGGAATGTGCACTCAACCTTTGCCTAGCAAAATGACGTGACAGTTATTAGCCCTGGGACCAGGTTTTATGCCCATCCCTCTTGGAACTTCCGCGTCGATACTACAAGAGGACAGACTGCCTTACCTAGGACAGTTTCAATAAGAGCCGTACTTCAATCCTAGGCAGCGACACCAGCGCTACAGAGAGTCGTAGCTGCGATACCAGGACGCGAGAAAAAACACAACAATGCATAGCAACTCTTAATACATATTGAAATTTACTCTGCTCTTAACCTTGTGCTACTACTCACTTATAACGTAACTTGCCTTGACGTGTATTTACATCCTTCTTTTGCCTTGCCTGCCCTTTTCAGTGGCCTCAGCCAACTTTTCTCAAGAAATAAGCCCCAGCCCCTCCCCAGCCCGACCCGACAGGGAACGTAGACGAGACCCAAGCGGCGAGGGACTTCCGCGAGTGGCTCCGGGCATTCCCCGAAGACACACTCATCGTCTACACTTACGACTCGCGGGGCGAGGACGGCGCCTGCAGGGTATAGGCATTTGGTGTGGCTAAGCCCCGACGAAGTGACATACTGCCTTGCGCTGGTTGGACGACGAACCTGAGAGGAGACATGTCAGGGTGACGTGTCGAGGGGGAGGGGCAAGAAGAAAGGGGCAAGAGCAGCCGCGACCAATCATGCGAGGCAAACCACGAGGGACAGTTAGGTTGGAGGAAAGAACTGCTGGACGGGGGCAGGAGAGCCAGTCGGGGCTTGCGCAAAAGAGCCTCGAGGAACGACGAAACAACGAAAATTGGCGAGAGCGGAAAAATCGAGATCGAGATATAGCGAGAGATTGATTTTTTTTACTTTACAAAGCATCTAGACTCCTAGAGAGACAACGGGCGTGGGGGATGTTTAGGCCACTGGAAGGCTCACAAAATATACAGGAGTTATAGCGCATGGGTTTAAACGGGATAAGGGGTACATTGGGGAAATTTGAGGTTTTGAGCGTCTTCGTCTAAAGGGGAACAAGAGAATGGAATACCGAAAACATGGCGGTGATAGTATCATCGTTGTCAAGCGCCCAAAGACCAGGGCCGTGACCATTCAGCCTCTGGTGGCATCCCTGGGAAAAGAACAGCAAACTGTACAGATATCCTCTAGCTACGTGTCCCTTTGTGAATATGAGGAACTTTGGTTGGAACCACGGAGCGAGAGTAAAGGGGGGGCTATGATGCCCTAGCAGAAGCTGTCCCTACAGTTGTCGGGTACAAAAGAACTAGGGATAACCACAAGCTCCTGCCCGGTTTCTTTAGAGACCAACAATGGAATCGCTGGCCCCCGTTCTTCACTCTCTGTTTCGTCGTGCTTGTGTTCCTTACAGTTACCGTAAGTTGACTCCTAGAAGTCGCGACCGCCTCCTGGTAGCAATGCTACCCCACTGCGTAAGACTGCACCGCAGTCAAGGGATACCGACCCTGCAGGTTAATGTACATCCGGGTCCAACTTTCGCACACAGTTGACAAAACCGCCGTGGTTTTAGAAACATCATCTAGGTAGCAAGTGACAACAGCGTCACCCCACAGAACTACAAGAAAGAAATCAGGCCGACGGCAATTTTACATGTTGACTCTTGCCCTCAATTTTCAGCCTTGCGAGAGGGCTGCTTGGCCTCACTCGAGGGCGCCGGGAAACTTGCAACACCTCTTTTTATATACAGCCTCTAAGGCTTTGAAATAATTATAGCCTCCCTAGGTTTCGGGTGGGAAAGAGTCTATCTCCTCATCGTCGTACTCGAAGTAATCCTCCGCCTCCCCGCTCAACGAGAAGAATACGGGATCTTCCGCAGGATCGAATTCTTCCTGCAACAGGAGGAGTCCATGGCATTCTTTGACATAGCCACCTGTGATGGAGAAGGCGACGTCGTCGCCCTCGAGAGTCCTGATCCCCTCCTCGGGGCTTTTGGCCAGGAACACCTTGGCCCCGCCGTCGTTCTTGTACTCGCATACGAGAGGGTAAAATACCTCGCCGTCGGCGTTTCTGACCAGATAGTAGCTTCTGCTACCCTCATCAGCCTCGGGGTTATACTCGACCGTCCAGACGACTAAACGGCTTGACTTGGGCAGCTCCTCAACCGGGCCAAGGCGAAGGCGCGAAACACCGGCTCTATCCATGGCAGCCGTGGCGTAATGCATGGCCCTAGAGGCGCCGTCGAGGACCAGTGTGTTGTCCATGGTCGCTGCCCAAAGGACTGAACAATCGACGCTGGTTTCAAGGCGCTCCGCAACGACGGCGTACATGTTGCCGTTGCTACAGGTAGCAACCATTGTCTTCTCGTCCCTGTCCACCAAGCGGCCAAACTCGATCCCGTTTGTGTCGTTGTAGGACAAGTCTTGTATGATTTCTGCTTCGTATGAAAGCTCGTCGGAGGAGCCTCCCTGGAAAGTAGCTAACATCTCAGGCGTCAACTCGCTGACCATGGGGGCCGGCCCGGGCGCCTGCTGGGGGGCCCGACCCTCCAGCTGTCTACGGCGCAGCCGCGTGGCCTTGGTCGAATTACTTTTTCTGTTGCTCTGCGCAAGGTGCTTGGGCAGCCTGAGGGGATGTCAAGGTTAGCTCGACCGCTCACGAGTCTCCCACAAAGCGATTAGACTTACGGGATGCAGTTGCGGGCTATCTTTCTGTCATCGGTGTCGTAGAGGTTGAACGTCTTGAAGCCGAAAGCGTCGGCCCAGAGCTTGTTTCGCCATGTCAACTGCGAGAGGATACCTGCACAGCCATCCGTTTCCTCGAAGCCGGCCGAAAACTTTCCCGCCTTGTCCAAGCCTACAGACGCAGCAACTTGGGCGACTCCCTTGACCGACGGCTCGTTGACCAATTTAGCCGACTTCTCAAACGAAAAGACTTTAAGGCCGACTTTCAGGGCCATGGGTAGGCCAAGCTCGGCCGAAATCATGATCTCGCCGTTGGCCTCGAAGACAGGCTTGAAGTAGGGCTCCCAACCGCTCTGGACGGGCGTCGAGGCCTTGAAGTCGATGACAATGTGTGCATCGTGCAACCCCATCTCGGCACCCGCCAGCATCTTACCATTCGCAGCCGCTTCTAGGTTCACGCTGGCGCCAAGAGATATCCAGGGGCCGACCTCGACAGGGCCGTAAGATAAGCCGGGCAACCCGACGTCGAGCAGGTCTGTCTCGAACTTCCTTGAGTAGGAAATCTTTGCGTCAATACCGATCTTAAGGACGAACTCCAAGTCCGTATGGAACTCAACTTTGGCTGCAGTCAAGCCGTCGTTAGCGTTCCAGGTAGCCCGGCCGTTAACCCGAGCCTGGCCCTTGACGCTGCAACCAACGCAATAGATATTAAGATACTTTTCGAGGTGCTTATTATCGGATTCTTCCAACCCAAAAGACTTAAGCAGGATGCCGTCGCCCCAAGGTGAAGTGACCTGCTTTGCGTGCTTGTCCTGAATCTTGTCAATCTGGGCTGCGCTGGGGACCTTCCATGAAATCTCCTTGTTGATGCTGGCAGAGATTTCAATCAGCTTCTTAACAGCGGTCCAGATTTGCTTAAACGGCCAAACTCTCTTCTCTAAGACAACGGATCGACGGTGCCGCCTCCATAAGGGGTCTTCCGCGTCAAAATCAAAGTCTTGATCCGATGGTTCGGCCTCCTCGTCATATTTTGGGTAAAGCTGCTTCAGGTAGGCCTGGTCTGCGGGCTGCATTTCCTCGTAGCCCATAATGTCGTCGAGGTCTTCGTCAAAAAAGGGACCCAAGCAAGCAGTAGGAAGGCCATACTTGGTGTCGACCGGCGGCTTGCAGGCATTCCTGTCTCTGCCAAGCATAGAGTCTCTGCTGTTGTTCGAGGGTGCAGTTGGTGAAGGAGATATGCTTGTGGCCGAGGCATTAGATGCAGGAACGTGGCTGGACTTGGGACTGGCCGTCGAACTGGAACTCGGACTCCAGGAAAAGCGATCTTCATCCTTTCTCGACGATGTCGGTTTCTTCTGCTTGTCTTGGTCCTGGCCGCCTTCACGGGGGACCCAGTGGCCCCACTCCGTCTCGCCGCCGGTGGAAATGGTATCCGGTCGCTTTGCCTCGCCCTTGACAATGAACTCTAAGCTGTTGCTCTTCTCCAGTTCCGCGACGACGAAATAGCAACGATCTCCTTTATCGTAGTCGCCACAGCCCCGGACGTAACCGACAAGGATCAAGCCATCCTTGGCTGACCAGGTGCTGGCGGCGTAGTCAAAAGCCTGCTGGCTGGCGAACCGGATGGTCATTGTGGCGAGCTCTGATATATGAGCATCATAGCTCACGACTGTGACGTGATCGGAGTGGTCAAGGTTGACTGAGGGACTGTCAAAGTAGAACGTGAGGAAGGCGAATCGCCCAGACTTCTTGGGATCTGTTTGGAAGGGACGTTAAGTTAGTCTCTCCAACTCTTCGCCGGGTAAGTCTTTTGGTCCCATGGGAATACATACCACCGTTGCCGTAATAAAGCTGCGAGCCTGTGCCGGGCATAACCGGTTTCACGTTGGCCGCCGGCTTAGTGTCAAAGTCCCAGTGCACATTTGGCGAAAGCGTGGCAATCGGGCCATTGACGGAAAAGGTGGCCGTTTGCTCATTCTTGAAGCCGAAGCTGTTGTGACCATCGGCAGCAGGAGGAGAAGGAAGTTGGAATGGCACCGCGGACATGGTGACAGAGTCAACCGCAGCACCGCATCCCTTGTGCTTCGCGTGACTGTGGGAAGCGGATGTGAACGCGGCCGGGCTCAACGTATCAGTGCGAGTTCTCACAATGTTGTGAGTGGAAACCGCCCGGCTGCTGTTGCTCGCAATCGTCGTCGAGTTCACAGTTACGAGTCCGGGGGCGGGAACGGCTTGGACAGCCCCAGCAGCGGCCACGAGGGCGACGCATATTCTCGACCACATGCTGTGCAGATTCGCCTCGGGAATCGTCCAGCAGGAGACTATGTTGAAGAAGTCGGTCGGTTGAAGTTGCTTTCAGAAGGCTGCCGCCTCTTCTTTATGTACATGTAAGAAAGAAGACACGGCGATGAGAGGGAATGGGGGCCCTCGGGTCGAGGGAGCCTCGGAGCTGGGACCTTGCATGGAAACATGCCATTAAATCGCCAAGTCGAGCGATTTGTTCTACAGTCAGCCCTGAGCCTCGTAAGGCTGAATTGGCCGATCGGATAAAGAGATTAGGTCCCCTAGCGCTGGTGGAAACTCCCAGAATGGACATGGATGGATGGAGTTATCGTGAGTCAAGTGTTTGGTCTACTCAAAATCAATTGGATGGAGAGGTTCTTATTCTTTCTTTACTATGATTTCGTTTAAGCAAGCAATCTCATACTTCACACTAAGGAGAGCATGCCGCATTTGGGAGACTTGAGCTACGGCTGCTCTTTGACCCAAGTCTGTACTACCCCCCATCCGCTCATCGTCATCAGCAAGAGTCTGTTGTTTAGAGGCGTCGTATTACAACCATTAAAATTAGCTGAGTAGGGACATGACAAAACCCCTCCCCAAAGCAGGCATCGAGGAGGCTATTATTTCCAGTCTCGAGGTATGGCTGCTTACGTCTGTGAGTAGTTGGCGTCGATGCCTTTGTCGATACAAATCTCGTCACATACCTACCTAATACAGTGATGACCCTGCATGAGTGCTAGTGGAGATTGACGCAAAGCTCATCCTTATCGGCACAAATAACAGCGGCCGGGTCAAGGGGAAGAAAAGTACGGCGCAGGCCCGCTCTTCCGCTCGTGTCTTCCAGGTGTGCGAATTCAACGCGCCTACGGCTTCTTCCTCAAAAGGGCCGAAGATCCTGGTTATAATGCCCCGAGACTAATACCTCTAGCTCTGAGAAAAGCTATATGAATCCTGATTCGAACAGGCGAAGCTATTCGTAGGAGTGATGTAACAACAGGCAACGAGTCAAACTACATGAGTGGCGGCCAAGCGTGGGTGCGCCCCGCGCGGGGCACCCTCACTCAGCCGATGCGCCGTGCTGGTAAACATGGCCGAAAAGCAACCCGTGCTTCGTTTACGGGCTTTTAACCGTCCCGTCGCTTTCCCCACTGTGTGCCTGTGTGCCCCTGGCAGTCATGTCGGGATCCCACCAAATGCATGCTCACGAGTCAAGTCTGCCTGGCTCGTATTCCTACAATCCGACAGCTGACGCATTTGCAGCCTTTTCTCTATGTACTTTGGCATGCGGCTCAAAAGAAACCCAACTTTACGGTTACGTATTCAGGGAGTACGCCGACAATCCTTGTTCCGGAGAAATATCTGCTTCGGACGGCTCTTTTATCCTTTCCGGCGGGGAGAAAAAGGCGAAAGCAGAGATGCACAGCGCATTCTAAGGAACTCCCTAGCCCCCCTTGCAGCTGTTGAGGACATTATTTGTCGAACCCATAACCTCGTAGCCAGCCCGGCAATGCAGAAGCATGATCGATCTGCGTTACTCTATCTTTGTCACCAGATGTCCAGTCTTGGCCCGGCAGCTTCCATGTGGTAGACTGATCGGTTACGTATATAATATAGCTTTTCCAAAGTCGACCTATAAAAGAATAGCCCCTGAGCTATACCTGCTAGCTGGAAGCGATGCCAACGTCCCTATATTGTGACTTATAGAAAGCAGGCATGTTTCCGAAAAATCCTACCTAAAGCAGAAAAACATTTCTACTGCTAATTTAAATACGTGTCCGGTATTGCAATCCGGCGCGCGGTTCCGGACGGCTATTCCCGGATAGAGGCGGATGATTCTATGATATTTATAGGGTCTATTAAACGCGCTAAGCTCCTAGGCTATTTAGCTAGCTAGAACAAGCAGTATTTTTTTTTAAATATAATAATATTTACTAATATCTCTTATTTTATATAATTTTTAAGGATTCTTAGTTCTAGGTTTTATTATTTATTTATTTAAGGCAGTATTTAGAGACTATAGTAAGCTATTATAATATCTTACTAAGTAATTAAAATAAAAAAGAAAGCTAAATAAATATATTTTAACCTTTATATTATTATACCCTTACTTATAGCTAGCTTTATAATATATATAGTTATTTATTAAATATATTTTACTTATAAAATATTAATAAAAAACTATTAATAATTTAAGTAACTATCGTTATAAATATTAATAGCTATAGTAAGCTTAAGCTAAAGTAAATAGTATATAATAGTTATTAAGCGATAATTATATAATAAATAATAAATATATATAGTTAGCTAGTAAAAGGCCTATCTCTTAATAATAATAATATTATCTTTTTATTATTATTACTTATATATAGCCTCTAGGGCTATCGCGAGGCTAATAAGGGCCTAGGCCTTTATTAGTAGTCCTAGCTAGCTATAGAGCCTAGGGGCTTATAACTAATTAAGGAAAGGGTAGCTATAAAGGTAAAGATAAAGGAAAGGTTAGTTTAGTTCCTCCTACGCGGTGTTTCCCCCCCTAAGGGCCCTAGGGCCCCTAGGTTACTCCTTTTCGAGCTACTTAACTATCCCTATCTTTATTTTAGCTAAGAAAGTTAAAAGGGCTTCCCTTCCTTCCTTAGAGCTATAGAGAAGAGGTAGGCTAAGGGCCCCCTTCTATCTCTTAGAGGCCTAGTAAAGGACCTCTCTTTCCCTCCTATAGTTTAGGCACCTTAAGATAAGGTGCCTAGCTATATACCTTTCTTAGCCGTAGCGGTAGTCGTCTTAGTCTACCTTCTTAGTACTTTTTAAGAAGGAAAATAAGAAGCTAGCCTTAAAGAAGAGCTAGTAAAAGGCTAAGAGGGTCGGCCTAGGCCTCCTTATAACGACCGGTGTTATTCCTAAGGGATAAACCTATTAAAGGGTTTATATTAATAGATATAATAAGGCGTAGTCTAAGTAATAATAAGTATATTACGTTAGTAATAAGTCGGAGGTTATAGACTATAGACTATAACTAAGTAATTAAGTAATTAAAATTAAAAATAAGATCGTAATAAAGATTATAATAATTATATTAAAAGCTATCGAGCTATTTATTTAAAGGAGTAAAAGTAAGTAGCTATATATACCTATAGAGACTATCCTTAGATTATAGGCCTAGCTATAATCCCTAACGTTAGATTATATAGAGCGTAGTAATCTTATTAATCTTAGATTACTTAGATTTCTATAATCCCCTTAATCCTATATCTATTAGATAGTTATACTAACTATTTATCTATTAGACTATATTATATACTTAACGCGGTCGACCGTTAGCGGCCTAGTAGCTATAGTCGTAATACTCCCTATAAGGTCCTTTTCTAGGCTAAGGGCTAAGCGGGGGGTCTTTTAAATAAATATATAGTACTTACCTAAGCCCTTAGCCCTAGGGCCTTTAGCTACCTTAGTAGCCTAGAGGCCCTTTTAATAGTCTTTAGTAGCTTACTAGACCTTTCTTTATAAGTAGCTAATAAAGATTAAAGGGGTCCTTTAAGTAGGGGCCTCTAAGCCTTTCTTAGCTAGCTAGTTAGCTAGCTTATTACTAAAGATCCCTAGGTAGTTTAATAGGCAAGATTACACCCCTATAGACATTAGCCCGTTAGAGGGATAAGACCCCTAGCACCCCCCTAACTTACTTCTAAGTATACTTAAAGGCGTTATAAAGACCTCGATTATCTAATTAGGCATTATCCTTAATCATAGTTAATTTAAATTTTTATTTTTCCCCTTTAAAGTAGATGCCGCTAGTTGCGCGACTCTAGTAGAAACGAAGAGGCATAGAGTAAAGAAATCTCTAAGACTCGCATTTATAACCTAAAGCCTATAGAGCTATATATAGACTAAGTAATTAGATAATTACGTAGTTAATTACTCTACTAATCCTTTACTACGTGCTACGCGTGCTTTAGGTGTATGCCCTCGTCCCCGTTAAAACTAGTCTCTAGGGCGTAAACTCGTTATTCCGTTCTATTTGCACAGCGATAAGTAGCTTTACGAAGCCGAGAATACCTAGAGGACGACGGTACTATTTAGAAAAAATAAAATCTAGGGATTTAATAATTAAAGTAGCAACTACCTTAATAGCTAGAGTTAGGGACCTAATAAGGCAATAGACTTACCGGGAAACAAATAATTAGATAATGCCTTCGCTAATAGTAAAGGAAAAGCAATAAGCTAATACTAAAAAACCCTAAGCTCCTATTATTAGCCCTACGACCCCTAATACTAGCGACTCGGTTAAGAAACTACGATCCTTATATAATACTTTAAAAGATATAAATAACGACGATAGCGTAATCTAGACCGTTCTAGAACCCTACTAAGACCTCTTACTTATATACGTATTAATAATACTAATATAAGTACTAACGAGGGATACCCTAATAACCTTAACCTTAGCTCTCCTCTATGCGGTAGCTTATAGAGAACGTCTACCTCCCGCTAATAGATAAGAAAGTAAGCAATAAGATAGTTATAATAAGATATCCTTTAACTCCGAAAACTCTAACTCTAAATTTTACAACCTCGTAATCTATAAGCATACTATATCTAGAAATACTAGCTATTAAGAAGGATTATCTAATCCTACTACTAGCGATATAAAGAAAATTAAGGTAGATATTAATAAGATTGCTAATAAACTTAGGGATATACTCGCTAGAAGCTAAGATAACCTCGTAGGAAGACTCCGCTAACTATAACTCCTACCTATCGGAAAATTTAACGGT